TTTGATATATAATAGGCTCATTGTAGTGGTGCAGTGCAGTTGCCAGTGCTGCTGACACTAAAAATCTCCTTCCTGCAGTGCACCGCAGAGTGTCAAAATAGCACGTTTAAACAATGTCTGTTATTGTATCAAGTGTGTTTTGGTGGTCATATCATTAGAGGTTGGATAGTCTCAACTAAATATAGTTTTTCCAGCCTTAGTAACAAGTGCTAACCTCTTTATCTGTTTCTTTATCTGGCTATTATATTTTAATTTTCTGACCTCCAGAGCTCTGACCAGGGTGATACAGTCACTTCCCTCTGAGTCACAAGATGAGCACATTTAACCTGCACTCCCTTTCCTGCATGTCAGCATCAGTGAAGGTCTGAGAGGAGGTCAGACAGCCATTTGCAGAGCACCAAAAGGAAGTCTTAGTGATTAATAAAATTCCCCTTGGTTGAGTGAAAACTCTTATGCTAGTACTTTAGTATCATGTCAGAAGCAGCTCATTCTCATCTAAATATTAAATAACTTCAATATATTTAAGATCTTTTTTTTTCATTCTGTGCAAATGCGCCAAAATACGTTCGCTTTTAACTTTGTGTTCTCTCTCCATGAATTTATGTGAAAGTATGAAATATAAAAAATGGGCTTCTGTTTGTATGTTATGTATGCCTTAAGTTGTGTGCAACGGCATGATTGATAATTTTTTTCTTACACAGAATTACAGAGGGTTACAGCAGACGGTCAGTGTTCTGATATCTTTGGACACAGCTCCTTTTCCCTAAAAACAAAACAGTACTTCACAACTGAACAAAAGCAACTCTTGACAATCTAACACTGTAAACGGAGGGTAGCTCACCCTCCAGTGTGGGCATTGTGTGTAACGGTACACATTGGTTAATATCTGCAATATATTGACTTTTTTTGGGAATACTCCTTTTTGAACCCAATACTTGCAGTACTCAAAAAAGAAACTGCCATGATTGCATTGACATCTAATCTCTACCTATGTATAAAACTTTCAAATACACAATTGTATTTACTATGTACGATTAAATCATCTCTGTATTCTGGTGCCTGTAGATTAGGGATGTACGAAAACAGTTGGTTCCCCTTTCAGGGTTCAGATCCATTACATCTTGTAGCATGAGTTTGTCAATCTTGAACTCGTGTGTTATAGCCATACGGAAAGCCACCCACTTAACCCCATAGCAACAATCGTTGTTGAATATAAACTGGATGGACAGAATTGTTTCAATCAGCACCATCTGTATCACACGTGACATGGCCTTTATCAATGAATTGTTGCACAGTGGACTGAACACTGGCTTTTTAAGCAGACAATGGACAACTGAACTTTGATTTCCTAATGTTCAGACCCTACTTTTGTACCATTCTGAAACATGATAATAAAACAAATACTTAACACTAAATCCTTTTGCAAGAGTGTTAATTTCTTATCCAGTGGATAGTAGTTCTTTCAGTGGAAAGTCCTAAGCACTGTTGAGCTTGTTGCTGGGAAACGTATTTTACATACCTTAGTATGTCTACTGACATTTTGACTTGTCTTAGCAGGTAAAGCACAGGTTTAATTAATAACATTATGGCAAATGGCTCTGTCATGGCTGTTGCAAGCAGGGTAACAGGAATACAGTGGAAGGACCTAAATACGACTGAGCACAAGGTCAAAGGTTGAAGTGTGACCATAGTGTGACATTCTGGGCCTTGTACTGGACTGCAGTCTTCACGTACAAAAGGTCAAGCTGACACTGAATCCCTGTCGGGTTGTTTTTTTAAATTTTTATAAACTGTAAAGGTTCATACTAATTTGCAAGGAACAAAGCAAATATTAAAGCAGATGTTTCAAAAAGTAAGTTTTTTTTCTTCTTTCCTGTAATGTTAATCATCTTGTGACCCACACCTTAGAGTTATCCTGCACCTGATGTATACCTCATCTTAGGATTACACTTTCCTCTATTTAATAAGATATGAAGGGGTTATTGCCTCTGTGCTGCAATGAAAGAGTTAAAGTCCAAAATCCTATTACAGCCTCTCTATGGTTACACTTTAATTAATTTAGACACGTCACATGGTTGGAAATCAGCGTCTGCAGGATGTATGTTACCCGGATGTCTCTTTCCCGCAAGCTGGACCTCTCTGAGCAGACCATGGACTTTATGACAGATGGAGATATACAAAACGTGAGCACTACATTAAAATTATATTGAAGGTACAATGAGCTGTAGCTAACGATATGTCCTGCACTTTAAGCTTTTAACTTTAACTGCAAATGCTCAAATAAAGTATCTTAATTGGTCCCTATTCAATTTGAAGTATATGTAACACCAATAACTGTGTAGACTGTCTTTGTGTACTGTATCATATTCCTGGAAGATGTTATTGTTTATATTAATGTAGTTTATACAGTACCTGTGCACATTTCCGGCTCAGCGGTGGATGAAGTATTCAGATCTGTTACTTAATAAAAGTACTAATACCTCTCTGTAAAAATACTCACAAGTACAAAAGTAAAAGTGCTGCATTGAAAATGTTACTTAAGTAAGAGTTGTAAGTATAATCAGGAAAATGTACTTCTTGTTCTCTGTGACTGAGAGATCATTAGATTATAATTACTCATGCAATAATGTAAAAGCAGGGGTTTTACTGTTGTGGTTGGTTGAGGTTGAACTATTTTGTAAACGATTATCAAAATAGTAAGCCAATCTACTAATGTAGACTACTAGCTGTAGGCTACTTGTATAAACTGTTGGGTAATTTAATTTATAACAAAACACCGTATGTTTTAAACTGTAACTAGGCCTAAATATAGAGAAAGAAAAAGTACTACAATATCTCCCTCTGAGATGTAGTGGAGTAGAAGTAGAAAATGCATCTTGGATTCATTCTCAATCTTACGGCTCATAATCTGACAGCGATCCACTTGGACAGAGTGCACAAAGGCTGTCATTTTCAATTGCCAACAGCAAGGCCAGGCTGAGCAGAGTGAAAACGTTTAGAGAAGCATGATCATCAAAACGAATGATGCAGCACCGACATTTTCCACCCACAGGATGAAAACAAATACAGAAATTGGCATAGCAGGCTGAGAACCTAGGGTTTTCAAAAAGACCAAAAAGATTATTGGCCCTATCATTTGCTTTTTTCTTTCTTGTTGCTCAAATACCCCACGATATTTGTTGTGACTTTATTGCGCACATGACGTTTAAATGATCGACAGCAGCATCTCTAAGCATGAAATTAAAACACAAAATAAGGCTCGGCGCCATGCTCACTTCATCCTGTCGCCGGGCCTGCTCTACAGTAGGCTATGAGCATTTTGAGGGCATATGTGAGTGAAAATGATAGTGTGAAAAATATTTCTGGGGGCCTGGGTAGTTTTGACACTTAAATTAACAAAGCTTAACTGTACAAAATATTCACATAGAGCCATGCCACTTTGAGCTGACAATGTCGCTGTTTAAAATGAGAAACATAAAAGTCATATAATTTGTTGCTAACAAACATTAATTCCATGATTTAACTTTACCAAAATGTTGTATACTATCTGTGGCGAATTAGGTTTCAGCACAACACTGCAGTTCGTACTAAAATAAATATCACTGAGTAACACTGTTGTACAGTCAGTGGACTGATTTAATCCAACAAAACTATAAATACACACACACACACACACACACACACACACACACACACACACACACACACACACACACACACACACACACACACACACACACACACACACACACACTTTATTACGTTGCTATTGGACCCACTTTTGCCTCCAGAACTGCCTTAATTTTTTATGAAATACTTTCAACAAGGTGCTGACTTTGGTCCATATTGACATGATAGCATCATGCAGTTGCTGCAGATTTGTCGGTTGCACATCCATGATGCGGATCTCCTGCTCCACCCAGAGGTTCCACCACATCCCAAAGGTGCTCTATTCATTTATAACTTGCAATCTAAATAAATTATATACATCATATGATAATTAAACAAATAACCTTGTGGAGCCATGAAAATAATAGTACAGTGATTCAGTCCAGAATAGGTTTTTGAAATGTGTGTACAAATCATTTTTAATGGCCCTTTTTGCTGTGACACATGGACCTCTTGTGGCTCTTTTATGGTACTGCATTATATAGTTATTTTACAATTTGCCATCAAGTTTGTCTTGAAGAGCTGATAAATACTGCAATATGAGAAACAAGATGCACTTTCCACTGGTGGGTGTATACAGTGGCGCTCACCAGCCAGGATGAGGAGGAGTTAGGACCGAATAGGCTGCATTATTTGGAGAGAGTTTGTGTGTCTTTATAATAAATATGCCTATCTCTTTCTCTATTAATATTACAGAAAAAGTTGCATTTTATTTACCCTATCCAGCACTGGTCCTTTATTTTGCATCTGTACATCTGCTGCAATATAAAATTACTCAATTATAAGTAAAAGTCAGTATTGTGAAGATGTATGAAGAAGTATAAAATTATTATTAGCAGAATGTACTTAAACTATCAATAGTTAAACTACTCATAATTCAGAAAAACTATTTTATATTCCTTTGGGTATAATCTATAACAATATATCATTATGTAAACTCATTGTATGTTTTGTAAAATCCTAATCTGTTACTAAAGCTATGAAATAAATGTAGTGGAGCAAAAAGGTATAGGTAAAAATAAAAGGTAATAAATAGATAAAAGGTACAGTATAAATAAAAGGTACAGTATTTACCTCTGAACTGTAGTACAGTAGAAGTTTAAAGTAGCATGAGATGGAAATCTTCAAGTGAAGTCCCTCAACTTAGTACACTAATTAGTTTAATTCCACCATTGCCTCTAGTCAACAAACCAGTGACCACAAGATAGTGCTGGAGCAACGACATCTAGAGGTCATCCTGGGCTACTACAGCACCACTATGTGCAACGCGTAGTCCAAAATCCTATTAAGGCCTCTGTATAGTTACACTTTAATTGATTTAGACACGTCACATGGTCGGAAATCAGTGTCGGCAGGCTGTATGTTACCCGGATGTCTCTGTCCCGCGAGCTGGACTTCTCCAAGCAGACCATGGATTTTTGGCAGATCGGGATGTGCAAAAGGTGAGCACTACATTAACATAAAAGTTAAAATGAGCTCGTGCACTCTATTATATATTTTACACTTGAAGTTATTTAGCTAACTGCAAATGCTCGACTAGAGTATCTTAATTAGACTTTATTCAAATAAAAGTGTCTGTGTAGACGTTCTTTGTGTCACTTACTGGATCATATTCCTGCAAGATGTTATTGTTTGTTTTCATGTACTTTATATAACAATAGTTGTACACATTTCAGGCTCATTACATAACATGCAACAAATGGCCTATTTAAGGTGGTCTACACCAAACGCCCATTTATTCTTGTTGTGTAAACACCAGAGCTGTCTTAAACAGTACATTGGCCTCTTTTTTTGCGTTTAGACGTCAAAGGGCACTTTTTTTACGTTTATCTCTCCTATTAGTGTGACTATAAGCAGGGACATAACGGCATAAATACTAACATCAAGTATGTTAGTAATGTTATTTAGAGAGCACCTTTTAAAGAGCAGATGTCACAAATTGCTTTATTATAATAATAATAATAATAATTAATCATTACTAATAAATATGCAATTAGTTAGGTTATAATAATGCAATTAATTAGGTTATTGAATTGAGCATGCATAGTATAGTGTGTGTACATTTGGATCCTAAGATCCCTCTGCTACATGAATTGAATGTTTGTGTGAAATGATGGGGAAACAATTAGTTGATCAATCAATTAAGATGGAAATGAAAATGAAATGAACAGTTTCATGTGAGAGTACATAGTGTCAAATAAGTTGAGATCCCAACGCTCTTGCTATCAGGTTGCAAAGAAGAATACTGGAGCCTTTCTCCCTTTAGTAACAACAGTGAGTGAGAAAAGGGAAATGCACCACGAAGAGCACCATGACAGTGCTGTGGAAGAAGGGAATCCAAGTTGTTGAGCAACTCAAGCCAATTCCAAGCTAGAAGAGAACCAGGAACCAAAAATGGCTAATAACACACAAAACCTACCACCCTACGTCAGAGTGGCCACTGTCAATGGGGTGGTTGCCCTAAGAAGAACGACCTCAGGACTCTGGGCAGGCAGAGAACTGAGAAAGCTGAAATGTGCGAAAGAAGCATTCCTGTCGGAAGAGGAAGAAGACAACTTCATGCTCACTAAATATTAGCATCGGAGTCTCGAAGGCAGCGAGTGATCTCAAGGAGGGGGTGTCAAATAAGTTGAGATCCCAACGCTCTTGCTATCAGGTCGCAAAGAAGAATACTGGAGAATACTCCCTTTAGTAACAACAGTGAGTGAGAAAAGGGAAGTGCAACATCCATCTGCAAAACACAGCTTAACAATGATATAAGCAATATATTGAATAATGATTAAAAGAAAGATATTTGGTATTAAACATGATATGATGATTGAAAATCAGGATATCTCATTGATATTGAAGATTAATAAATTGAATTGATCTTCCGATTGTAAAATACATAATATGGTTAAATAACTGTGCAAAAGGTCACTAAGTTTGGGTGAAGACATCATGACTCATGTCATTGGGAGAGAAGGGTCAGCAAGGGGAAATTAAATGGCCAAACAAGGACACCTCTGGCCCAACTGAATTTAAGGATGAACAAGCTATGTGACCGTAGTCACATAGACAGAAAGAGGGTGGTGGCTGATTTGACAAAGAAGCTCAGCTATGGAGTAGGATATATAAAGAGGAGTCAGCGAGAGATCGGGGTTATTCCTCGGCAGACCTCAGAGGCATCGGACTCGGAGCAAGACCATCACCGCACCGGACCAAGAGCCCAAGACAAGAGACGGATATTTGAGCAGCAAACAACTAGAGAACACTTCTGAGATTTCTTCAGGGGACTTCAAGAGATCGAGCCACAGAGGGTAACCACGACATCCAAACCAACTGAAGAATCATTGGACTCTGAAGATTATCTCTCACTCAACTGCAACGAAGACTGAAGACTTTTGAAGACAATTTGAGGGCTTTGGACAAAGCCTCAGGTTTCCACCAGAGTCATCAGCCCAGCAGAAGAGGGAAAGAACTCCTTGGCCAGGACAACTCCTTCCCCTCCCTTTCTCTCCAAAAGGAAGACATCAAAATACTCAAGCTCAGCTATCACAATTAGGTTTTGAATTTTAAAGATTTTATCAGTTTACTCAAGTTTTAATCAGTTTAATTTGTATGCTTGCCCTTGCTTAATTTTGCAATAAAATATCTAATCACTGCATTTAAAGTACAAGTAGTAGACATTAAAATTTATTTCTTCACTAAGGTAGTAATTCATTAGGTAAAGTGTGTTTAACATCTTTAAGGTTCTTATAGGTTGCTCTAGCCAACGAAATTAACTTATCCTTGGGGCCTATTCTCCTGGCCACTAAACACAATCCTAGCAACTATACCAAGTGCACTGATCAATGAGAAGAGAGCTGTCGTTAACGGGCGTGGCTGGGGTGGTATTTGGCTCTAGGGCTATTCAGTCAGGTGCCATTTCAGAGTAAGCAGGGTAGGCGTTCGGAAGAAGACAGTTAGAAGCTAGGCGAATCTCTTCGACACCATCTTAAACAATCCTCAGTTATATCTAATAGGGTAATACCCATAGGCCCAGAGGATCGGACCCTTTACGACGGAGAGCTGGTCCAGTATCTCCTGAACAGGGGTAACTCGGGATCTAACAATAGAATACTTTTAGGATTTGGAATGTAAATGTAAAATCCCCCACATTTTCATAGCCTAGATTTTGGAAATTAGGATTAGCATAGCCTTTTTCATTGTTTCTGACTTTTTTAGACCACGTGATTAATCAAGAAACTTATTGGCAGATTGAAAATAATCTTATATACCACCCTACTCTGAATAGGCAGGACACATCTTTTTCTGTGCTCTTTTTCCCTTTAATGATGTAATTCAATTAAGAGTAAATTTAATGTGTAAATGCAGTGCATTTGACCCTTGATTGGACTCAAATTTGAGAGAACAAAGATCCTTCTGTTACATAACTTCTTGTATCTGTGTGAAAGTGGAAACAGATGTGAAAGATCATCTTGTCCCAGCTCTTAACTAGATGATCTACACTGAATGAAATATTCAGACTCAAGACTCGTGCTTTTATGGCCATCCCAGTTCATCAAGGTATCAGGTATTCTACTTTGAGAATACATAGTTTGTAAATCCCGTACATTTGACCTTAGATTTGACCTGAATTTTAGAAAACAAGGACATATCTCTCTGTGTAAAAAAGTTGAAATGTACGAAAACTACTAATGAAAGAAATCTACTGAGGACATGTCTTGACTCCTCGATGATAGCTTCAGCACTTTCCTCCCTCTTGATAGTACGTGGAGGATGGATATGTGGTTCTGGACGGACTGCTGACCTCCCAGGAGTGTGACGAGCTGAAGCAAAGGATGGCAGAGATAGTGGACCAGATGGACGTCCCGGAGCACTGCCGCACCACCTTCTCCACCTACCATGACGAGCAGCTCAAAACACAGGTGACCTAATGTGCAGTACCCTGTGAGATAAGTCTTTAAACAGTGTCAGTGACTCACAGTTTATCTCACAATATTTCTTTCACATGCTTTCCTTCATATCGCGCTTAAAGATGCAGGTAAGGTTCCCTTATGTTCATTAACTGCAGGAAGTCAGTGTGTTTCTCCTTCATGATCACGCTCACGACGTTTGTAGGTACTTGACCCCTCCACTGATTCACAGTGTTTACCTCGACCCTAGATGTCCTTCCTCTCAGGCTAATAGCAGACTTTTATGTCAACAGTCTAGTATGTGTCAGTGGGCTGTGTAATACAGTCATTCCCTGCTGGATCAGGGGACTGATTCACCTTTTGACCTGCAGGGAAATGCTGACTATTTCATCACCAGTGGAGATAAGATCCGCTTTTTCTTTGAGAAAGGAGTTTTTGATGACAAAGGTGAGCTCTGGTGAAATTCCTTTTAGTCTGTCCATTAAATTTTCAAATAGCAAAATGCCTAATTAGAGGGGTAAAGCATTTTTTTATCTTGCAGGGGAATTCATCGTACCAAAACAGCGGTCCCTAAATAAAGTCGGACATGGTAAGTTTTCTGATCATATTTCATGCACAAGGAGCTTCCCAACATCCAAATCTAATCCCAGTTTTCATCTTTTAGCACTACATGCCTATGAGCCACTGTACAAAAAGGTTACACATTCACCCAAAGTTCAGGTGAGCGTGAGCCTTTGAACAATATCAGAGAATGATGTATTTAGTCACAGAATAACCAACACTCACATTAAATCTTCTTCTTAGGGCATAGCGAAGAAGCTGGGTCTTGTAAGTCCTGTGATACTGCAAAGCATGTACATTTTTAAGGTAAAGCATTAACATCCTCCCCTCCATGCATGAAATGCCTTGTGTAGTATCAGATGCTATATGAGTAGTTTAGGATAAGATATCATTTCTCTTCCTCTCTCTTCCAGCAACCTGGGATTGGTGGGGAAGGTAAGGAATCAGTAATAAAGACTAAGCAATTAACATGATAAAGGATGAGCAGATTTTTGTCTGTTTTTCTTAGTGACTCCACATCAAGATGCCACATTTCTGTACACGGTGCCCCTGGGCAGAGTTATGGGGCTGTGGATTGCCCTGGAAGATGCCACCATTAACAATGGCTGCCTGTGGTTTATCCCGGGGTCACACAACAGTAAGCTGACAATATAACTAACCTTGCACTGTCGCTTCTAAAGCAGCTCATTCCACTCAGTACACTAGATAATCATCCAGACACTATTTTGTTTAATACTGTGTGGTTTGGTTATGTTACATTCCACACCTTTTCCAAGGTGGTATTTCCCGGCGTATGGTGCGTACTCCAAAGGGCACCTTTCCCCTGACAGACTTCACTGGTCGAGAGCAGACCTATGATGACGAGAAGTTTGTTGCTGCACCTGTTAAAAAAGGTAATTCATTTGCGTCTTAACATTCAAGTGGACAAATGACGGTGAATAAGGAATTAATATTTCTAAGAACTTACAGTGTGAGATATACAGTGTGCTACACAAGGATCCAGTGAAGCATAGGCATTTTGTCACTCATTCAGAACGTTGTGCATATAATGCAGTGTCTAAATGCAAAATGTGCATTGTTAGCGCTGAAACAAATTGTCCTTATTTTGTACAAATTAAACAAACAAGATAAAATGTGTTAATTAGTGGATTGGTAGGTGGAATTTACCATTGGACAGAGCCTGTTTCCCCCTGTTTACAGTCTTTATGCTAAACTAAGCTAGTGTTCGATAAAGAAAAACATAATTCTAAAAATATAAAACTTCCTTTAATGAATGGAAAATGTTTATACAAGTATTTTGATAATCGATTAAATGCTTATGGATGTATCAAGCAAAAACACCAAGCAACTGCTTTTACCAGTTCCACAAATTAGAGGATGTGCTACTTTTTACAGTATTGTAAGTTGAATGTTGTTTTTTGTTGTTTTGTTTGTTGTTTTTAACAGACAAAACAAGTCATGTTTTCATTTTATAGAAAAAGTGATTCATTTGATTAATTAATAAAAAAAAACAGCCTAGGTACTGTGCAGCACCAAATAAAGCTGTGAGAGTTGGTCAGTTGTTGCACATTTCCAACCTAACTATGAACTGTTCTGTGTTTAGGTGGTGTAGTCCTGATCCATGGGGAGGTGGTGCATCGCAGTGCTGAAAACACCTCAGAAGACTCTCGCCATGTCTACACCTTCCACATGATGGAATCCAAGGACACCTGCTGGAGCCCTGACAACTGGTGAGAGTTTATGAGTGCTGGGTTGCCCTGTGGCGTTTCTTTTATTTTTATTTCTGATGTTAATCAGCTATTTCCAGAAGTCAAAATCAGCAGGAGGGATAAATGAAATGCCCTGAGACATTGAAGTGATGCTACCTTTGAAAAAAAGATATCACAATCTTACTTTGACATTGTGAAAAGTTGAATTCATAAGCAATAAAACACATCCTCCTGGCTAATGTTAGCAAACTCTAGATATTACTGTGTAACTGAATATGGCTGCTGTAACACTGTTTTGTCATGTCACACAAACAATTGAATGGTTTTATCACAAAAGTAAACACATGTATGTTGTTTATTTTTGCTTGTGGTCCCACTCTATTTGCTCTGTTAGGTCACCTCATGATGTATTTTAATCAACAGACTTTAGAGAATATTAGGAAATGAGGAAAAATTGCCATGTTTAGCTGCTGTTAAGCAAAAGTAAAGCAATACTATGGAACTTTTGCAGCTTTATGTAGCTTTAGCAAGACTACATAATGTTTGCTGAATAGCGGCCACAAGTAACAATTGTGGGATAATGGTAAATGATGAATTGTACTGCAACAATAACAGTAGCACAAGGAGAGGAGAGTCATCCAACTGACTCAGTAATGTCCATTATAGAGTTGTACATACAGTACTATAAAGTTAGCTAATGTTAGCTACAGTACTAGTCATACCAGACCAAGTACAGCTGTGGTGCGTTTTATGCTTATGAATTCAACTTCTAATTTTTAAGCGGAAGATTGTGTTATGTCTTATTTTAAAAATGACATTGTCTCACCAAGACTCAAGTTTTTACATATTTGTCATGTTTCCGTCTCTTTGGTGTTTTAAAGGTTGCAACCCACTGAAGAGCTCCCTTTCCCGTCTCTCTACACTAAATGAAGGATGTTTTGGACATTTGGTGGAGCAGTTCATTGAAATACTACAAGTTTCCCTCTCTCCTGAAGAAGGACCAACATTATGAACAGCTTTAACCATATGAAATGTGCTATTTCACATGGCTTGTTTTGTATCCTACATGACACCATCTGTTCCTCTGAGCTACACGTAGGCTGGTATATAGCCTGATCCAGAATTACTTCAAAAGCAGAGTCAGTACTGGATTAATGGTGATTAACTCAGAACAGATGAATGTATCAATGTTTTTAAATGGGAGTCTTTAATACATAAAAAATAAAATTTTAAAAAACATGTTTGATGAACTTTCCATGGACACTCCAATACAACTCATATTTAGATATACTTTTATTCAGCAACGCCTCATCAACATTATAATCAACCAGCATTATTCTTGTCATTTTTTCTTATTTGTGTCGAAACGAGATGGCAGATTTGATTTTTTTTTTTTTTTTTTTTTTAAACAGACAACATTAAGCATTTCTATTTTCAAGTATGTTCATTTTAAGACATAACTTAAATGAAAATCAACTAAAATTGATGTAGGAATTAAACATCCAAATATCTTGCAGTGATTATTAAATCAAACTGTGAAACAAATGAGTTTGTTGTCAATATGCAGTCACACAGGTCCTGCTTCTCAATCGTCAGTTTCATGAACATGCATTATTACATTTTTAATGTACGTAATGTAAAGGTGATGGTAAAAACAACATACTTGTAGGATCATGCTAATAAATTGTTACAACATAAAAAAAACCCCACCAAAGAACGTTTACAGACCGACATAAACCAAAGGCTGTTTATTAATGCATGCTGAAAACAAGTTTCAGGATTTAAACTGTAGCATTCTCATCTAAGAATGATGAGATGAAACCTGATGACATTTGAGGATATTTCTATAAAGCAAATATTCAAGAAGATACATAAATTGTTGCAAAAAGAAAGTTGGGCTTATGTTTATCATTTTGGCCCAAAGCATATCTACAGACTCCAAAACTTTGCGGGGTTTGAAGGCTCAGTATCACAGGGAAATGTAAATATTCAGTTTAAGGGGTCCCATCAAACCTCAGAAATACCAAGCAAAGTCAATTTACCAAACAAAAATATACTGTAGGATACCTGTGTACGGTACTCAGTTTCACATTAGTGTCATGCGGGAGCATAGTGAGTATCTGCCATATCGAAGTATAAATCAGCCCTTATAAAGAAGAGTTGAGAAGGGCTGCCATGCTTTCATCTACAATAGTAGGTAATGTGTGATAGAAAATATACTTCTTAAGGCATATCTTTTCAGCAGTAAGTACTTCATATTGCCATCGGGGAGGCAAAAATAATCTAATAACAAAAATGTTGATCAGGAAAAAAGACATATCACTAAGCTAACCTTAAATAATGTTCTTCAAAGGCAATACAAAAGGCACGTATCCGTTTGGGACAAGATACGTAAACCTTATCATTGATGATCAAAATTTTGCAGCGTCTGTACTGTCCAGGTTTCTTTAGATGACTAAAGGACATTTTCCCACTTCGCTGAACCATCTCCTGTTGCATAATTCAGGAGCTGCTGGTGTCAATGGTCGAGTACCTTGTGACACGCAAAGAAACCATACACCACCGCCGTCACCACAGAGCAAGCTCAAAGAATATTTAGCGACTCTTACCTCACATTTCTTGGTAACTGATTCTAAAGTGATCGTCTCATTCCTCAAGGAAACTGATACTGAAATGACTTCTGATCTGAAGGCAGCAGACTCTAATGTCATGCTAACATTTAGTGCCACGTTGGTTTGTTGACATAATTACCTGGCTTGATTAAGCTGTCAGCTTTTAATTAGTTGTTTCTTGTGCTAGTAAAAATGACTCCCCTCTTTGATCAACTCCACTGATTCCTTAAAGGGGACTTCTACTATGATCTTTCTTACACTTCCCCCTCTGCAAATTCACCATTCTTTCTTCCCTCCAGAAAGAGCTGGGGACAGTGGGAGAGATCTGTTTTTGTTTGTGCCATCTGTCCAGTCAAAGCAACAGCAGGATGAAGAGGTAGAGTGGGAGTAGGAGGTTGTCTATTTGGGAGGTGTAGGCTTCCAGCATAGCCACCAGAGTGACCGAGCCAACAATCCATGAGTAGGTGGAGTTCAGATTGATGCTCCCATCAAAGATGAGAAACATGGCCACAGCGATGATCTGGGCGAACACAGATGTTGCAGTCCCCTCCATGGTTTTTTTTGTGCCGGGCCAACGGATCTCCCCCATGGTGCTGCCGAACACAGACGCCACAGTGTCTCCGACCCCCACAGCCAGCACACCTGCATAAGGCACCAGGCCACCTGCACCAGGAAGTATCCCCTTAGGAACGCAGGGCCCAGGGAACAGCCATATGGGCAGAGACATGCCCACCAGCAGGTAGATGTGGGTCAGGATAAGAGGCCCGGAGTCCCGCTCATCCAGGAACAAGGTGAGCACCTGCCTGAGCAGCTGACCCAGTGGCCTGATCCGAAAGTAACGCACGTACTCCAGGAGCAAGAACACCGCCAAGCAACCCACCGACGCCACATGGAGCAGCTGCCTGTCGTATATCAGCCCTGGAACGTATGTGGCCACTACAATCAGATGGAAGTACTTCCTGACAATAGTGGAGGCCTGGTGCTTCTTGGAGCCTGACTGGCGCTGGTGGTTCTGGTGTAACACAACACAAGTGGCCACAACAGACAAAAACACCCAGTACCCCAGCAGACAGAGTCTTCGGTCATTTAACGTGACAAAGTCCAACAGCCACATGATGGGATGCCGGCCGATGAAGAGAGAGAGCCACGGCATGAGGATTCCCAGACCCAGAACGGCTGTCATCATGTGAAAGAAAAGCGATGACACCCAAGTCTCAGACTCCATGAAGCAGAAGAGCAGGGCGAAGAAGACACCCAGCAACAGTGAGCCCACGACTACGACCGGCAGGAAATAATTCAGTGGATCACCTTTGACCTCTGCCAGGTTCAGGGAGCGCTTGATGAGCTGGTTGACAATGAAGCTGATTCCACCGACAATGAGTAGCGCCTCTCCAGGTGTGAAGCAGCGTGGCAGCAGGTAAAGCACAATCAGGCTGAGATAAACGAAGATCAACAGCACCTCTAACACCTCGATGACCTCAGACACCGTCAGCGTCTGCTTCGTCGTGTAGAGAATTGCAGTGCCGGCCATGCCCGCAATCACGCAAGTGTTGGTGGGTACTGGCCTTGTGATGCCCAGCGCAATCAGGGAGAGAAACAGAGCCAGGATCATGCCTGTGATGGTGATCACCATGGAGAAGCGCTCAAAGTAGACGTTCCCTGAGGCAGAGCACTTTTCTTTCAGCGCCAGGCCCAGCAAAGGCATCACCATGGAGGCCGGGACGATGCCGCTGTTTGCCGAGGGACGGAACTGGAACACGGCACCCCCTGACCTGAGCAGACGGTCCCACTTGTGCTGCACGTAGAAAGCCTGGATGAAGAGGGCTATGCTGCACCAGGAGTGCTGGTTCCAGACCGCCATGTGTACACACAGCACCACAGCCATAACTACAGCGGACTCCACGAGCACTGGGTTGATCAGCATGGCTGCGGGGCGGAGGCTCGCAGGGAGGGAGGATGTTTGGTCTGAACAGATGGTCTGCAACAATGAAGGCCTTCTTCTGTCAGTTCTTCTCTCTGGCACACTTCATCATTTGGCAGGCATTTTTCACTTGCTGTCTAGGGGAAGAAAGAGAAAATTTAATCAGTGACGTTACCATTCAAGAGTACATACATAAAATGCAATAATGAAAATAATTACAAGCATTACTGAATCCAGTAGTTGTGAGACCGGGTGTGCTTTATTCAAGTGCATGAGTCATCTAAGCTTATGCCAACAGTGAACCTTGGTCATACTTTATCTGCTGTCTTTCATGAACTATGGTCACAATGAACGGTCACCCTGTCAGTGTGAAATCCATACAGCTTTGTAAGCACATGAATGAGACCCCAGGAGAAATGCATGCTCTTTCTACATCAGCTGAAACATTTTGTTCCTGTGGGGGTTGAGGTAGGACTGACTTTCTACTGGGATGAATCAGCTGTCGAGGTTGTGTTAACACATGGCCACCACGTCTGACGGACACGGTGACAAGAATAACCCTCCGGTCTTTTGTTACATCCATGTTAATACAACCCGGTGGGGCCAGAAACGCGTCCCTCTGCAAGCCAAGAATGCTGCATCCTCGGACAGCATCAAGCTAACGGCGAGATACAGCTGACTCCACCGAGTTAGCATAACGCCACAGAGCACAAAACTGCTGGCGGAATGAAAATAAAAGCCAGGTTAGCAAAGACAAGCATACGTACCACATCGGTGCAGTGTTATCTGGACGAAGGTGCGTTGTGGTGCGAATCAGTGCCGTCCTTTATGACAGATTTCTTTCCTTTGTCAGCTGTCGCTCCTCTCACACCCAGTAGGAGGGGGCCATATTTGACAGCTGGGTCACGTGGTACAGTCGTAGAAAATGTCACAGAAAGGCGTGGTTTTCTTTTTTTTAATATTATTTTTAATTTTCATATAAAATACATTGTTTTGGTGTTCTGTCTTTAGGAAAGCGCATACTGAATATTCCGTTTATTTATTTTTTGTTTCATAGCTAGTTCAGCATTTAAGATGAACATAATTTAAACTGGATTACAGATGTAAAGGAAAAAGGTTATAAACAATTTTTTTTCTTAGAGAATTGGAAGAATTTAGTGAAAGATTTGGACTCGGGCTGGATTTCCGTTGTTTCATGAATAGAAAAAGGTTCATTTCGAAGCAAGTAATGATCTATATCCTTGTAATTAAGAGTAGGATTAAATTTAGATTGTATTGAATGTACAATGTTTTGTCAGACAGATATTGAATCTTTTCTGTAGCTGTAATTTTGTTAAATTGTTTTGGGACAGAATATATGATGAAGCTACGTATAAAGAATGTAATGCATGTTTTTGATTACCATAATTTTAAGTTTTGGTTGTTTTATGGAAAACAAATGTAGTGAGTTATTGTTTAGTATTTTCATAAGTGTAGATTTTTATTTAAAGCTGACCCAAGGTTTTTAGCATTTATTAATGATTTGAAGATTTGCATTCATTGCAAAAACCTGAGAAAGAAATAGTGCGACTCTCTGATTAATCCCCTTGATTAATTATATTTTTAAAATTGATTTATTAATTTATATTCATTTATAATACATTTTTCTACAAAGATACGTGTTTGTTCCTTGAAGATGCCATTAAAGTAGGAAAAACTACTCCGGAAGGTGGCAGTTGGCTGAAAATAAGAAGACGAGGAAGAAAGTGCCTGTGACGCTTATGACGACGCAACACAACAACCAATCACATGGCAGGAACGAAGATGGCGGAATCGGGGATCAGCGTCAGGTAGGGAGAGAGCAACAAAGTTTAGCTAACGTCTGCATTGTTTAAATAGTTATTTTAAGTATTCACCAGTGAGTTCACATTCCTACGCAACACGTCTGTTTATTAAGACCTATCAGCAGTAACATTTATATTTTGACAATGTGTGTTTTCAGCTGTTAGCACCACGCTAACTTAGCTTAGCAAGTGCTAGCAGTTAAACATTTGAATGGCTTTTCAGCAGCGCGGTGTGTCAGCCGCATGTCAACAACAGCAACTTGTAAACTACAACTCTGGTTATTTAACTAGATGAGGAGCCGGTGCTCACGTTTCTAGTTTATATGCCTCGCAATTAGCTCCAACAGTGGTTAGTTGTGACAAAGGAGAAGAGGCTAATGCTTGTGTTTGTGCACGGAGAGAACAATGACTAAGTTAGCTAACTCAACGTTTTATTATTTGAATGAAAAATATTTCCCTTCGCATCTGCAAAGTTTACAAATGAAACCATGTTCTGCCACTGAAACTACCCCAGCCTTCGACCTGTTTATAGATAATATAAATTTGTTACACTGAGTTAATATGAACTGACAGCTTTTATATTTGGGAAAAGTAATGTTAATGGAGGTGTAACTTTAAAGGAGGGTGTTTAAAATGCAGTAAGCCTCATAATGTATGAGTTATAAAGTGCATTGCAAGACGAAAGACGCAGTCAGCCTTATTGCGTGTGTACGCATATATCAGTATGTATTAACCAAATTTTTTAATATATCCCAACCCACTCTCTACATCAGTTATACAAAAACATTTTACAGCTGGTACATGGAACTGCTTTAGGGGTGGGGGATATTAAAAAATTATATATATATATATATATAATATATATATATTATATATATATATATATATATATATATATATATATATATATATATAAATAAAAGCCCAGGCTTTTATTATATATATATATATATATATATAATAAAAGCCCAGGCTTTTATATATATATATATATATAATAAAGCCCAGGCTTTATTATATATATATATATATATATATATAAAATAAAAGCCCAGGCTTTTATTATATATATATATATATATATAAAATAAAAGCCCAGGCTTTATTATATATATATATATATATATATAAATAAAAGCCCAGGTTTTATTATATATATATATATATATATATAAAATAAAAGCCCAGGCTTTTAATATATATATATATATATATATATATATAAAATAAAAGCCCAGGCTTTTATTTTTCCTTAAATCACTGAACTCCTGCTTATATTTGGGACAGATGACTACACGGGACAGGCCTTTAATTTCTTTACCATGCTGGTAAAGAATGAACATTTAGTACTAAATGAAGTACACTGGTGCTCATTGTTTTTGTAAAATGAACTAAACGATTGAATTGTGGAGAATCTAACAATCTGTAGAATGTCCATATTGACAAAAGTTTGAACTTTAATTTGGGTATGTGCAATCTAAGTGGCTTAGAACTAGCTCAAGGGGCTAGGGGACCTGTTTCTACGCCAAACTTCTATAAAAACCAGACCAGGCTACTAATTGAGACTTGCGTTTATTTGTCAAATCGTGAAGCCAAACCGAGCCAGTAAAAGGGTCATGTGTGTAACTGGGGCTAGGCTTTTACAGAACAATTATGTTACTAAGGTTTATATGGTCTTACAGTGTATATTGTCATATTGCCCACCCCTAATCTACTTATAAGATCAAATTGTACTTACACATGCAGATGACCCATGCTACTTTTCTGTGTAATGTACATTAATGTCAGTTATCGATTTAATATATACATTGTTCTCTCAGGAGCTGTCGAGAATTATGGACCATACTGCTGGGAAGATCTGCATTGCGAGAGCCGGTATGTCTTCCTGCCACATGTCTTGCGGGGGGGGGGGTCAAATGGTCCTCTTCGTACTTTGATTCTTGCATGTGTAATTGGTGGAATGATGTAAACCAAAATCACAGACATAATTAATATTAGCCAATTACTTTATACTCGTTATGAAGAAAATATATTTGCAGAAAATTACACTAGACCAAATGACACAAGTGATTTTTCCCCTCGTTTTTTATGAAATGTTTGACGGGCACAGGCTCAGATAGAGGCAGAGCTGGACAGACACTGGGACAGACTGCATCAAGGACTCACCTACTACAAGCCACCCAGGTATCTTACAGTTATTCAGATCCAACATCAAATACGCTGTTACCCTTTGGTTTTTTTCAATGATTAACTGTCAACCTAATTTGTTCTAGCCCATCCTCTGCTGGGAAAGTGAAGGAGAACAAAGATGTTGCACAACCATTGAAGGATTTTGGCCTGAGGATCAGTAAACTATTGGTAAGAGTTAAACATTTCTGTGTTGGGTGGTTCACTGTCTTCATTTGATGTCTGTGGAGATTCTTTGTCATCCAGGTTATAGTTATCCGAGGAAGGTTAAAATCAAAGGCAACTGGACTTGGTTGAAGATGCATGGTTGGTTGTGCATTTCATAATGATTTGATTTAATGCTTGTTACAGGGTCTTGATGAGCAGCAGAGTGTGCAGCTTTTACAGTGCTACCTACAGGAGGACTACAGAGGAACCCGTGACTCGTTAAAGGTGCCTGGTCCCACTTGGAATTTTTTTTCTGAAATCTTGGTGCGCTCAACAAAATCTTACCTGCTGTGTGCAGTTTTATAGAAAAATGAGAATACTAATAAATGCATTTAGGTTTTCAGTAAAGCTGTGTTTTGTATGTGGGATTTAGTGCTGCAGTCACTTGGATTAAGGGTTAGGGTTACAATTTTTCATGAGGAACAAAAGAAATCAAAGATTGTAAGAAGATATAATAAAAGATTTTCAGATGTTTGCTAACAGAGTCTTCCATACAGGTTGTTCTCAAGGATGAGCGACAAAGCCAGGCACTGCTGCTAAAGGTCAGTACATCTACAGTCATTTAGACTTACTGTGTAGTCAACCTTGATTCAGCGTGACTGTTACATTTCCATTTTTTACCCAGTTATTATGACTGTGTGTATTCACAGATGGCTGACTATTACTACGAGGAGCGCACATGTCTGCTCAGATGTGTCTTGCTGTTGCTGACATACTTTCAGGACGAGCGACATCCCTACAGGGTGAGAAGCAGCTGGATTTGCCTCACATCAGATAATAGAAGAAAATAAGTTTATTCTTTGTTGCTTCTGTATTATAATTGTGGGTGTGTTTGTTTTTGTCCAGGCTGAGTACAGTAACTGTGTCAGTAAGCTGGAGAAGGACCTAGTGAGCAACTACCAGTCACAGTTTGAGAAGCTCTTCAAAGCAGAAGCACCAACATGGGAAACTCATGGAAACCTCATGGTGATAATTTGCTTCATATGTTTGGGTTTTTTTAATACTGTATATTGTAACCTAGATCCAATATAAAATCACAAATTGTTTGAAATGAAGGTCATTTGTCCATCAAAGGATGTAAAATAACTTTTTTTGTTGTTGTGTTTTTTTTTTTTTAAGACTGAGAGGCAGGTGTCACTATGGTTCCTGCAGTGTCTGAGAGAACAGTCTCTGCTGCTGGAGATCATCTTTCTGTATTACGCTTACTTTGAGATGAGCCCGTCTGACCTGCTGACCTTTACCAAAATGTTCAAAGAAGAGGGCTTCGGTTTGCGGCAGACCAACAGACACCTAGTAGACAAAAGCATGGACGCGCTGGTTGATCGCATTGGGTAAGAGCACCTCAGTGTTTGTATGTGCCATTCATGTGTTTAAAGGAACGTAATTGTAATGTCTTGTATGTTTCTCTGGCCTGCAGCTATTTGAGCTCTCTCATCCTGGTCGAGGGAATGGACATAGACTTCCTACACAAGTGTGCCCTAGAAGATTGTACAGATCAGCATCAGTTCTCCAGTGCTCCTGACGTCATCAAGGTTTGACTGGGATCTCTAAATGCAACAGACATAAATACCCTGTAATACACCTGTAGAGCAATAACACTCAACCAAACAGGGTATATACAATCTGAAAAAGCAAAACAATGAGCTTAATTAGGCTCAAAATTGTGCACAGTTGCAACGTTGGGTAAAGCAATTATCCCTTTGTTGGAAAAATATTAGTTCTGTTTTTCAGTAGAAAGGAGAGAGGGACTCTACTAGCCCACTTTATAAATAAAATCCCTAGCTCTAATGTTCACTCATCCAAATTGCATATAATTGATGACACACTGAGAGAACTAATTTAGGCATCTAGAATAAACCATACGAACATGTGAACCTTCACATATCCTCTGATTCTTCTAGGAGATGGATCAGCTGCTGCTGACATTTGGTGACATCCCTCATCACGGGCCAGTGCTGCTAGCCTGGGTCCTGTTGAGACACACACTGCGACCAGACGAGTCCAGCCCCGTGATCAGGAGGATCGGCAACACCGCCCTGCAGCTGGAGGTGTTCAAGTACATTTCAACCATGCTGAAAGGCCTTGGAGTCACAGGGAATAATGTAAGAGACCAAATGTACCCACTTTGGTCAGGTCAAAGTTAAAGAAGGTGGACATTTTTAGTTAAAAGGAAAGTGGTCTCTTTTTAATGGGTACTGTCTGGTCAGAGCTACTAAAACAATTTCACACTTTTGGACACCCTGCCTCACTTTGCTTAACTTGTAGAAAAACATGAAGTTAAGGAAGTTACATGTCTTTTCATGAGGAAACCCACTCTCTAATCAAAGGCCATAGAGCTATGGATCTCAGACGTCCTCCCGGGTTCAGAGTGCTTCTGGTTTTCTCTAGCAGGTAGTTAAATTTAATCACATGGGGCCTCAGACCTAAATCAGTCTCTAATGAGATGGCTGGAATGAAAACCACCTGGCAGTAGGGAAACATGCTGTACTCTGGATTAGTCAGAATTTGAGCTAAATCAGACTGCGGGTTTCATAATCATGCCCCTCAAGCTGTGGTTTATATCTCCAGTGCAGCCAGACATTGAAGTGACAATGCACTGAGAAAATATACTGGCTTTCTAACAGTCAACAGCTTGGCTAAACGTTGTTTGTGGGAACACTGAAAATGGCAAAACTGACCACTGAAAATAGCACGTTTCTCTAACAAACCATCACATTTTGTGCATCAAAAACTCAGTTTCCTGATTAAAATATAACACTGCAACACAAATAAACATAACAGTAGGTACTATCCATTTTTTCTTAGATAGCTATTTGTATTGTTATACCACATTCAATTTTGTCACTCTTTTTGTCTTCAGTGCACAGCAAGCACAGCAAAGATGTGTATCTACGGTCTCCTCTCATTTGTGATCACTTCTTTTGAAGAGGAAAGCCTACAGGTATACACCCATGCATGTTTGCATGCAAAAATTACGTACTCTCATTCATATTTGTAACCTGTGTTGGTAACTCGTCTTATCGTGATGCATGTGACAGACTGGTGGTGTGGTGACACAGTGCTCCCACCTGATCGATGCTGCCTGTGATGTCCTCTCTGCTCCCAGTCTGGCTGAAGTCTTTTGGGAAATGGTGAGAAAGAAGAGAAGAGAGAAAATTGGTTTAAAAACAAAAAAATGTCAACTCTTGATGCTTTGCCCTGTTTGTTAAATTTTAAATCCAGAAGCCGAACATGGGATTGGGAATGATCCTGGACAACGCAGTCGGGATGTTCCCTCATAAGATCGGACCACTGTTGCAGCTTCTCACTGCACTTCTGTCAAACAAGTCGACTGTTAAAAAGGTAGATTTCACACATTCACGGACGTATAAACACTCAACCTTGCCTTAATGTAAATGGTTAAACCATGGATTTTTTCATATCTGTTCAACAGGTGTACAACTTTTTGGACAAGATGTCCTTTTACACACAAGTTTACAAACATAAACCCAATGATGTCATCTCCAAGGACGATGAGACTCTGTGGAGGAGACAAACACCCAAACTCCTCTACCCTCTCGGTTAGTTTTTTTGGTTGTTACTGAGATTTGAATACAGATACAACATTTAGTGTGCTGAAGAATGTCAGAGGGTCTGGTGAATTTTTAATGCTCATTTGTATCATGCATAATCACAGAATATTTAAGATTTTTTTTTAAAAGTTTCTCTCAAGTAACATACCTCCACTATAACCTTGTGTCTCCACCATCAGGCACAGGGCAGACTAATCTTTGGATACCGCAGGGAGTGCTGGGCCAGGTGATGATTGGAGGCGAGCAGGGCTACGTGGTTCGCTGGGACTACTCCTACAGCTCCTGGACTCTCTTCACCTGTGAGGTGGAAATGCTGCTCCATGTTGTTTCCACTGCAGGTACACTGCTGGTCATTCATATATTCTCACCAAGCAGATTATTAAATCCTTTAAAAGGTAATAAGGCTGCTGATACTTGTTGTTGTCAGCAAATCCCATTTGGATACCCTCACAATACTTGTTAGTACAATCAAGTAATTCTTGGTTTTGGTCTTTCATGGGATTTATTGGCAGTAAGGATTAGGGGTACTATCAGCTACACAACTGAAAATATTTTATAAATTGTCAGTAATAATGCCCAGTTATCATCACAAGTTACCATCAGACCTCAAAGAAATGTCACCAAACTGCTTTCATAGATTGACTAAGCAAAAAAAAAAAAGTATTCGTTTTATTATTAAAAAAGAAATGTCTACTGTATCCTAGCTGATTAAATTATTATTCCACTCATTGTTTCAGCATAATTAACTTGTCTGTGTTTCTCCGCCTTTTCTTGTTCTAGATGTTTTAGCTCACTGTGCACGTGTGAAACCCATCCTGGATCTGGTCCATAAGATCATAAGCACAGACTGGACCGTGTCAGATTGTTTGTTGCCTCTCACGTCCGCATCTACATGTTGCTGCAGAGGTAAATTAACTTTAAAGAGACATTTATCTGTTTTAACTCTTAAGTGTGGTTAGTATTTGTACTTCCTATTTGAAACAGTCTTGATTAGACACCAAGAATGAATTTGCTGAATCATTTGTGTGTTTACCGTCTGTTAGGTTAACATCAGTCATCAACCCACCAGTGGATGTGATTGCCTCCTGTGTGAACTGCCTCTCTGTACTGGCTGCAAGGATGCCTGGGAAGGTGGGTATGCTGGATACATCCAGTGTGAACAGGAAGTAAAATGAAGGAATAAAAACCTCTGTTCTTGAATCCTCCTCAGACATGTAATCTATATTTATTTACCTTTAGGTGTGGTCCAGTCTGCACCACACAGGTTTTCTCCCCTTTGCCTCCAACCCTTTGACCAGCACGGCTCAGTGTGTAAGGTAAAGTAAAAAACCCACAGTTTAATTTGCCTGGCAAATATCAGACTTATTTTTGGAGGAAGTACTTAAAAGTATTGATTCCAACAAAACCTTTTATTTACTTTTTTGTTTTTTGTAGCGCTGAAGGGATGAAGGCAGGTAACTATGGCAACCTGCTGGTCCAGATCGAGCAGCCAAGGGGGGAGTATGCTGTGACCATCGCCTTCCTTCGTCTCATTACAACCCTGGTCAAGGTAACAGTTTTTACCAAATATGATGTACAACTGTTTTCTGTAGTAGCAGCTAATTTGCTATTTTACATTTAAAAAAAGGAAAGAATGAATTTTATTCTATTTGTTTTCTTTCTTTTTTTTTAAATGTAGAAATGTGGTGCTCTGCTGCTATAACATACATCTTATCTCTCTTATCCTCTCCCTGTTGATTAATTTCAGGGTCAGCTTGGCAGCACTCAGAACAAAGGCCTGATCCCCTGTGTGCTGCTGGTGTTAAAGGAGATGTTGCCCACGTACCATAAGTGGCGTTACAACACCTATGGAGTCAGGGAGAGGATAGGTAAAGGGCGCATCTCTGACATGACAGTGAATACTAGATTCTGTCTTACAGATTAGAAAAGTGAAGCAAAAACTTAATAAACACCGGCTGCATTATGTTGCTGCAGGCTGTCTTATTTTGGAGCTGATCCATGCCATTCTCAATCTCAGCCCAGAGGGAGAAGATCAGGGCAGGTAAGGATTAATTTTTTGGGATTAAAGTGTCTTAATTCTGTAACCTACACATTTTTCTTGTAAATTCGCCCAGGTGAACAGGCTGGTAGGAATAATAATTGTGGACATATTACCGTACATGCAATTGAAGTTAACAAGTTTATAATTTGCACTGTTTAAATAATGTTTGACATTCTTAAGGTTTTTACATTGTTATACATTAACATTCTTGAGCTAAAATGATTAGTCGAATAATCAGTCAGTTGATCTACATTGAATATGCATAGATTTTTTTTTTTTTCCCCAAACAAAAATGATAACAATTTTACTGGTTCCAGCTTCTCAAATGTGAGGATTTGCTGCTTTTAAAAAGTCTATGATAATAAACTAATCACAGATAATTTAGACACAACAAGATATTTAACTGTCAACTTTTCCCACTATTTTCTGATATAATAAATAACGAAAAAGATTTTTTGACAGACATTTGTTTGTTCTTGTGTTGATTTAGTCTTTTCTTTTCTTGATGCAGCACTCCCACTCTGCAGTCTCTGTGTATCTACAGCCTGGCAAACACTGAGGCTGGACAGGCAGTTGTCAATATCATGGGAGTTGGAGTGGATACCATAGATGTGGTCCTGGCTGCACAGCCCAGCAGGTAAACAGACAAAACTTACCAATCTAGTTTTCCTCATTATGTATTCCTAGAATTAACCCCATAACCATATTTTTGACATTGCTGATTTTGACACCGATTGTGTTGTCGGGTTCAGTAGTTATATTTTCTTCTCTCTTTCTCTCTCTGACGTTGACCAGCTGTGTCTCTGAGGGTCCCGGTCAGATCCTGATCCAGACAGTAAAACTTGCCTTCTCTGTCACCAACAATGTCATCCGTCTGAAGCCGCCATCTGACGTTGTGTCCCCTCTAGAGCAGGCCCTGACTCAACATGGGGGTCACGGCAACAATCTCATAGTTGTGTTGGCCAAGTATATATACCATAAACATGACCCTGCGCTGCCTCGCCTGGCAATCCAGCTGCTCAAAAGGCTCGCCACTGTAAGAGCTTCAGATATATTTGTACACTATGTTTCTTGTTGTTTTGAACAGCAGCACATATTGATGTGTTTTTGTCTGCAGGTGGCTCCCATGTCCATCTACGCTTGCCTTGGTAACGACGCAGCAGCCATCCGCGACGCATTCCTCACTCGGCTGCAGAGCAAGACAGAAGACATGAGGATCAAGGTCATGATCCTTGAGTTCCTCACCGTTGCTGTGGAAACCCAGCCCGGCCTCATTGAGCTTTTTCTCAACCTGGAAGTCAAAGATGGAAGTGAGGGGTCAAAGGTATGACCTGCAGGATATGTGTAGTAAGATAAAGAGGTCTACTTGTTTTTACATTTAGTAGTGCCGTGTCGTGATTCTTTTCCTTTCTTTTACCTGCAGGAGTTTCTGCTTGGTGAGTGGAGCTGTCTTCATGTGGTGTTGGACTTGATTGACTCCAAACAGCAGGGGAAATATTGGTGTCCTCCGCTGCTCCACCGAGCGGCACTGGCCTTCCTCCTTGCACTCTGGCAGGATCGCAGAGACAGTGCCATCTCTGTGCTTCGTAAAAAGTAAGCACATTACCTGAGACAAAATTCTGATATGTGCATCTGGATGTTTTGAAAGACTGAATAATGGAGTATGATGAATATATCATTACTTTTTTACACAGAGAAAGGTTTTGGGAAAATTTGACAACACCTCTCTTTGGAACCCTTACCCCACCTTCAGATACCACAGAGGTATTTTTTAATGATTACTTAATCAGTTATTTGATGTCAAGTATTTCAACTCAAGAACTGTATTTTCTCTCAGCCTTGTGTTCTGGAGACGTGTGCTTTTGTCATGAAAATCATCGGCCTGGAGATCTACTATGTTGTCAGGTAATTTCAGAATCCCTAATATAATAAGTTCCCATATTTATCACTTTCATTTACAGACGATAGCTCAAATCTCACATAACTGAAGTTAAATGTGTGTGTTGTTACAGTGGTTCCTTGGAGCAGTCTCTGAAAGATGGGCTTCAGAAGTTTTCCAGTGCACGACGATACGAGTACTGGTCCCAGTATGTCAAGTCTCTAGTGTGCCACGTGGCAGAGATGGAGGAGGAAGGCATCTGTTACTTTCCTGAGACCCAGATGTTGATCTCTGCCTGGCGGATGCTGCTCATTCTTTCCACTAGCCATGTATGTTACAGCAAACACGTCATGATATTAGTGTGTTTAGGTGTTGATTTATGGGCCGGGGATCAGGACTAGTTCTTAAAACGGGTTGTCACATCGGAAAACAAAAGTGTTTATAGTTGTTCCAAACGGCTGTGCTTGATGGTGGAGTGAAAAGCCAACCGTTATAGAGAGGAGGGAGACTGGCTATCGATAAAATTTTCTACTCCTGGTAGACATTCAAACCATGACTCCTTGGCTGGGTGCCAGCGATTTTCTCTATCCAACTACTCGAACTATTCCTTTTTATTTATTTTTGATTAATTTGAGTGTCCTGAAACTTTTAAGTGACCTGATAAATTCATGAAGTGTTTTTTGGGAAAATAAACCACATGAAAACGTGATTTAACGAAGATTGGTATGTTTTATGCTTTCAGTCCGATGTGATGCAGGTAACGGATGATACGACCAAACTGAAGCTTTTCATGGATGTCCTGGATGGGGCCAAAGCTGCTGTAAGTCATCATGGCAAAACACATTTTCCTGTGATTTTATTTCTGCAAATTTCTTGTTTTACTTCTTTTGTTTTTCTCTTCCTTTTATTGCAGTTTTACTTTCTAACTTTGCTGTCTCTTTCAGCTGACTACACCCATGTCTGTGCCATGTCTTCGTCTTGGATCCATGATGGCCACACTACTACTCATCCTCCTCAAACAGTGGAGATGGTGTGTATTCTTGCATCTAACAGAGGAAGTTAATAGGTTTCCTTAATCTTGTAGTCGACAGTGCACACTTGACATATCCTTTACTCCTTTATCTCTAATAAACTCTGTTACTAATCTCCAGTGTGGTGGCAACAGCTCCTGACATCTTGTCTCCCCTCTCGCTGATCCTGGAGAGCGTCCTGCAAGCTGACCAGCAGATGATGGAGAGGACCAAAGCCAAAGTCTTCTCTGCACTCATATCTGTACTTCAGATTCAGGGACTCAATGGTAAGAAGCTAGTGTGTCTTCTTTTGTCTGTATTTAAACTAGAGACCACTGCAACATTAAATTCAGTCTTCTTGTTGATTCATTTATTTGTCAACTAGGTGGAGATATTTCCCAGCTGCCCCAGCTATTGCTGTCTGTGTGTGAGACGGCGAAAGACGAGGCATTGGCGTTAATTGACAGTACTCGGCACATGAGCCAGACGGGAGACACGGTGGAAGACGAGGATTGCATGGAGACAGACTCTCCCCGCGGCCCACAGAAGGACAAAGAGATGGGGTGAGCCAAGGCAGGAAGATTGCTTGTAGATGGTGCTTTTATGCACTTTAAAAGCCTATTTTGGTTCCACACTTCTCCAGAGGAGTCAACAAAGTGGTTTCACACTTATTTAATCTTTATCAGTAGTTATGACTAGTATAAACCTCCCATAACAAATTTTTGTGGCAACTTGGGGGCAGCGGAAACAAGTTGTGATCACAATTGACCATTTAAGTTGAACTTCTTACCAAACCATTGCTTTCATCCAGCAGTTAAAGAGCTACAAACAGACAGCATTTATTCGGCTGTTTGTTTCTGTCCTGTGTTTGGTCTCTACCAACTCCTGAAGGAAATATCTGGCTCTTTTAGCTACTAAATGCTCCACTATGTTTGCCTCTAACTGTGTGTGTGTGTGTGTCTGTTGTTTGGTGCTGAACATGTAGTGTACAGTTGGTTTTTAGAGCTTTTTTGCTGAAAACAGCTGCCTGCTGTGCCCGAAAACTATGCTATGAGAGCGTTGAGTGAACAAAAACATAATGAGCTGAAAATTGCTGCAAAGCAGTGGGGAGCAACACGCTACCCTTTCACATCGCCATTTGGTACATTGTTATTATGAGAATATCTATTATGGCCACTGTGAGATGAGATGAAAAGCAGTTGGATGTTACGTAGACAAAAACTACATTGCTGTGATACGAGCAAAAAAATCAAACTTCATCAGCAGTGGCCATGAACTTATTCACGTTAATGAGTGCAGTGCATACAGCAAAAGCACAAATCCAACATAAAATTAATTCTATGCATGCTTCTTTTAATTTTTACCAGGTGTGTGTACTAGCATTGCACTTAGCGAAGGAGCTGTGTCGCACTGATGAAGACGGTGAGCACTGGGTGTCAGTGATGAGGAAGGTTCCAGTCCTCCCCTCGGTGCTCAGTGCTGTTGAACTAAGCCTGCGATCCAAACACAACCTCTACTTCACTGAGGCTGCGCTTCACCTGCTGCTCACACTGGCCCGCACTCCTCAGGTAAACACAACCTTTCTACTGTGTAAAGGAAAAGGTTAGCGCTATGTTTTTGCTGTGAAAAGACCAAAACCAGCAATGTGTTAGTCTGTCTCTAAATATTTCTCACTTCCCTACCCCGTGTCTGGCTCTCAGCATTCCCTCCGAGCCTCCCGGCATCTGTGCCCAGGCTTTTAAAGAAAGTTTCTATAAAAATGCTGAAAAATATACTATAATTACATTTTTTTTTTTTTTTTTTTAAAAAGGCTCAGCAATTTCCCAAACATCTCTCAAAGAGAAGTACATAGTGCGATTGGTTTAGTACGTACTTATTTGGTGCTCTATTTTATTTACAGCAGCATACAGTGTATTTGGGATTGACTCAGAATAAACTCCAAATTTATTATAAGGACCATGTCAATTAATGTGGTGTATGGCACATTAGGATCAATTCATTGTTGGTTTTCTTGTTTTCATTGGAATAAAACTAAGAAAAATATAGAATATCACCAACCTCATCCTTTTAATGTTTTTAAATCAATCAAGATGTCAAAAGTTGTGGGGGGGTCTTCATTTGTCCTCCAGGGGGCAGCAGCTGTTGCTGGAGCAGGAGTCATCCAGACTATCTGCCTCCCTCTTCTGAGCGTCTATGAGGTGTCTTCAAATGGTGCATCTCAGGTAATAAAAATTATAACAATCCCTTAACAGAATTTCTTTTCTGCATTGTATGTCAAATACCATTGCTTATTGATACAGACAAAGCACTGCAATAAAATTTAAGTATTAACACAGTATATCTTTGTCTGCGAGCAGAGTTTCTCCCGGAAGTCCCAGGACACTGCCTGCTGGCCAGGAGTGTACCGCCTCTGCATGTCATTAATGGAGAGTCTGCTCAAGACTCTGCGTTACAACTTCATCAACGAAGCCCTGGACTTTGTTGGAGTACATCAAGAACGCATTCTACAGGTATGACTGTGACGGCAGAAAACAGTGAAAAATGCTCCTCAATTTCTAAATCCCAAGTCCAAATACACAGATGTTCAGTTAAATATCACCACTACTTAAAACTGCACTTTACTACTGTAAAAGATTAAGAAGAATGAGCAAATATTCATAATTTGAGAACCTGGAACCAGTGAGTTCTTTGCATTTTTTTCTTTACATAATTACTTTACCAATTATTTGATTATCAAAATTGTTGCTATTAATTAATGTTCTGTTTACCAAGTAATGACTAAATACTATTACTAATCCTCATGTTGACGTTTTTGCTTTTGCTCAGTGTCTGAATGCAGTGCGAACAGTGCAGAGCTTGGCGTGTTTGGACGAGGCGGATCACACGGTCGGTTTCCTACTGCAGCTCTCAAGCTTCTGTAAGGAGTGGCAGTTTCACCTGCCCAAACTGCTCAGAGATATACAGGCAAGTCCAGAAGAAAGCTCCACATTGGCAAAGATAAGGGTTAGACACACATTCAGTTGTTCAGTATTTTTCTTTCCATCTCCTCCGCGCAGGTAAACCTGTGTTATCTGTGCCAGACCTGCACGTACCTGCTCCACAGCAAAAAGATGCTCCATCACTACCTCCAGGTCAAAAATGTTTTACCTTCATATGATTTTAATAACACGAACTGCAGCAGTGGTACATTTATATTCTATTCTGCATTATAACCAACAATGAGTGTGACTTGCACATTGTGTGTGTAAGCAGCCAAGAAATCTGCCACAAGAATCCAGTTAAAATGTTGTAATATGTTTATTTATTCAGATAAATAACAGGTTTGTGTGTTTTGGGATCTTGTTTAGGCTAAAAACGGTGAGGCGTTGCCCCCCGGGCCCCTACCCAGGACACAACGCCCCCCTCAAACCCCATCGAAAGAGGCAGCAGGTGGAGGGGAGAGAGAGGAAGCAGAGCAGAAGGCCCTGCTGGCTGTACAGTGCAGTCTTCTGAAGATCCTCAGCAAAACCCTGGCAACTCTGCAGCACTTCACTCCAGACTGCTGCCAGATACTCCTGGACCAGGTCAGCCTGCTTATTCTGCTCTAATAAGCACTTTTGTCTCTAAAATTATGTTTTTAATCCTGATTAGTAGCTTCAGATTTCTAGGAGCATCTTAAGAAACTGTGGCACATGTTGACATTTATATTGTGTCTCTGCCTGTGGCAGAGTATGGACCTGGCAGAGTATCGAACCCTGTTTGTGCTCAGCTTCACAACTCCAGCGTTTGACCCTGATGTGGCTCCTTCATTTGGAACCCTGCTGGCCACCATCAACGTGGCCCTGAGCATGTTGAGCGAGGTAGATGTTCTCCATAATCATGTAATAACTTCAGCTACAGGCAGCCTGCGGTAGATGCCTGATTGTTTTTGTGTCATTTTTTCACAGATGGAGAAGAAGAAAGAGCCAGTTTCCTTGAGTATAGCTTCACTGGCCTCATCAGAAGAGATCCAAGCTCTGAAGTGAGTAAAACTCAAGCCTGCTACTTTTAAGTATTATTTGAAAGGGACTTCTTTGCCTTCAGTCAGGGCCAGGCTGCCTCTAGCTTGCGGTCTTTATGCCAAGCGGCTGCTGGCACTATTCATGTTACTTCTTTGTGTTAGTTTCAACCAGGGATCGGCAAATAAGTCTGGCATCGGGCCAAATTTTTTTCAAGCCATTATATGGCGGCCAGAACAAAGTCAAATTATTTCAACCATTGTGTGCATGTTTAGCTCAGTAGGTACTGTGCAGGACTCCCGTTAGGAAGATTGGAAGATGAATTCCAATAACTGCGTGTATCCCCCCCCTTATTACTTGATTCTAAGGACACTTTTGCACATGCTCACTATAAGGCACGTGCTGCAGTATGTGTGTGCCCGGCGTTTGATCTGCATTCATAAACCTATGGACGCTTATTTTCATTTCCTTGAGGAAATTCAGGGCGTGAACTACGGGGGAGCCAGGGGGAGCTAAGCTCCCCCTAATAAGACATCAGCTCCCCTAAAAGCATGATTTGTGATAAATTGGGGTCTCTAAAATATTGACAGCATGCTTTATTACACATTAATATATATACATACAATAATCTTATCATGGATCATGCGGAGCGTTGGACAGAGGAAACAATCACCGATCGCAGCAGGGCAGTCACTTCGCGATCTCCTGTCCCTGGTCCCCCCCCACTCCCTCTCCGGTGCCGACAGGCTGTGAACGGTTTGTGACCGTTGGCTGAATGAATATTACATGATCCATGCACTACTGCAAGTGGGGGCTCTCCGCAGCACCATGCAACTTTCTACATTCTTCCCAGAGGTGTGTCAAGCAAGCCAGAGACTCTTTTGAATGTCCTTCAGAACTCTTCAAAGTAAAAGCTTTCAATAAACTCAACATAAAGCATTGCTGCAATAAACGTTCTTGCGCTTTTATTTTGCAGCCACAGTCACTTAAGAAGAAGTGATTGTGTGAGTAACTGTCATGACTGATCTTTTTCAGCACCAGCTGCTATCTATTTATTTTTCTGCTATCAAAGCTATCTGGCTGCGGGCCAGATATTATTGCTGGTTCTGGCCCGCCGGCCACCTATTGCCAACCACTGGTTTAGACCATTAAATTGAGAACTTGCTTCTGTTATTTCAGGTCCTTGCTAATGTTCACCATGGAGAACTGTTTCTACGTGCTGATCTCTCAGGCTGTTCGGTGTCTCAAAGATCCCTCCATCCTCCCTCGAGACAAACAGAGGCTCAAACAGGAGCTCAGCTCAGAGCTGGTGAGACGTCACATCTCTCTTAACCTGTCTTCTGTATGACTTTTAAAGGTCTGGTTATATTCTATATTTTTTTATTGTCAACAAATGAAAAGACCAAAACCACCAATGCGCTTGTGCTTTTACCAAGTATGTGAAGAAGCCTGATGAATTCTTCTGTGCCAGAGAACTCAATTGTTGTCGAACTTTTAAACAGTGCTCCGCTGTTTCAGGAATTACAGAGCCAGTCTATTGGGGCTAAGAGCCACAGATCGCAAGTATAGAGAGATGTACTTAACACATTCATGGTTTTGGTCTTTTGTTGACAATAAGAGGAATCTAAAATAACACCAGCCTTATCTTCGATCCTTCTCTTTTCTTCACCACCAGAGCACTCTTCTCTCGAGCCTGTCGCGCTACTTCCGCAGGGGCTCACCATCGTCTCCAGCCAGCAGCATCCTCCCCTCCGCCCAGTCCAAACCACCCACACCAGGATCCAAGGGAAGCCACGAAGGTCAGGAGCCATTCATCCAGCTCGTTCAGGCATTTGTCAGACTTGTGCAGAGATAGATTTACATTTCCAGCAGAAGACACACGAGGAGGATTTTCCCAATATAAATACTCACTGTTGTTTTGCCTCTAACAACGGAACAAACTGGTTTTTATGTACACCATTGCAGTAGTTAAAATAGCACAAATGTGTGGCTTGGAGTGAGTGTTTGATTCTATGTTTAGTAATTGGAGCCATATTTTGTTTAATTTTGCCAAAACAGCTGTTAACTACATTTGAGATGACCACAACCAAAGTGTTTACTTTAAAAGGCCAACGAGAAGCTGCCTGATTGTCCAGAAAAACATGTATTACGAAGATGAGTCTGTAGAGATGTTGGTGCTCCTAGACATCAGTCAGCGACTGGGGTCCACTTTTCCAAGGCCTAGTTTTATAGGTCACTTTGATGATACTGACCAGACACGTTTCAAGTGCTACTTAAGAAATTAGACCTTTCAAATATAATCTGCTCTATAATCTAATCCTGAGTTGTAGACAAACCTTTTTTTCTAATTCCCTTCACTAAATCTTGATCTGAACTTTGCTATTTTCTTATCTCTGCTTATCCATGTACACATTTTGAAGTGGCTGCCAAGATTTATACTTTAAAAAAAAGTATACGTTAATAAAGGGACTTTTGTACCACAATTGTGTCATCATAAGTTGTCTTTACTGCATTTGTACATAATTCCTTGAACACACAGTAGCCCTGAACCATAAACTGGCCGATGAAAACAAACGTTATAAACAATAACTCTGTAATAAAATACATTTTCACGTTCTTATATGCATCATATAAAAGGAAATATTAAAATGAATTACTATTTACAAAGACGATTTAAGAATTTTTTACAACTTAAGTACCTAACATAAATCAAATTATAGGCTGGTCATGTGCAATTATAGTATAAAATGACTGATATCTGGAGAGTAAGGTGACAGTTTTACAGCAGAATTAATTAGGTAGCTACATTATCAAAAGCAGTTTACGCCATTGTACCGGAAGAGTTAGTAGCTGCAGTGTAAAGAGGCGTCACTATTGTGATCCTCTGAGGCTCCAGAGTGTCTGCCTGCAGTCGTCCAGGGACAAATATCTCCTGAGGGTCTGTAGTGTCCCCTACTGGCCATTGACTGGGACCTCCTGAAAGAGAAAACACAAGTTGGCAACATAATGTAACATCAGACATGACACTGAAAGCAGGCACAGTCACTTGACATGCAGGTTGAAACCAGTTGGTGCTGAAGGTATAAAAAATCAAAAGATTAAAAACACTGACATTTTACAACTGCCTGCAGACACATGCATCTGACATCTTTTTTAAAAGGATTTGTTCAGAGTTAGGTGAAAAGGTTGATACAATGTGTCAGTTCAACATGAAGCTACAACCAAGAGATAGTTAGCTTAGCATACAAACTGAAAACAAGGAGATACAGCTGCTAACCTGGCTCTGTCAAAAACCTGCCAACCAGCCCACTTTACGTTGTTTGTTTAATCCCTACAAATACCAACATGTAAAAACACAAGATAATAGAGGTGCTTTTTTAATTTTTGGACAGAGGCAATCTAGCTGTTTCCCCATCCTTCCAGTGTTTATGCTAAGCTAACACTCTCCTGGTGGTAGCTTCATATTTGACCGACAGCTATAATGATCAAGCATTTCTCTAAATGTTGAACTATTCCTTCAAAGACGCCTCGGCCCAGCAGAAAAGGTTTATCATGCATCATAAATGCAGATTATCAAAACAATATAATACATTTCCTGTTTATTAGGTGTGGCTAGCTAAATCCAAGTCATAACTGTGTCCAAACTAGACAAAATGGCAGGATTTAGTCAACCCAATAAACTGGCAACTCTGAGTACCTCATGACATTGTTTTTCTTCATGCAGCAGATAAAACCAAATCAACAGGGTCTCATGCATCAGGTCACTCTCAAAGCCTGCACCTCAACCACACTAACCTTCGTCTGGTCCTCCAGACAGGCCTTTCAGACCAAAGAGGGTACAGTAATTTGTCTATCATTACATCACACAGAGGATGAGAAGGAAAAGAAGAGCGATTCACTGAAGGAGAATTCATCACTGCGGACAACAACAGTAGTTTGACATTTTATAACCGAGGCATGTTTTTTTTCTTGGGGTAAACTCACCTCTAAATTCCCTCTGGCTTTCTTCAACACTCCATGGGTTACACACACTAGATTGGAGAAAAATAATATGAAGTCAGATATCTGTATAGATATACAGACAATTATTTTCATTATCGTTTCATCTGTAGATTATGTTTCTGATTTATCGTTTAGTCTATACAATGACAAATTAATTAAAACAGGACATTATCAAAGTTTTTTTGTCACGACAACAAAACAAAGATATTCAAATTTACAATTATGTAAAACAACAGTAGCCAATCCTCACATTGTAGAAGCTATAAGCAGATAATATTTAACATTATTACCTTGATGAAAGACTAAACTGATTATAAATAGCTACTATCAATTGACTACTCGTTTTAGGCCTAGTATACAGTATAATAAACTAGTATAAACTGTCTAAGTTAAAGAAGATAATCCTACACTGATCGATGATGACTCTTTCCATTCCCTCTTTGAGCTGGTTGGTTGTTCGGAGGCGTTTAACGGCTCCACTCAGCATCCTCTCCTGCTGTGACAGCCTGCTTTTCAGTCTGGCTATCTCATTTTTCAGCAGGTCATCCTGATAAGGAGGATAAAAAGATTAATGAGATCTGGTTTGCGTAGATATTTAATTGGTTTGGGTAAATACGATGTGTGTGTTTGTGCACGTCTACCTGCTGGTTGCTGCCGCTGTCCCCTGCTGTGTTACCAGCTGGCAAAGAGACTCTCCACACCAGTTTGAGCATTCGGCCAGCCTCCTCTAACACTTGCTGCATGGTGTTCATGCTGCCGGACAGACTCTTCAGATGGTGCTGTTCGATCACCTATGAAAACAGATAGACATTAACACTAATGCCTTCTTATAAATGCTTATAATGCAAGCTGTGGAATAAGAAGTACACCACAAAGTGCAACTAAAACATCTTAAACATGACAGTTTATCAGTACCTTGTTGTCAGAGCCCTGCTGTCTGAGTGTGTGCAGCCACTCCTGCAGTTGTGTGTCCATGCTGCGCGACAGCTTACGGCCCTCTGAGATCTGTTTGCGGAGGGCGTTGTAGTCCTCAATCAGACCCAAAATATGGCGGCCGTTGCGATTGGCCCACATCCGGTGCCCCGGCACCAGGCGGGAGGGAGCGCCAGAGACACTGTCGCCAGAACTGCTGCTGAATGACCCGCCGTCCACCTCTGAATGAGTGCGACGTTTCTCATCTGACAAGATTTAAGTGTGTCCGGATGTTTTGAAATGTACAACACTAATAATAATTTGTAAGCGCATTAAACCATCACGCCACTTCTGTTAAGGTTTTCTTACCATGGACGATCCTGGTGTGTTCATTGTGACTCTGAAATGAGTGACGGAGAGGATCGCAGCCTTCACGACCTGGTGACCTGCCTCCTTCATCTAAGACAAATGTAAAACCAGCACTGACATGACCTGGCAGATTCCTGTGTGTTTGCATGCCTCTGTGTATCTGTCACATGTAATTAACATGTGCCTTGTGTTTACCTGGAGAGGACAGCAGGTAGTTGATATTGATGGTTTCAGAGCGGTTGGGTCCTCTAAGCAGCTGCTCCTCCAGTCTCTGTCGCAGTGCCGTGTTGGTCTGGATGCTCCTCTCCAGCTGAAGCCTCAGGTGTCTGATCTCCAGCAGCAGCTCACTCAGGTCCAGTGAACCGGAGGGAGGGACTGAGACGGGCTCCTGGGTCGCCTCACTCGATTCTGAGAGGAACAACGAGAGAGGGAAACATCCTCATTAGTTTTTACAGAACAGGAAATTCAGAGCAGAAGCAACCTGAGTATAATACAGAAAGGTTAACACTTGTTTTCTTTCCACCACAGAGGTTCACTTTATAGACTACCTGTGCATCATATTTGCTTTCTGTAGACTTTCAGTTTTAAACAATAAATGTGGTGATGTTGATTTGTAAAATATTAAAAACGTTTCCATGTCTATGTCAGTACCCTAAAACTTTGTGGCAATTCAAAACACTGAAAAATGGCAATGTCTGTGTGGCACTTGATTTTTAAACAGTACTAAAAGATCAACATTCCACAAAAATATACTACATGTCTGTTCCACTCCGGACTGAACATAGGAAGGGAAAATTACAGAGTGCAGGGCTTTTTACTCTGCAAGATCCGTTTAAAGGAGTCATAAAACCTCTGTTACTCAAACACATCCCAATAGTAATATACACACAGCTGTAAGTAATAACAATAGGGCCAAGGTCCAAGTCCAAGGTAGAAATTAAAAGGAAAGTCTGAGTTTGGCTACAAAGACTGATACAGGCGATGATTTGTAGTTGTTGGTTAGTCACTTGTCTTCCTCTATTACTATTTAAAACTACATAGCACGTAGGGCTGAAACGATCCACTGATTAAATCAATTAATTCGATTACTAAAAAGCTTATAACTAAAGCGTTTAATCCATATAAATATATAGCACACTGTTTCACACAGACATTTATTACCGTCACACATCACGCTTACAAAACACAAACAAACTTGCAGTACCTTTTTGTTTCTGAGTTTCGGCCTTGATCTTTTCGTAAACGTGCAGCTCCACCCGCAGTGACTGCAGAAGATGTTGGGAGTCAGACAGCTGCTGTCTCTGGAGCTTCACCTCGCACTGCAACCTGGAAACACACACACACACACACAAAAATAGGTGACTGGGATCAAAAAAAAAAAACAATCTATTGAGGCATGCTGTTGGTTACACCATGTACCATTTCGTGCCTCACTCTCTGTGTTTCTCTTTTTTTCTAAACTATCAATATTCAATAAAGACAAAATCCAAAAAAGGGGGAAAAATGCATCTCAAACTGTGTCAAATGTAACCATTTTTCTTTAAAAAATTAATTTCAAAAGGTTTTCTGAACTCAGTCTATTTATATTAGTGCAGATAAGACTAAATATTAGAAAACACCTCTCAATACAACACAACACAATTTGGCAGCACAACAAACTGAATCAACATCACTCTAAAATAGTTTAAAACTGAGCATTAAAATCCTCATGATGGCAGGATTTATTAGTCAGGGGTACTTAATAAAATGGAAATTGATAGTAATAGGTGAAACAACATTTCTGCTCCTTAAAAAAACAGGGAAAAAAAACAACCCCAAAACCACATGCAATGAGGCTTGTGTTTTTATACAGAAGTCCACACACACTGGAGAGACAGTGGAAAAAAAGGGAGAGGAGACGTGATCTGACAGTAAACTAGACTCCAGGTTTCAGGTGTCTGTAGGACCAAGAGGTCACATACCATCATTATCATATGTATGGATGCACATGTTAATAGATGATCCTACAAATAGGCTATCATGTTTCAGAGTTGTACAATTAGTATGGAATAATGGTAAAAGTAATGACTCTTTAAAATGGTAATTAGTAGTATTGTGTAGTTTCAGGTTGCATGACAGGGAGTAGTAATGATAGTCATTTAGAAGTGTGTGGTAGTGGGGCACTAATGTTACTCGTGTGTGTGTGTGTGTGTGTGTGTGTACCTGTGCAGCTCCTCCTTGCTGTAGTGCAGTGAATCCTGCAGCTGCGAGTTTTCTTGGCTGCTCTGCTCCAGCCTCTCCGCAAGTCGGGTGTTTTCTTGCCTCAGAGCATCACACTCGTTCCTGCTCTGCTCCAGTTTGGCTGTCCGCCTTGCCAGAGTCTCTCGTAGCTTCTCATTCTCCTTCTGCTTGTCTGGAGGAAATAAAAATATAAAAAATAGCAGTGCGTTAGTGTTGAGCGCTGCATCAGTGATAGATTTGTGTTATATTTCTGATAAAGGCATTGGCAAAACAGCACCAGCCAGGATGGAATGGCAAATGGGTATCTGGGAAAATAGTGCCCTGCTACCTCTAATGGACTGAAAAGATGTATATGTGTTCCTGATTATAGGTTAAAGTGAGCTTATACATGTGTGTTTTACCTCTAGACCCCATGTTGAGCTGTTCCTTCAGGGTTTGGTTTTGTCCCCAGAGGAATCGCACCTCATTGGCTAGCTGACCCTGCTCCTCGTTGCCGTGGATGAAGATGTTGGTGGCTGCTGAACAGAAGCACACAGACATGTTGCTCAATAAATCAGGGCAAAAGTACTTTATAATAATCACACCGACAGACAGAGAGAGAATGAAACCCAAGCAGGTGATTTCAGGCGTGTACCTGGGTCTTTCTCCACCTCGGCTAGTTTCTTCTCCAGCTGTTCCCTGAGACGGTCGTTGGTGCGGATGCTCTCCTCCAGGCGCTGCCGCAGAGCTCGGATCTCCAGTAGATGTTCTGCCAGAAAGTCTGAAAGACACACATGCACAAAGCTAAATGAAAGGGGGACTTTAAGCGGATTTAGTAATGCACTTCATTAAAAAAAAAAACAGGGGCTCTAAGCAGCAGAGGCCGAGATATCCTCAATTTTAGTGCCTAGCATGGTCAACCTACAAAACTAGATCCTACATTTCCCATAATGCAACTTTACAACTCGTTAACTCGACTTTGGAAAGCTCCTCCAGAGCGACAAAAGACATAATTCAACTGTTGTCACAGGCTAAATACTCATTATGAGTATATTGAAATTTATGTGTTAAATCGGTGTAGAGTCCCTTTAATTAATACAATGCAGAATTATTTATTAAACAACAAAACTCCACAATGTTGCTACAACATAAACATACAAAACACAAACACAATTTGCTAGCAAAAGCTGAATAACTGGAAGCATTTTGCTTTCTGAATTTTATATACACTACTGTTGTGTAAAATGTATTATACAAAGTCTAAGTCACAGGATGATCAACCTACCTACGGCCCATATTTACCTGGATTCATCGTGTGAGGCTGTTCTGCAGCATTCTTCTGTGAGCCAATGTCTCCGTCTCCTTTATGTGCATCCGTCTGAGGCCCTGAGCCGTCCCGGTCGTGGCTGTGATCCTGTTCCTGATGGTGGGAGCTGGTCTGGGCCATAATTGAACGATGCAGGTCCAGTTCACTGCGGAGGGTGGCGTTGAGCTCCTCGCTGTCCCTCAGCTGCTCTTGCAGTCGCCCGTTCTCCCTCTGCAGGCCCTGCAGTCTGCTGTGACTGGACACACCTTCCTCCTGAGCTCCTCCTACAGGAGGAACAGCTGCTCCCGTCCAATCAGTGGGGTTCTGCTGGCCTAAACATACACAGAGAGACGACGACGACGATGACCGGTAATTCAAGATTAATAATGAAAACGTAAAAAACAGATATTCACCAACCTGTGTCTAAAGGGCATTTCTACATCAAGTTTGCTTGAGAGACCTTATGGTACCCTTCATTAGTCAATATTAAATCTAAATTAATACGTTGTTGGCAAAACAAAATGTCATCCACTGCTATATCCTCCATGCATGAAACACAAGTAACAGCAGAACAGAGTCAACAGATGAGTGTTGGCAACTATACAGTGTTTTAGCAGGATCTCTACATATATATCCACATGCTTCACTTGTCTCTATAATAGCGTTCACTCTCTTTTCCCGAGGGAAACACAATTTGAGGATTGAACCGGATAGGTGCCACTGAATAATGCAACTTTTAGTGGAGGTGGATTGAAACTGGACACCTGCTCAGCCCTTGGCCGGCATGCTTTGTCCTGTGGGACGCTTCACTGCAACAGAATGGATCTGAGTGGAAAATAAGTGGCATTACAGGCTGAGTAGGCAGGCCAGGCCACAGCAATCAGGTAATCTCAATGATATACCACTGAGGCCAAAAAAAAGGGCGGGGATAAGCATTTTTACACCCAATCACAAATAAATTCCATTATTAAGACTGTGTTTAAGTATTACATCCAGAGGTCTGCAGTTTATATGAACATATTTTTGCGCTTACTCTGGGCTCGATTGCCACCTTGTGTGGCCGGGCTGCTGTAGCAGGAGGAGGAGGGCCTGTCTGAGTGGTACAGATCAGAGTGAGAGCTGTGGTGGCTGCTGGAACTTTGGCCTCTTAACTGGCTCTGCAGACTCTGGATCAGAGAGTTCTTCTCTCGCAGCTCTTTTGCCAACCTGGGAGGAGGAAGAACAGAGGAATTAGTCATATTAATACTTGGAGTCATGTTAATACCAAGAGCTGGAATTCATCCATCACGTCGTCTCGCTGGGAATTGGAGAGCAAAACAATGTAAAACAGGGAAGAAAAGTACACAAACGAGAGAAACAGAACTCAAAACAAGAAGTTAAAACTGAATACGCAAGAAAAATATGTTCCTAACAAGAGGACTTGCAATTTTCAGCAGAAGCACACAGCTGGAAAATATAAAAGAGGAGTTCACAGCAAACGTCATGCTGTCTGTCTGGATCAAACCCACTCACAGGTCCAGCTGCTCGCTGGTGCATTCAGCCAGGGTGAGGTTTTGCTGGACGAGGAGGCTGATGTGCTGCTGCAGCAGCTCTCTCTCGCCCTCTAGCTCCACACGCAGATTATCTACCTCCTGCTGAATTCTAGCCATGCTGTCAGGAGGATCTCTCATTCTCTCCTCCTCGTGGGACAGCAGTGACTGTGATCCTGCTGAAGCTCCCCAAGACTGCCCATCAGTAATAATATGGATTAATGTATGCCACTATGAGGAACTTTCATTGCTAAAGTCAATGTTACTGTGTCAAATAAAAACAAAATGTTTAGAACCACAGATGATGTGATTTTACCATTATTTCTATTACTATAATTATCAAATATAAGGGAAAACTGCACTGACAGTTCTCTGATAATTTATAATGGCGGGTAATAAAAATGTAAAGAGTGTTCAAATTTTGTTCAAAGGGTTGAGGAGTACATAATATATACGTTTCTTTATGCAAACCTTAATAATGAATTTTCTTTCCGGATGACAGTCCTTGAACTGTGAAGGACATAAATGGCTTAACATTGACATGTAATATGTGTGTGTGTGTGTGTCAGTGTGTGTGTGTGTGTCCTCTTTCTCAGAGACTCCAGTGACCCAGTTGGGGGCAATGTAACCTTAATGTTTTGGTTGTCACAGACAAAAATTAGGTCAACAGCACGACACTATTCATAACCAACAACACATGTATGCCCAGGGTCATAAGGCAACTGGCTTGGGGGAGAGGGGGCGAGCTCACAACCCTCAAATCTCAAACAGTAAAATAGTAGACAATATGACCTAAAAAAATACAGATCCATTCAAAAGGACGACACACTTAACCTTAAAAGAAAAACACTTAATTAGAACACACAACTGATTAAAAAAAAAAAGTCGTATAGAGGAAAGCCAAAAAGAAAAAAACAAGAGAAATGCCCCCATTAACAACTTTGGCAAAAAAACTTCCTAGTAGCAGGAATCAAGACTGATAATAAAGTTAAAACTAAAACTAAAATGTCAAACTGTGCTTTAAGCTTGTCATTGAAGTATAAGGACAAGCAAGTATCCCTGTAACCTTACATTAAGATGGATCCGACTAAATATTACACTCCCCCCCCCACCACGAATAACCACGCCACAAATTGAATAAAAGCAATCTAATTAATACATCGACAATAAGCAAGTGCAGTATGCGAGTTAGAGGCGTACCTGCGAGACAGTTCCAGTGCCGCCACATCCTCGTTATCCAGATGAGACTCTCCTAGCAGACAGAGGAAAAGATGCTGTCATGGACCTGTCTCTAAAATCAGTTACACATGACTGCTCTTTTGTGTTTGCCTTTGTCTGCTGGTGGCTCTGTCTTTATTTAAGCATTAAGACATTTCTGCACGATAGAGGAGTACTGTTTTCATGTAACACAGCTGCTATTTAAACTTAGTACCTGACATTAACTTTATTAAATACTGAGATTAACTATAATGTTTGAGAGACTCTTTTGGCATGTGTGCTGGCTGGAGTTTGTGTGTTTTGGCACAGTCCTGTATTATGAATCAAATAATTAATTGTGTTTGTGCAGTACGGTTCTCTTTAGTGCTATTTCTCAAAAGACAACATCTGCAGTTAGGATCGAGGCAGCAGCTACCTTTGTCCAGCCGTCCCTCCAGCCTGTCCAGAATGCCCAGGCTCTTGTCCAGCTGCTCTTTGACCACCTCCCCCATGTAGTAGTCGACTTCGCCGGCCTGCAGCAGCTCCTTGAAGGCCTTGCTCAGCTCCTCCAGCTGCCGGCGCTGCTGGGCTCCCAGCCTACGGCTCTCCTTGATCTGCTGCCTCAGTTGTGACAGCTCCCTGGCCTGCGACTGCACCAGGGAGTCCAGTCTGGTGAGAAGACAGAATGAGGGCAAGTGGGGTGGTTTGGGGGGGATGGATAGCATGAGTGACCATTTGATTTTCAAAATGACAGCGCACTGTAAAAATAGTAAAATATTGATAATGCACTGAAAATGAGTGCTGACCTAGCAGGTGATGTAGAGCGGCTACGGGTCTGCTGCAGCTGGTCGCTCATGCTTCTGTTCAGTGTCCTCTCTCTTTCCAGGTCCATATTCAGGTGGCTGGTTTTATCCTTCATCACCTGGTTCTCCCCCTCCTTTTTCTCCCTTAGCTGCCCATTTCTGTAGCTCCTGTCGTGGTTTCGGTCCTCTCTCTGTGTCCCCTCTTGATCCCTGATGGCTGAGGGGTCAGAGGTGTGGCAGCTAGGTCACTGGAGAGAGAGTTCCTACGCAGAAGACTCTGCATCTGGAGGATGAGTTTGGTCTGGTTTTCCAGCTGGACCTTCAGCTCTCTGACTTGTCCCTGAAGCTGGAGAGGGTCCTCAGAAACACCATACTCGTCATAGACCTGCAGGCTTTTTAGACTGACCTAAAAAACAGACAGGAGAGGCTAAGTAAAATTCAAATATCAGTTTCTATTGATAATTGGATTGCACAATTTTTAAAGAGGCATATTGTCCTTCAATGGAATAAAACTGTGTAGTGTGTGAATTGTTAATTGACAATCCACTAAGCCCCGCCCACATTAATTAATGTTGCTTTCCATTGTCACAGGTCATAAATGCAATTCACAAATTGAAGCTACAGGTCCTTGATTTCACACAGATGTTGACAAAAACCTTTCTTTTCTAGTCATCGAACCAATAATTTTGCTGGCTGAAAAAACTGTAGCTGGCTAGCTAACTAATTAATTAAGCTAACGTTAGCGCCATGATTTTGTTTAAAACGCTCCCTGGCTGACTTTTTAATGTTTCTAGCTTTATAGTTTGAAATAAGAACCATGTAAATCGGTTCTTATATATGCACTTAATAGCTATAAATAAAGACTGAGGCTAACACTGCATGTCCCTGGCAAAAAGCCTCCTTTTTGAACAACAGGGCCTCCAAAAACATCCTCACAGCTTTGCTTAGCTTACATACTTCGTATTTTCATGTTAAGAAAAGGATCAGAAACAAATATTTGCTGGGGTTGCTGGAGTGTAAACTTCCTCAGATACAATAAGGAGCATGACAGAGCTGCTAACATTAGCCAGTGGGGAAATATTTCACTGTGAATGTGCTGGTCAAGAATTTTTTAAACATAACCTACATACTAACATAGTTAGTTATGATGTGTTCCTTGGCCTTGAAACTAACATTCGGTTACTAATATAGGCAATAAGCTAGTTAGCCCAACATGCTAACAACTGCAGTGTACATAGTGTAGTGTAGACAAACACACTGCATATCTTAGACACAACGCTCCCAACTCTTTAAATATCAAGTGCCTCTTTTACCACAGCCCAGTTCACTTCTCAACATGTGGAGAAATCCAAAACTTGACAGATTTGATGTGCCTAGTTACAGTTGCTAAGCTATGATTGGACAATGGTTGTTCAGGGGAGGGGTTTAGCAAAATGTAAGTTGGATACCTTGGCTGAGCTGAGAGCCGGGGAACTAGGGTACGGGGTGCTGGAGGTTGAGTCCAGGTTTTCAGTAGAGGAGAAGGTGGCCTGCTCGTGTTTGAGCAGGGAAGGCAGGCTAGAGGCACTGCAACTAGGGTTCCCACCAACCTCTAGATCTGGCAACACAAGGGACACAGAAACAATCAACAAGGGAACATTGCATGTTGTGGAAAACAAATGGTGATAGTGCCATGTGAGGAAATACATCTTTTTAGGTGCAGTTGGACTGTGAAACTAAGACCAGAAACAACAGTGAAAGGTTTATGAGTGCTCGAAAGACATTCCCAAACTTCAGAGTGGAGACATGCAAGAATTTGTCAATGCAAAATATTGACAGCCCATTCAAATGTGGGAATAGTGCAGAGAAATACCAGGTTTAAAACCAGTAGAGAGTGTGTGGTTATGAGACCCAAACAGAAAACATTTCCCAAGGTAAGAGACGATGTGTTACAGTTGCCTTTGTTCACTCCTCATGCAGACATATAGAGAGAATCTATCCATATATGAGATTAGTGTCCATTCTGCAGACAGACATGCAATGTCTGGCCGTCTACCTGTGCTACTGCTCTCTTCCCTATCGTTCTCACTCTTGCCACTGGTTTCGTAACCCAGGTCCTGCAAATCCACCTGCACGCCTTTGTCATCCTGCTCCAGAGCTGGCATTGGAGGCAATATATATATGTTTGGTTAGGAAGAAATCATTTAACGTGTACAGAATCTTGTCTCTCTCCTTTATGGTGTTCCCAATCAATTTGGATTAACAAAAGGGTTTAACTTTACACACAAACCTTTGCAGACTGAAAAAAAGTATTACAAATTTGAATTGTTCATATACAAGTCAAATACCTGCAGCAAACAGCTCAGCATGCATTATCTTACCTTTCTGTGCAGTTTCAGGAGACGGTGTGTAGGTAAGAGCAGTGGCCAGTTTCTCCTCCAGGCTTTTACAAGCTTTCTTCTTCTCTCTTAGTGCCTTATGGAGAGTCTCCAGCTGGAGCTGAACAGTCGGTGGTAATCCCCTGGCATCCTGCACTGTTCTGTGGACCTCGCTCCCTCTCTCTGGACCCTCTCCTCTAGGGAGGCCTGGAGTTCGGAGATCCTCTGTGAGTGATCACTGAAGACCTTGTAGAGGCAGCAGAGGTTGTCATGGAGCTCTTGGTGAAGCGGTCCCTTTGTTCCAGATGAAGCAGCGGACTGACTGCCGCTGGATTTAGTGGTTGACTGGGTGGGTTCTCCCAGTTCCTTCCTCTCTTGCAGGGCTCTCTGAAGTTTGTCCAAGTTCATCTGCAGGTCAGGGCTGGTCTGTGATGATCTACTAGAAGCCAAGGAGCTGGTATTTGTACAGTGTGCTGCCAGAGAGGCAACGGCAGACTCTGCTGCACTAAGGCAGTCCGTTAGAACTCTGGTCAGCTCCTCATTATTAGAACTTCCTATTTCCCATTGGTTTGCCTTTGACTCATTTTCCTTAACTGATTCTGCAGCTATCTGCTTTGGACATTTACCACTCTGGTCAGCAGTGCTACTGTTGTTCCCATGTTGAGCAGCTGCATCTCTAAGTTTTTCCTGCAGTTCTGCATTAAGCCTATTCTGCTCCCACAGTGCCTCCTGCAAAGAGTCTGCGTGTTGTTGCAACTCCTGCATAGAGTCCTCTGCGCTTCCAAAAACCCCTCTGGGACTCTGTCTATTTGAAGATGCGTTCACCTGCTGCAAGGCTGCCTCTATCTTCAAACATAAATCACTGTTTTCTGGATTCTTTTCTTGGCTGTCAAGGGAGGCGATGGTTTCCCTGCCATGTTCAGAAGCTCTATAAGCTGGTTGTTGAGATCCTCCTTCTCCTGTAGTGCTTTTTGCAGCTCAACGCATCTGCCGTGGAGGGCAGCATCTGAACCCACAGAGCCAGAACCTGTACACGAACTGGCATGCGTCCCTAATCCTCCTTGGTTGTCCAGACTGCAGGCAGTCAGATAAGCGATTGTGGATTCTGCAGCCTGTAAGGCCTCCACGTACTGGCGATTGAGCCTGGACTTTTCCTGGAGCTGAGCGTGGAGCTCTTCCCAGTCAGCTAGCTGCTCGTTTAGCTTGTGGATCAGGGCCTCTTTCTCCTGACACTCCTGGTGGAGAAGCTCCAGCTGAGTGAAAAGAGAAGAGTCAATCTGTGGGTAATCCAGTGTCATTCTGGCTTCAGAGCTCTTGTCCGACCCTACCGGACTGCTGCTACGATGTGCATATCTGAGTGTGGAAGAAGGGGAAGTGCTGTGTTGCGGTGACACGGGGGAGCTGGAGTCTGCATGCAGTTGCTGGTCAGACCCATATACATCATCCATGTGATGGTGTTGAAGTGCATCAGTTTTCAGGTGGTCAGAGCTCACAAGCTGCGTGCTGATGCTAGCCCCTACTCTGAGCTTCACAGGGACCGGGAGGCGAGATTTGACACCTGCCTGTGAAGTGAAACAAATAAAACAGATATTAAAAGCACTTCAGTTAGACTTCACACAGAAAGCAATGTGGTGTTTCTTTACACTCCTAACATAATACAAAACTCACCCCATGCCTTGCAACGTGCTGCTTTGCACTTTTGCCGTGTGACTCGTCTGCAGTTTGTGGACTCTCCATCCCCTCTGTGGTGTGGACAATTAGCTCAGTGGTGAGAGGGGTTTCCCCAACTGTCACCTCTTTCAACATATTGACAACCTTAGAGTGACCTCTTGACTCGAGCTGCAGAGTTTCCACACTCTTTCTCAGTTCAAGCTGTCCATCACTGCTGTTCCCTGAGGCGTCTGTGCTCTCCTTCTCTTTACACTCGGTAGATTTTTGTTCTTTCAGGAGACCCCGCAGCTCCACATTTTCGGATCTAAGTCCGAGCAGCTCCTCCCTGCAATAAGGGAAATTTAATTATTTTACTGTTCAAGCAACTGACTCTTCAGTTATGGAGTTATGGAGTAGGATCTGGACATCACAGAAGAAAAGCCCACCTAAGATGCGAAACTGATGTGGCCCCACATTCAGTCAGCAGGAGTTTAAGTGCCATTACATGTGTGTTCTTCCCCTTAGAATCTTTTTCTCCAGAGTCCAAGGTGTTGTTGCCAGACTGAGGATGCTCTCTACTCTGGCCAAGGGCACTGTCCAAACTCCTATCAACCAACAGCTTTCCAGACACCATCTAAAAAGTTTAGAAATATGGTTTAAGTTACATGGGCGAAAAAGGATTTCCCTGTAGTACTTACATTAAATTATCGTCTAAATATATTTGAAAAGCTCTTCAAAATTTAATAAAGATCATCCACTTCATACCTGTCCTATTTTGATGTCTGTTTGACTCTCTTTATCCTGACCATAGCGATGTGTCCTCTTACTGTGAGCCACAGGCTGCATCTCCCGCGTCTTCTCGAGATGCTAGAGTAATGGGATGGGAGGCGAGTATGACACACATGGCTCGGTAAAAGAAAACTTAATGAGGGAACAGAATCCATAAAACACTGCACAGTAACAGCAGAATGGTATGACGTGTCTAATGTGGCATGGCGGAGAGAGACCATTTCATGGGACAAAGAGATAAAAAAACAAAACAGGGACTGATTAGGAAAGGTGAAGGAGAAAAAGAGGGTATCTTCTACTACAGACAAGAAACATACTTGTTACGAGAGATTAGACGTACACTACCACAGAGTAAAGAGACATTAGCAACAGGCTAGACAGAGCAAAGGTTAAGATGTAGGTTCAAAGGTAAGAAAGGAGCTAATAAAGGTGGATGTTAGACAATGACTTGGACATGATTCATCAAGTATTTGGAAAATGTGGACAAACTGTACAAAGATTTTCTGATAAATGACAGACCTTTATTGTTAGGTTTAGAGAATAATAGAATACACTTTAAAACCTAAACTTCCTCCATTTGCAGCTGTTTTGTGGCCTCTAACCTGTTTCCAGGGGCTGCTGCTGGCCACATCTTTGTCTTCCTTGCCATAAGCATCATGCTTTGACTTCTCCAATAGTGACAGCCGGTTCTGCAGCTCGTTGTTTAAAGTCTGCAGTCTGCTGACACAATCCTGTAGCTCTACCACCTAAACCCCGGGAGGACACATTTTTGTTTCAGTGTGTTCCTGTTTTTGTGTGACATGTCTATCCAGCTAATTAAACTGTTAAACTCTCTAGTTAGAGAGACAATGTTTTTTCCCAAAATATTATTTAGTTTGAAAAAGAATTCACCTTGTGCCTGAGCTCCTGTGAGGAGAGTAGAGACAAGCTGTCATCCTGCCCCTCTCCTACACAGATACTCATGTAGGAAGTCTGATCTCCAATGAAACTCAAAGTGTCACCTGAAAAAAACATTGGAGTGACATGTAGCAAAAAAAAGACTCCCATCTATTAAAACTCTGGAATAATACATTAAGTGAATTTTTTTTCTACTCTTACCACCATCATTGGCCCCACCAACCCCTCCTCCACGGTTCTGTATGGCTCCTAAGCGAGCCTGCAGAGAGGCATTCCAGCGTTGTGCATCTTCGAGCTGATGTCTCATGCTCTCCAGTTCTTTAGGATCAATCAGGTCCATACCTGAACAGACACAGAAAGTTACACACTGCCATGTTTCTGGTGTGACAGGACAAGTACATTTCTGTGAAGGTAAATGTTCCACTCACAGAATGTTCCTAAATGTGAAAGAGGCCATTAAGATACTGTATACTGCAGTTGTTTTTCACAACTATAAAAACACTTGCCTCTTGTTTGCGTGGATTTGCCAAGAAGCGAGGATTTTACATAGGATGACATGCAGTGACATGCTAAAGAAAAATTGAACTAAATTGAAATTGGTTTTATGAGTGTAAAATCGAACATTTGATCATTTAAATAGTGACTAAATTTAATCCAATTTCAAACAACAAAAATCATATTAAGATTTTTTTTAAATCATAATAATTCTTCTGTACATTTTTTACCTTATGAATGTAAACTAATCCAGTTGATTTTCTTTTGCAGTGATACATCTTGGCATGCTTGTTAATACATTTTACATAACACTGAATGAGGTAAGCTAGTAGTGGAAAAGCACCAGTGTGTCAAGAGAAGTTTGGGATCTGCAGCCACAGAAAAATACACATTTAAGGCAACATTTTACTTTAACCCACCCATTAAGTATTTACATGCTGTATATAAACATTTATTAAGTTTAAATCCTCCTTTGGGCACCTATAAGTGGAGGCCGATGTATAAACAGATAATAAATGATAATATAGTAAAAACAGGTGCAATAATTTAAAATATGTCTTCATAAGAAAAGTTATGCTTGTTGACAAATACTGTATATTATAAGTGTGGACAGATAGAAAGATGATAGATGGATAGATCTTATAAATGATAACTAAGGGGTCTTAAAGTTAAGTACTACCCTGTATACATGTATTTTCTAAGGATTATATAACCAAAAGAAGAAATGTGGAAATATATTCAGTAGTAATTACTGTAGAGGATTCAGTGAGAATGTGAGCCATGGGCCTCTTACTCACAGCTGACCTATTTATACACCTGGCTCTTTGGACAGGGGCGGGGGATGAGCATGCACATATATGTGAGCACACATACATGCAAGTGGACAGACACTAAAGTCATTTGGCTTAGACGACTACCTGACGTACAGTGAGTCTTTTAATCAGTCTCAAGGCTGCACCCTGATATCTCACTAGGCCTGAAGCACCAACTGTGCTTCATGACACCAACTATGTGATGTCATAGAATACTAAACTTCAGATTGTTTTTATTTTATCCATTTCTTGGGAGTATAACCTTAATAACTTTCCTAATGTTGTTATATAATGACGTGCTTATGCAATGACATCCAACTCATATGACAGATGGTTAGATTAATAACCGGAGGGATGATAGAGAGGTGATGCAGTCAACAGACAACCAAATGTTTTAATGGGACAGCCAAAACAAGCAGACAGCATGTTAAAAGTGAGAGACAGGAAGACTGGCCAACAGCAGCCTTTATTCACTTCTTTTATGGACAAACAGTGTGGCAGAGTGAAGCCATTACATTTAAAGAGTGACAGAGAAAACAGGCTGCAATTCTACTATGGACAAAACATGCAGATGAAGAGGTGATGATGTAAAGAACAATGAACATAAAACTGCACAAAGATGAGGAGGGGAAGGACCAGGTGTGCATGCTGAATAAAGTGACAGAGAAAGAGGGGGTGTGAGCTTGTCAGCAGGAGATATTACAGGAGCAAGCACACAGGACAAAGACGACAGGTGTGTTTATATATATTTTCCCTTGGAGCTATGGATATATGTCTCTCTGAACTATAGTTTCCTAACACTTGACCCTTGATGAACATGCTGTTTCTTATTCTTTTCCTTTCATGCTTTTTCTTTTCTTTCATTCAGTTCCCATCATCAGATACCACCCAGTGTGTTTGCACTGCACCTTCTCTGAGTTTGGCTCTCTGTATCTCTCTCTCCAAGTCTTCCCTTAGCTCCTCATTAGTTTTGATGCTGTCCTCTAGCTGCTGCCTGAGGAGCTGCACTGCTGTCAGCTCCAGCTGCAGAGCATGGAGACGCTGGGCACTGCAAAACACACATGCGTAATATACACAGAGTAAGGTTTATTCTTCAAATACATTCATTCTTTTCATTTATGCTTACTGCAATTTTTTTGTTACAGCGACCATTATCCCCACCTGTCCTGCTCCTTTACGGTCCTGACCAGGCTGGAGTAAAGCTGCTGTTCGGCTCTCAGGGCTTTGTTTAGAGCATCGTGCTCCTGTTGCAAGGCTACAAGGTTGGGCAAAGCCTTGAGGGAGACAGAAAATGAAACAGCAAAGTCAAAGCATTAAGTGTCAAGTATGTAGTCGTTTTCTGTTTTTTCATTCAGGAGAAAATTGAGTAAGGTTTTTAGTTTACTTCGTGCTGGCTGTCTCCACCAATCATGGTTCTCTCTCTCTGGGGGAGCCCGGGGAGTGATCTCTCCATGCCAGAGCCAATGACCTGATCCTGGGTATGATCAGACCAACTGTCCCCTCTCTGACCGAGGCGCTGGTGGAGAACCTGCTCAGGGACATACACAAAACATGAGAAAGAAGAAAAAGAATAGCTTTTATTACTGTGTTTCATTGAGTGACAAGAGTTTGACTCCTGTGAAAAGAGGAATCCTTACATTGATAATCTCATCCTTGGTCGTCAGAGTGGCAGTCAGGGAGTCAATATTAGCAGCCTGACCTTCATTGCGACCCTCCAGCTCAGATAGCAATGACTGAAGCTCTGCCAAAGAAATCTGGATATCAAGAAAATAAAGTAGGCGATTAAACAAATGGACACTGATTATGGACAAAGTAATATGCTTATAAAAAAACCCACCTTCAGTTCATTCTCCCTCTTCAGTGCTTTGTTCAGTGCCTCAGTTTTCTGTGCTAGCTCCTTCTTCAGGATGATGACCGTCTTCTTGGAGAGAGGAATGTTCTCCACATTATCCTCACTGTTCCTCCTGGACAGCTCAGCTGCAGTGCAGACAAAATAGAATCAAATGTAGGACCGACATGTACTCTTAACTATAAATATCCAGCGAGAGGGTTTAAAAGGTCTAAAAAGCCTCACCTTCCGTCTCTTCCAACTTCTCCTGCATAATCTTGATAGTTTGTCTGAGCTCCAACACATGGTCCGGCTCCTCCTTCAGCCTCATCTCTGCCAGAAACTGGTCCCTCTCCTGACCATGCTGCAGAAGCTTCTGCAAAATTACAAACATTAACAACACAGCCATGTACAACTGATAAACTTAGTCTGGAAATCAAAGATCATCAAATAGGCAACCAAGTCATTTGAAGTCTGAATGAAGGAAAGTTTTATTATTAGAGCTATTCTCCTTGGATGTTTTGATTACCTCTCCTTGTTAGACTTCTAAGTCAAGCACATTTTATAGCTGAGTGACTGTGTTGTCTCCCAGAGGAACTTACGTTGATGAGGCTCTCCTTTTCAGCAAGCAGGGCTTTGAGCTCTGCAGTCTCTAAATAACCCTCCTGGGCCGTTGTGGAGCTCTGCCTCTCAGCAGCGGCAAGCTGCTGCTGCCCATCTGACAGCTGCTTCCTCAGTTCCTGAATCTCTTGAGTGCGCTCAGACAGCATGCGTTTGTAGTGCTCTGCAGACTCCTGCGGAAAACGATGACAGTAATGAGTTAGTGATGTTTGCCCACATTCTGCACAAAAAAATGGCTTTTTGTAATTCTGTTAACGTTAATACAAGCACACTGCCTATTCTCTTTTCTAAAATCCATATGCAGTTAATTCATTCTCTCTTCAGCATGTTTATTTTATTCTTATTTCTATTATGTTTTCTTTGCTATAGGGGTTCTTTAGCAACCCCTATTTGTTGCTACAAAGACTCGGTTTTCCTGAGCTAATCCCTAAAACCCTCGAAAATGCTTTCATAATTCAATTTTGACCTTGAGGAGCTGGTCCTTGCTGCTGATTGTAGCCAACAGTCCTTCCACAGCACTCTCATTGTCAGCAACCAGCCTTTCCCTGGCCTTCAGGGCATCAGCCAACATAGCCTCTGTGACCTTTAACCTCTGGCCCATCTGTTCAGCGAGGTCATGTGCATGTGTCTGCGACTGGCTCATCATGGATTTGGCCATTTCCTACAAACAAAGGCCGAGTTAGAACAATCAAAAACTAGCACAGAAAAATCTGCACATAAAGTGTTAAAAATGTAAACCGGGTCACAATGGTGATAAAAAAACACTGAAAACAAGACAAGAAAATACAGCAGGAGTGTGAAGGTGACTCTCTTTGTTAACTCACATCCATATCCTTTGTCTTGCCCTCCAGGGAGAGTTGTAGCTGGCTGATGATGGAGTCCTTCTCCCTCAGAGATCTGTTCAAGTTATCTTCTACATCTTGCTTGGCTCTCTGCAGGTTCTTCAGTGTGTTTGCAAGATGCTGCAGGTCCACATCCTTCTCCTTGATCATACTGTCAAAACTCTGGGGGGACATGAACGAGATCACAGATGCATTGGTTTGAAGAGCAACCTCCAAAAAACAATTGAATCACTGAAGGCTAATGTCTGGCCTCAGTTTCTGATATTATTTCCCTATCAAACATGGTCAGAGCTCCCTACATTGATGGTTTCCTCGTTGTGAGAGAGCAAGTTATTGAGCCTATCCAGGTCTCTTTCCTTCTCCCTAAGAGACAGTTGCAGCTGGTGTATCTCATTGTCTTTCTCCTCAATGGCAGCAAACTTCTCATCCAGCGCTTGCTGTGAGAGAGCAAACAGAACAATGTCAAAATCAAATTACAGTCAGTGTGGTGAAAAGATTACACAGAAGGAATGCGCACCTCCAGAGCCCTCTCCTTTTCTTTCAGCCTTTGCCGCAGCTTGGAAAGCACATTATCGTTTCCTCCTGGGCTTTTGCTTTGCTCAAAGTCTCTGACCATGTTTATGTACTCCTGAGGAACACAGAGAAAAACAATGTAAAAAAGCCAATTATCTGAATATATTTGACCGCACTTTCCAATGAAATAAAACATGAGTACACAAAAAGATTTTATCTTTTGGTCTAGAATATCTCTGTAAGTTCATTGTTGTTGTGTCACCTGTAGCTGCTGCTCTTTATCAGCCAGAGTGGATGTGAGCCGCTGGATGGTGACCTCATGGGTCTGCAGTTTTCTTTTGGTTTGATCCAGCATTTCCTGGTACTGCTGCTCCAGAGCACTCTCCCTGTCCCCGATCTCACCACTCAGCTTTTTGAGCTGATTGTTCAGATCCTGGTGTGTGCGTGTGTGTTTGTGTGTTTGGGAAGGGAGATGATAATACTGTCACACAAACGTCTGTACTTGAGTGATTACAGACAACACAAAGGAAGACTGAAAAAGCCTAATGGCTTAAAGACAATAATAAAGTTTTATTTGAAAATATTTACTAGACTACACTGTCATCCAGATGTCTTACATTCAGGGCTTTGTCTCCCTTCTTCTTCTGCTGTTGCAGGTCCTCCAACTCCACCTCTAGCTGGTCCTTTGCCTGCTGCAAGTCAGCCAGCTCTTGCTCCTTCCTGTCAAGGGCACGCTGTAGCTTTTGGGCTTCAAGCACCTTGGCATGGTGTTCACCCTGTAGTTGGGCCAGCTCTGTCTGCTTTTCCATTAATAGATTTTGGTGCTCCTCTACTCCCTGAGGGATAAATGCAAGAAATGTTTATCTTTACAGAGGCTGCTGTGTTTATTTGTCAATGAGATGGAGATTAAAAAACAAACAAAAAAATCCCTTTGCTGTATTGTTTCTTACGTAATATAATGTGTGAGTGAAAAGGCACACGCAGAGTAAGGATCCAATAACATTAAATTATCATATAGAGTCAGGCTCTCTTAAATTTTGGCTCTCTAGAAAAGGTGCAGTTAGTTACCTGGTATTTCTGCAGTTGGGCTTTATGTGCTGCCTCTCTAGCCTTGGCCAAAGCGTCATCCCTGTCCTCAATCTCATGACACAGTTCTGCAATCTGTGCAATACACAGAGTAAGAGAGACAGGTTGGTGTTAGAGCACTCACTGCCTAATAACAGTGGAGCACAGACAGGGGAAAGTCTTGTCACATTTAAAAACTGTGCAATAAATAAAATGTGTTAATAGTCTGAACCTTACCTCTTTCTCCTTTTCCCCGAGGACCTGAGTAAGCCCCTGGATTGTTTTGTCTCGCTTCAAGGCATTTTTCTTCTCAGAGTTCAGTTCATTCTCCTTCTCCTCCAATTTCCCTAACAGATTCTGTTTGCAGAAATAAATGATAGTACACAAAGAATCGTCTCAATCTGATTCAATAATATTTAATAGAGCAAAATGTTGTCTCTGTGTACCTTGTTTTGATTCTGGATATCCTCCAGTGTTTTAGTCAGGTTCTCTGTGATGCTTCTTGCTTGGGTGAGCTCTTCGGTCAGCAGTTTATTGCAGGACTCCAATCGGCTAACCTCACTCTCCTGAGCAAATCCAGAGAACACACAAAACAGGAAAGGGAAAAAATGTATTATTACCAGCAATGTTAAATGTTAAATAAACCTGCTGTCTGTCACAGCTCATTAGCGGTGCTGTAACATTTTGCCCAGCTGGGATTACTAAAAGGAACTACCTTCACATTGACAGGAGTGTACTCATCATCAAATTCCTCTGTAAGGTCTTGCAGAGACTTCCATTCTGCCTCTCTGTGTCTGCGCTTGGCTCGCGGGTTGTGCAGTCCAATATTTAACCTCTTCAGGATAGGGATGTGGCTCCCTGCAGGGGCAGAGACCTGTTGCTTGGAGATGCAGCGCAGGAGTTGGATCAGGTCAGAGATCACAGAAGGCTCACTTGAGGAACGGCGGAGGAGTGCTCTGGCCTGAAACTTTCCTCCTGGGTCATCAACGGCACCATGTCTGGCAACAAACACCTTGGCCTCTCTGAGTTTTAGTTTGGGTAGAGAGTCTGGAGGGGTATCTGAGGAAAAGTCTCTATTGAGGGACTGCAGGGATGTGGAGCGACCTTTGAATCCAGGTCTAGGCAGTATGCCCTTACGGTGCACCAGGTCGAGGTACATGCTCTGTGAGCGGTTGCGTGTGCCCCGGAGACCAAAGCTCTTCATAGAGCAATCAAGCCCTGCCGCTGATCCCAGCCTGCTGCTCCTGAGGCCTGAGCGCCCTGAGAATGACCCTTTACTAACAATTTGATCCAGACTCACACACCTTTTCATGCGATTCTCCATATTACCACTCTCCCTGATCTGCTGTCCTTCAGAGGCCAGCTGACAAACAGGCTCATCATCAGGACTGCCCCCTCCAGAGGCCCTGAGAAGTGTCTTGCCACTGGTGCTCTCCAAGTCACTCTTGTCCAGGATTGGATTGTTTTTTTTATACATGTGCACAATGCACTGGATCAGTTGGTCTTTCTCCGCCTGCAGCTTCTGGATCTGACTGCTGTGTTCATCCTGCAGCTGGCTGATGGTGACGTCACATTGTACCACCTTCTCTAACTGGAACACACATTTCCCACAGAGGAACTCTCCACGACCATCTCGAGTCAGCTCCCGGCCCAAAACATGGGACAAGATGACTTGTAGTTTCCTCTTTTCTGATGAGCTGAAGATCCAGCGACACTGGCTTCCCACCGCACGAACACCACATATACGGCACGGGTCCCTCATGGCCCCTTAGATCTTTCGATTCCAGACTTGCCCTCTTAAAACAATTCCAAAAAGCCTTTCACTGACCAGTGGTCATCAGCCTGCCAACCAAGGAATAGGCATCTATCATTTTCTCTCACTGCATCAGCGAGAGACGCACAGAGGAGAATGACTGAGTGCAGAGCACTATAAGCCCTAAGCCTTTGATAATCCCTGCTCCCGCCTCTATTCCACTCTCCCCCACATATTCAATCAGATCAAATCCTCTAGGACTGCTGCAGTGATCTGTGTTATGCCCAGTGCCAGACCATCTCTAGAAAACATCCTCCCAGATCCCCCGATAGTGAGATCATCAGTTCGGCGCCATCCTGATGCTTCTCTAGGAGACTGGTAAAGATTGCAGTGGCTGATCATTCCTACAGAGTCCTTCCTGCCTGGCGTTAACTCTGAACATCCCCATTAAGATTAGAAGAGGTGTTTGCTGGCAATCATTTCTGTCACACATTCCATTACACCTCTATCCTGGAGAGGTGTAACACTTAAACACACTCAAAGTCCTGTCATGCCCCAAACGCATCCCTGGTAGACACAGTGTCCTCAATCATTCAAAATCCTTTGCAATACAGGCAGATCATTCATTTGTGCAGATCTGACACTGGCAGGTTACACTGCTTTTCCCCCTGTAACAAAGAAGGATGGACATAAATAACTTTCAGAGGAACTCCTCCAGACAGCATGGTAATCCAGTCTTAACACTGTGACCTGAGTCCAGACGTCAAGGCCTGATGAGGAGCCATGGACACTGCCCAACTAACAGCTTTCTACTCTCAATAAAAACAGCACAGTACTTTCACCAATAGTATCTCAGTCACAACCAAGGATGATCAAGGAGCACTAGAAGGGACTACTCCAAACTCCCTCCTTAATCAAGTAGTAATGATGCAAGCTTTCTATTGTGAAACTAACATTAGACAACCCAAGATTACCACAACAAGCAAAGAGTACACACCCTCTTTACTGCAGCAGGGAACAAAAATAAAACTTCACCAGGAGGCACACAGAGGAACAAAGCAAGCCATAAAACATGCCAAAGTATATTTCCTGTGGATCAGCAGAACAACAATTCTCTGAAGTCAACAGCACCTGCTTTGTGCACCCAGCAAAGAACAAAGGTTTGAATGACTTGACACATTAATGCAGTTAAATGAGTTAGCTTTTGGTTTGAGGCAAGACTATTGCCAGAAACAGAATGTCATAAAACTGAAAACAACAAAAACACATCATCATGGCTAGGTGGAAAGAATCCAAAAAAAAAAGGCCAAGCGGTCACCCAGAGGTCAGTGTCAATGTGAAGTAGTCATTTTATGGCACACCACAAGGAGAATTAGAGAGGAAATAAACACAACACCCACCTGATGGTCCGGTGTTGTTTGGTCCTTCCCTCTATGTAGCTCGTCCCTCAGTGCCTGGAAAACGGGCAGTCAAAGGTCACTCAAATGTCTTTTCAAGTAGCGCTGAAACTGAGTTTTAGTTATTTTGTGGCAATAAATTGAATTTCTTTGAATATAGCACATACTGTATGTTCTCATGGCAACATGGCAATAAATGATGTAAAATATTTTGTAGCTCTACATTTTGGTGCCATTACAGAGAGAAAGTTCCCATATGACAACATATTAAAGTTGTACCTCAAGTTCCTGATCTTTCTTGGCGATGAGATCAGACAGCTGTTTAACACAGTCAGCTGATGGTGCGTCTGTCACCATGTCTGCCCTTTTCTTCTGATGGATCACGGCTTCCTGGTTCTTTAAAGTGATCTTGAGCTGCTCGATGATACTGATGTGAGCAAAAACAAACAAATAAACATTTGAAACACTTAATAGGGGAAAAATAAACATATTAATGTGTGCTTATCTCTTGTGTCCCTACTTGTCTTTCTCCTGCAGGGCCAGCTGCAGGTCTTGGACTGGGCTGGGGACAGGAGTGAAGGTGCTCGGTGGACCCAGAGCTTGGAGCTGCTTCTCCATATTAATATTCTTAAGCTTCTCCTGCTCTGCGATGGCTGCCATATTCTCAACCTCTTCCTCTGCCGTTCGCAGACACTGACATGAGGCAAAAAGACAGAGTGAGACAACTGCCGAAGCAATTATCACCAATCCAAAGCTGATTGTTAATACTGTCAACACAAGACAACTTTATACTGAACTGCGTAGTGGATAACTAGGGTCAAAAAACTATTTGAACAAATCTTTCCTCTGCAGATTATGTTCACCAACAATGTGAACATAAGACTAAGGAGTGGGGTTCAAAAAAATATAAAAGTGAGTGAAACTAACAATGAACATGAACACAATTTGGTTATTATGCTTATTCAAACAATCTCAAGACAGGAAACAACTTTATTGGAGATGAAATTAAGTATTTGAAAAGTTACTTAATGATACCAACTCTGGTGGCGGAAATAATTTTTTGACTCACCTGCTCTAGGTGAGCTATCCTCTTGTTGAATGCATCCCGAAGTGCATCCATCTCTCTCTGAGCTTGCTCTCTGAAACGCTGAGGTTCTCCGGACTCTCGGCCAGCCAGACTCTCCAACGCTTTCCTGAAAAACATTCACAAGGGGGGATTTACGTTTATATTACGTTAGCTCTCGTATACATTTTCGCCACTGGGCAACCACAAGATCTTCTTGCCAAGTAAGAGCTTATTTGCGTCTGAATTCTTAAAATGACACCAACACGTGAATTCAGTGAACTTTAGCACAACAGGACTGTATAGGAAACAATACTCACGATGCAGACACAAGTAGCTCCTGTTTCTCTGCCAGATCTCTCTTCATAGACTCCAACTCCACCTTCAGCTCAATGTTCTGTAAACAGACAACATCCAGTCCATTATAGCACAAACTGCACATCTGGAGTCATCACAAAAACACTGGCACAAACAGTGAAAGAGTATTGTAAATTGTTCTCCCTGACAGCTGCATTAATATAACCAAATTAATAAATCTCATGGTTTGTCTTAGAGTGTGTACATAAAAATAACATTCTTACATGACACTTCATTCCTCAAAAATGGAAAACATAAGAAACACAAGTCGCCCTGATGAGACCAGGAGATTCCAATGTTTTTACATCTCACTCGACAAAAAAAAAACAAAAAAATAACAATGAAACGGCAAAACGGCTGTTCTAAGATCATAAATGTGGGATTTTGGTTGAACAAAATCCAGCTGTTGTAGCTGAAGTTGTGATCTCAATTAGTCTTGGCAGGAAACACTGAGTCAAATGAAACATTAAGGCACTGAGGGGCCACACAAATGTATGACTAAGATAATTGCATTTTGCATACTAAAGTAAATACCACACCGTTTTGAATATGTCCTCAGTGGAGTCGTCACATTTCTGCTGCATACGCTCCTCCATGAAGTAAATGCGCAGCTTCAGGTTGAAGTTCTCTTTCTTCAGAGCTGTGATTTGCTGCATATGATTGATAAATACATTTTTAATATACAGGAAAATAACTAAACAAGCAACAACAATTTACTGAAAAAGCTGTAATGAAGCAATTTAATCTCCCAAAAATGAAAATCACCAAAAATGAAATCTATGCATTCACTTTACGTATATTAATTGATAAGAAGGTTAATTTGGGTCAAAGAAAACCAGCAGTTAAGCACTTTATCAGTGGAAAAAAGTGGGACAACATGTTTACATAGCAGAAAAGGATCATGCGTATGGTTATTGTTAAAATGAAGGGAGGCCTTCATGCTTGTATGTGTGTTTGAGTGCATTTGTGTGTGAAGTAGACTGTGAATCATTGTGCTGCAGGGTCAGAACATCGTACATCTGGTAATGGGGGTTGGGTAGACTCTCAAAGGCGGGGGAGGCAGAAGTCTGGACCCATCCATAAACCTCTAATCATGCAGTCAGCCAGGCAGCACAAGCCAAAAAATCTGAGCATGCATTCCACTCAAATGCTGAAATATAGGCTTTAGCACATCTCAGTCCTACTACACACACACACATCCATAAATGGTCAGCGTGGCTTTGTTTTAGTCAGACTGTAGATCAGGTTTAGTAAATGATAACACCCTGTTTGTTGTGGTGGGGTACCACTGGCTGCATTGCCTCATACTGTCACACTTAGTGTTTCAATGGAGTAACAATTAATAGCATTAATAAATTATCTTAAGTTAACCTGTATGTTATATAAAATTGGCTTTTGACGATCCAAGAGACTTTACATCACTACATCGCAATTCAAATTTAAGAAACATCGTGCCACTTGATCACTCACGTTTTCATAGTCCTTCATGGTTAGAGCTTTGATTGGGGACATCTTCTCAGGGAAGGATGGAGCTGTAAAACAACAAAGTGATAAACTTTTACTCATTTGTGTCAAACCTTGACTATAGTCTCCATAGCATAGAGTTCGACCCTGCTTACAAGAATAACACATAACCCCTCGTCTGTTTATTTTAGAGACAAAATGAGAAAGAGAAAGCAGAAATGTTTTTCAGTGCAGAGGCATCAGAGGTGAGACAGCTTCTGGAGAGCTGCCCTGTTTAGACCAGTTGAAAGCAGCCCACAGCTGATCATGTAACACTCGTCGACACATTTCACAACACTAACTCCTGATTCAGAGTTTGACGGCCTGACAGGAAGAGCTTCATCACCCCTCTGGATCACTTTCTTGTTTATGTACATTTTATTTCAAAATCAGAGAGATGTCTTGCTAATGTAAACATAAATCTAGATCTCTACAGATGGTATTCATTACCCTTAAAGGGCATGTTCGGTATTTTGCAACCTGGACCCTATTTCATCATGTTTTTGTGTCTATGTAACTAATTGGGACAATGTTTTTTGAAACTGGTCCAGTACTGAGCGAGCGCACTGCAGTTGGCAGCAGCAAAAGAGGGCTGCTACGTAATCCTCCGTCAAAGTGCGTCTATTAAAGCGCTTGTTTTTGCCACTGACAGGCTCTGATCTAAAAATGCAATGAGCAACTTTAAATGGATAAAGAGGTTTCCCATATGTCCTAATGCACCCAAACACTAAAAATATTGGTATCATTTTATTTTATTTAACCGGGAAATCCCTTGAGATTGAAATGTCTTTTCCGAGGGAGACCCGGCCAAGACGGCAGACAAGTTACATTTTAAATAGAAATACAGAATAGTCAGAATAAACAACAACAAGAAACAACAATCATTGTATGAACATGTGGTAGAATCTCAGCCAGCTGACTAATGTATATAATCTACATTCATCATATTGTCCAACCCAACTAATCAATGTGTAAACAGAGGACAAACCTTTATTTTGGTCCTTTTTCTATAATACAGCTGTTGAAACACGCGCACAATATTTCCTGATCTTAAAAGATTTGTCAAGAGAATAATTTTACTGTTTAGCTGGACAGTGCTGCAGTCGTCAGTGTATTGTATGGATGTCTCTGTGCACTTGTCCACATGACCAACTTGAGAGAAGGCAACAAATGCTGACCGATATCTATAAATCAGTTGTTTACTGGCTTGGGTGTATTGTCCTAGCGCTGAGTATATTGTTGGCACACTACAAGAGCTTGACAATGAATTAGAAACAGGATTAGCTAATTAACAGCATCTAGCTAATCCCTCATCACAGCTTTGGAGACACAGCATTAATTAATACACAGGGGGAGACACAACATGAACAAGAAAAACAACAAAAGTAGAACAAAAGAAGGTCTTCCTGTACCTGTCATGGTGTCTGAAGAATATTCTCCAGCATCTATGGAGTCTGGCAGTCTGCAGCTGGGGACAGAATCATTTTGTTAGCGATGCAGCCTAGTCACTGTGAATACATGGAAAAGGGTAACATTCACATTCAAGGACAATTCACATTTTTTTTTAAATCACAGGAACCATGCTCAATGTACACACACATACAATGATCATTATGGCCTTTGAACAACATGAATGTGCGGTGTTTATGTATTACTCACGCTGGCCAATTCCACTGAGCCTGAGGAACGCTCCATAAATAGCTTAAGAATGACTCTGCTTCATTTACATCCACTCTGGCAGAAACCCTTTTAGTGTGTGTGTGAGCCCATGTGCCACTGGCAGCCTCTCATGTTCAGACAGACAGGAGGAGAGCAAACTGACAAACCAGTGGACGGAGAAGGCTTTCTTTGGGAGACAAGTAGACTACTGTGACTCTGATCAGCTAAGCATCACACAGTGATGGGACAGTGGCGGCACTCACAGACTCGGCACAATGCACCAAACATCAGCAACACACATCTAGATCACAATGACACAAAAGGAACCACGGCTGTAGTACCACAATACAAAATGAATCACTTGCAGCTGTGCTAATGTTGTTTATTAATAGTGTGAATTTTTTCTGACAAATCTGTCTTAATAGGGAAATTACTTGCATAAAAAAAGCATCAACTATTTGGGTCCAAGCTCATGTCTCTTAACCTTGGCCCTTGTGTCTAATAATATATAATATGCAGCATAGCATTGCATAACTACCTCTCATACCTCCCCTGGCAGTGGAAGCTCAGCCACTCTGTGCTTCTCTGGTATATTCCTCAACAACGATCTACAGTTCCAGCATGAGTTGATTATATTTCATGTCTAGATATTGATGTTTTATATTCTTTGTATATAGAACTTAGCAGATTGTGCTTTAGCTGAGTGTCATAACAATCCAAAAATGTTATTACTATAAACCAATTAAAAAACATGTATTTGCAGTTGTATGTGCAAATTAAATTTATTTAGACTTTTTTTTTTTAACAACATCAAAGTTGCTATTTGTTTCGGATTTCCATTTTCATTCCTTTCCGAGGCTGCCCGTGACTCTTTATGTATGTATAGCTTGCACACTGCGTGCAACAATAAACTATAATGAACTTCCCCCATTTTTGTTTTGTTCTGACAGCCAACACTTCAATGTTAACCAACATGAAAGAACATAACTGTACAACTGTACAGTGGAGAAAAGAAGATAAAAGAATCGCTCAGCCGCCTTGGACTTTCCCAACATTGAATCACAGTGGATGTAATCAGGATGATTTTTTACACTGATCAATAACATAAACAGACTCTTTAATGCAGTGGTTCTCATAGTCATAGGTCCTTGAGGGGGTTCCAGTGGGTCCCCAGCAAACACAAGAATAATTTATTTTCACTGTAATTCCATCCATAAGCAAAAGTGAAAGGAACGTATGACTATTATGGTCATGGGTTTCATACATTTTATGTAATATAAACATCTAAAAGAGAACCACTGCTTTAATGCAAAGGAATACTCTATGTAACACAATGTGAAAAATAAAACATAAAGCACATGAGCAGCAGGAGCACAATACTCCTCCCCAAAACACCAGTCAGTAAAAATGTGTTGAATTGTTGCATCACTGAGGTTTCACATGCCCCTTCCTGTCTTAATGGAGAGGAAGCACTCTACAACAAGAGCCATGATAATATGCACCAAGCATAAACATGTCAAATAACTTGGAAAATGTCCTAAATGATTGACTCATAAATAATAGATGACATTAAAACACATCTGTTTCAGTGTTACTGATACTGTATTTATAGGAACCCCTGCAGCACAAAGTGGAAACAATGTAAGAGCCTGTAAACAGTGACTTCCTCATTTTCTTCCTCATGTTGTTCAAATGCTTGAGACAAACAGCTGTGCTCACGAGAATACCGTTTACAATAGATAATGAAAAAACAACAATAACTGAAGCGACTAACAACAGTGTGCAAAGCTATATTTTAAAACTAAAATTGAAACCTGAATCAGGTTTCAGAATTACCGAATAAGTAATTCACACCACACATATCAGCTAACGTCTTGAATTACAGAGGCACGCTTACCACCTGGATGAAAACTTGACACAGACCTCAGCGGGGCTAGGTTATTTAAAAAGGAGACGATTCAAAGACACAACAAACGTAAACACAGAGATGCTCTAACTAGCTTCCCAGCGGAGCAGACAGAGCTACAGACTAGCTATGATAAGCACAAACTAAACCAGCATGAGCACTTAAGAGCAAAGCTAATAATGTAAGTTTCACCTAACTTACCACAATCACACTCTCCTATCATATCATGGAGAGCACGCGGAGGAAAAATGAGAAATGTTAACTCCACATTTTGTACAAAGGTGTGCAGGGAGACGTCGCTGCTGCCTCAGTCTGAACCCCGCTGAAAACAGGCTCTGATATAATTTCCGCTTTCTTACACTCTCTGGATGACAGGTCAGCAAGCAGACCTACCAATCCCAGTAATATCACAGCAGCATCCCATGAGCTGAATATGATTTATACTACTAGTAACGTTAGTCTATGACGGGCTGTCTGCACCAATGTTTCTACAGCACTTTTGGTTTATCAGTGAAGGATGGGCCATTTTGATTTTTGCACCCAAATAACTTCGTACTTTGGTCTGTCTGTTTTTGGTTGAGTGAAACTGGCGGCACAAAACTGTTACTATTTTTATATGAAGATTTTGCTCATTTTGATAAAATCAAAATCTCGTAAGAAAAATGTTTTCCATTAGTTAACGTTAACTATATAACGTTAACTTAGTTAGTTAGTCAACTAACGTTATGTTACTAAACAAAAGCAACCTAATATAAACATATAACGTTAACGTTAACGTTAACTGGATCATTATCTAACTTATGTAATTAACGATAATACAGATTGTTAGCGGTTAAAGTTAGTACAAAATGATATTAGTTGTGAAATGTTACAAATAATCATCCAAATGTTAGATAACTGACTAACAAATAAACAAGACTAAGTAAATTTCTCATGAGACCTTACGCTATAGAAACTGATGTTAATTACTGGCAACGCACCTAAGGTAAGTTAGTCAGTTTAGCATTAACGTTACATCAAAGACAACTTGAGTTTTTCTGTGTTGCTCCAGATAATAGTCAGGGCCCATATAGCGGTAACTACTTACTGATTTCGGATTAGTGTTAGCTAACGTTATATCGTAAAGCAATGCACTTACAAGCTAGCGTTAGCTCGCTAACTATCACTGGCGGGTTTACCTTCCGTTGATGTCAACTGGGAGCGTCAAATCGTCCCCCACGACGGAATCCATGATAGCAGTTGAGTTATTTTTCCTTTCTCAGGAATAAAAAGACATTTCACGGACTAGACGTAGTGTTAAAATCAAAAAGCGGGACGGAATTCAAAATAGTCCAGGCTACCGCCATCATGATATGGTAAACGTCACCATTGTGCACGTTGGAAACTTGTGATGCCTTCAGGCTCTGTATGAAATATGTGAATATACGACTGAAACATCACAGTAGATGCCTTAAAAATATGAATATGACGATGTAAAGTTACAACACCAAGGGCTGTGCGCTAATATTGTATTACACCATGTCTCCGTATTTGTTCACAATGCTGCTTCATGGCAAGTTTATTGTTTGTGACTTTAAAATTTTGAATTTTCGAGCAGTGAAAAGGCAGCATAAAACTGGGTGGATCCTGGGACAAAGCGATTGGCCAAAACAAACACTTTGGGGAGGAACATAGAGGCTCAAAAATAAAGACGCTGTTGGATGAAGAACTTCGCTGCTTTGGTGTCCAGCCATGTAGTCGCGTAAGCCCCTCTGACAACACATTTCTAAGAAAAAGTGACGTGTTTTTATTTAATGGGCCAAAGAATCCATAACTACAAAGATCATCACGGTCAGGGAGAAGACATAATACAAATACTAGGAGTATAAATAAGCAGCGTAATTACTGATTACAAGAGAGGGACATAGATTTCTTTATAATTTGTATTTGTGTGTCGAATGTGATGGGTGTGTTGCATGACGGCGTGGAATAATTAACATTTGCTCCAGTCGGCTAATTATAACATTTAGTTGGAGTACAGTTTACGGTAATGACTGCAGTCTGGGTATTTTATCACCCATTTAGCTAAGTTCAGGAAACGTCTGAGACATCAGTAAACAGCTGGTTCAGCCCCACATGATATTTATCCAGACAACAATAGCGACATCAAGTGGTATAACTTTTTATTTCAGCAAGGATAGAGGACAGTTTCACAACTTCCCTCAGATGCAGTGTGCGAGTTTTGCATCTACCAAACTGATGTGCCTTATAGTAGCTATTGTACTTTATTTATACAAAGTTGCCAGCCTTATGGTGTGTATATATATATATATATATATATATATATGTACACACACACACACACCAGACTCACACACACAAGCAACACTTGTGTCCAAGGCAAGCACATCATGACCATCATTATGAGTTGCTGTGACACACCCACCGCTCCCCTTTTTTCCTATAACAGGCTAAACCACAGCAGGATTACCAACTGAGCAATGTGGACAACTGTCTGAGGCCCCACGGTACAAGGGGCCCCAAATGCCTCAGGTTACTGTTTGTTATTTGGTTTTGGTAATTTGATTAATTGCAAATGTGTTAGGAGATTTGCACCAATAAAATGCAATATCAACTAAGGTGTCCTACATTATTAGGTGGTGTGTGTGTTTGTGTGTGCTTGTGTGTCAAAAATGTGGTTAAAACAGGATAAGTGTTTTAGTTTATATTACAATAAAGCATTATTCCAGCATAGGAGTACTGGTTGCACTGGACACTTAGAGGTGACTTAGAGGTATATAGACATTGCAGACAGAAGTAGACCATACATAGGGTTGGAAGAGGCCCAACAAAATTTTGCCTCAGGGCCCCCTAACAGGTTAATCTGGCCATAGGCTCAACACATCCTCAGCCTCCCACAAGGCAACCCCACCTCTTAACTCCTCGACTTCACATGAAGTATATTTCTGTTGGTGTTAATCTGTCACCTTTGTCGGAAAAGTTACTGAAGAAACACAATCCACCTATTGGATTGGACCTATATGGTCATCATCACAACACTTGGCATCTGGTACCATTATAAAAGTACTATCTCTATGTGTAGAGACACTTTTGACCTTTAAGAATGTAAGTGAGCAAGAGCAAGAAAATATTTTAAAGGTATACAATTCTAAATTGTACCTTTAGGAATTATTAAGCTCAGAGATATCATGTTAAGATCAGGTATTTTATTTGTGAGTATTACAGGTATCCGAATAGTTGAAAAGTAATAATCCACACACAAATTGAATGTATTTATTGAACAAATGGACACTGAACAATGAATAAACAGTATGCCAGATAAAGGATGTTGGCACGAGAAATGGTTTGTTCAGAGTTTGATGACTTACTGTATTTGGCTATATTTCCAAACTGGCTTTAATTATAAAGGCAACAGAAAATCTTTGCTCCAAGTCATGTGTAACAATGTGAGGTATTCTTAGCTCGTTTTAATGTCTACAACAGATTTACAAAAAAAGAGGAAAAAATAATAATTTTCACATATTTGCATAATTCTTTAAAACACAAGTTATAATATAGCACAGAGTCCTGGTACAGTACATGATTGATTATCATAGAGGAGAAACAACATAAAGAAAAATAACAAAAATAAAAAAATAAAAGATAATTAACATTGCAATACATTTGTTCTCTGGAGCCCCAAATTTACACATAAAAATCTATAAACTCCAAGACCAGTTGGGCAAACTGATATAAAGTTGTCAGAAAGAGTAGTATTGCTTCAACCAACAGAAATTTGCTCAGTCAGCAACCACATTAACAACATTAAATAACATTAAATTAGCAAGAGGGGATCCACTGTATACAGCAAAGTTTGCACAATTATACACACTTGTGTCCAGCTACAACAAAGAAAACTATCTTCACTAGTTGTGTTTCTAAAAATATTACATACAGCTGTGGGGGGGCTTTGTACAGAGAAAAAGAAAACTTTATTCTTACAAAATACTTCAAACCCTGTGTAATTTTTATAGTTATCTCTAAAATAGATCAGAATAAGCATCTCTGTAAAAATGCAGCATTGAACAAAAACACTTGAATTAACAACAGATGGTTGAATAATGGAACGTTGTTGTTTTGGATGGGACATTACCATTATAGTGCATTATGGAAGCTATGGCAATATATTATATGGACTTTTTTTTTTATTACTCTAAGCAAGCATGCACTATAAACATCAGAATATTTTAGCAAAGTGGTGTAATAACAGCACTATCATTAGCACCTTTGATAACCTACCTAGCACCATGCATTAGAGAGAGGATGGGATAGATGATGGGCATTTATTTTGATTGATGGACCCACTCTTCTCTCTCCCGTGGCTCAGTTATCCTCCAAGGAATGCCTGTACCTGTAGTCTGTCTACTGTAAGTAGGGTAGAAGAAGAGACTCCTGGTCCCATGTGGTGCTGAGTAAATAACAACTATTATCCTCCTATCTTTTATCATAAGTAAGGAAGCAAGGAACTGATTTCACACTCCACAGTTGTAGAGAACTTAATAAAACACTATTGAGAACCAGAGCTCCATACTCCTTTTCACTCTGACCTCTAATCTGTCCAACTGCAGATATTCTCCCTAATCATCAGTGGCATCCAGTTCAATAATGTATGAGTAATAAGTATAGTAGTAAGTATTAAATGCACTGACTCTCCTTGTGGACGGCTTGTGTGCATCACTGTGTTGCTTCAGACGTTAATCACTGAGAGCGGACTGGGTGCCACTGGTTTTCCCGCATTATGGAAGAAACTGAAAGCCATGATTTCCCACTTGGAGCACTAGTAAATACAGATATGATTTCTGCTCAATTAAAAAAAAAATGAGCCTGCCTCTGGATTAATTCACATGGGCAAGATCACATGGAGATGAGCACCAAAGGCAAATAAAATGGCACCCCTGAAAAATCCTTCCATATAGGTTTAAAATATCAAATTATCTTCTCATTTTCTATTGCACTTGAAGATTATTTCTTTACATAAGATATACATGTATAAAAGTTAATAATAAGCATACATATATATGTACATTTAACTGATCCCAATTACTTTAATTCTTCTCTTCTAACAATTGAATTCTGGTATTTCCAAAAAAAGTACACACAGTATACAGACTGTATACAGTTAAAAAAATAAGTTACTATAATGTCCTCTAATTAACTTGGCCTTGGTCTCCCTTCACTTAACAATGTTCTAGAGAGATTGTGTGGCATAGAGCCTTTTTTCCTCCAAGCGGGCATAAATATGGAAATCCTTCTTGAAGAGCTTGAAGAAGCTTTTGCCGTATGGAGAAGCTATTAGTGCAAGAACTCCCCTGCTCCTACTCAGCTCTTCTTTGTTCCCCCCAGCTCCCCGTGCTTCCTCCGTGTCTGCAGTCCAATGGGAGTTTGGCAGAGTGAAGCAGGATCTGTTTGGAGGGAGGCTTGTACTCGCTTGGATTATTTTGCCATGGATTGAGACCGCTCCGACCTCCACGCCTTCATGGGTGATGGTCCATCCCTCCATGCTCAGACATCTTACACTGCAGCCCTCACAGGAGACATATAGGGCCTACTTCTAGGTGGTAATGGGAGCCAGGAGTAGTCTTGGGGAGGTTGTAGATGTCCACCACAGGGAGCAGGGTGGGGTCCAGGGTATGGAACACAAAATGGGTCTGGTGCCAACGGCCATCTTTTATCTGAAACAGTCCAAAACATAAACGTCACTATTGGGGCAACAAGTGTTTAAGTGTGAAAGTCCAGAATGATGTCAACTGAAGGGCACAAAGCCAGGTGACATCATGTTGGCCCTACCCAGCAGGAGTCTTCTATGACCTCTGGCTCGAGCTCTCCTCCCACTTCGAACACCTCGCCACTCCAGGCCTTGAATCTCACAGACCCCTGGGCACCCGGCTGATCTTCAGCTGACCTCCAAACCGAGAAGTTCAGGCAGTGGATGACGATGTGCTGCACTGCCTCTGAGCTCAGCAGGTGTAGGAAGTTCATCTGGACACGACCAACGCTGATTGTTGGCTGCTCAGGCAGAACAGACAGAACAGGCGCTGGTTAACAAGTCTGGTATATGCTTACCATTATTTATATTTTATTATCTTGTAGACTTCTGAAATCATTGGGGTTGTTATTATGTCTTAAATACCTTGGATGCTGTTATTGGTTTCAGGCAAGTCTGTCCACCTCCGGTAAAGTTGCAGGAGACTTCTATTGTATCTGATGAGCAGCCCAGATTGGGGTCAATCCAATAAGTGCCTGAAAATACAAACACATTTGGGATAATTAGTCCATCTAAACATCAAATTGCTTTCCATATCTGTCTCTAACGAAACATGCACACACACTCACCATCATTTAACTTCTGCTCACAGCTGTGCAGGTCCCTGCAGATGCGGGCGGGGTTGTCTTGAGTGCCCAGTGGGTTCTTCAGGCTCTTGATCAGGTTACTGAGGTAGTGGAGGGTCTTAAAGATCTCTGCGCCCTGGTCCAGCATTGGTAGGTCCATCACTGGCTTATTCTGGACGAAAGACAAAAAGATGAGCATATGCAGTTTGCAAGTTGACATGTTGACATCATCCTCCACTAACCTCAGTCCTGAGTGGGGTGTGTGAATCCATGAACAAAAGACCATCTTCTTTCTGCAGCAAAAGAACAAAATCTTTGTAATATACATATTCTTTCACCACTGTCATCGTATCCTTCTGGATAACACATTACAGTACATTTGACCTACTTATTGGATGTAATGAAATCAGCAAAAATAACATGACTTACAAATGATGGAGGGATACTCATTGGACCCTAAAGGGAACAAAAAGAGTTATTCAGACAACAACATCACGCAACTTGAATATGACATTATGTTTGTTTTGCCATTTGCTTAAACCTATAAAGGTGTAAAACTGACTGGAAGTCCAGGGGGTCCGCGAGGTCCAGGAGATCCCTAATGAAGTTATATGTTGTCAATCAAATGTCCATAAAAATTACAAATGACTTGTAACAACAGAAAAAGACACACTACATATACATACCCTTGGGCCTTGCAATCCCTGTTAAGAGAGAGAAAAGACATATTTTCAGCTTGAATATTGTCATTAAATCTGCTGTTCATACGAGAGACAACGTAAACAAAGTGTAAAACTGAAGAGGACAGAAGTAGTCAGAAGTCAAGAAGACTTACAGTCTCTCCACGATTGCCCTTCTCTCCTCTAGGACCCTGTAAAGAGATGTACATAGTCAGTTGTTTGTAGAATATCAGTAGAGAGAAATGTCAGTGCTTATCTGTATAAAACATACTGTGCTTCCATTGGGACCAATAATTCCCATAGGGCCAGCAACTCCTCCTCTACCCTGATGGAGAGAAACAGTTGAGAAAAAGAATGAAATAAGAGGTTCAATGCATTTCCTCAGTCTAATCTAGATCACTAGTTTACTTACCATTGCGCCCTGCGGACCCTTTGGTCCCCGTATGCCCTTTGGCCCAAAGTCACCTGGAGGCCCCTGGAAACAGCAGCGATAAATAAAACACACACTCACCATCACACACTCTGTACACTTGTTTAAAACTGCAATACCTGTTTGTCAGTTTTTCAACATGTCTCTTCGCGCACTAACTCGTACTGTCTCTCTAACTATATCTACATCTCATCATGGAACATCTGACATCCACTAACTGTTTCCATATCGACGACGACGTTTCCAATCTTTCCTAACAGATTCTGGCTTTGCGTCCTGTGTAACGGTTTTAGTGCAACAGAATAGATGTTTAATGCCACTCAACCACACACGGTTTGGAATGTGTTTATGATGGAAAACTTTGCTTCACACAAGGGGTTATGTTATTGTTTAAAAATCACACAAAATGACACACAAAGCACACATGGTCTTCAAACTGGTGTTTGTGGGATTGTTACAGAAAGGAGCAACACAAACAGGTCATGGGCAGGAAGTGAGTAAAAAATGTGTTGGCTTGCTTCAAGGTGTAATTGTAAATGGGATCTGGTGATGGGAGAGAACAGCCCGTCATGTTGAAAGACTTATGGACAATGTGCTGAAGCCGTCACACAAAGGAACTGTTGGAATAGTTATAGTATAATGTCTTTAATGTATGTGTAAATATATAAATATAGTTATATAATAGTAAAACAGACGTTACACAATGAAAACACACACTTGTACAAGCAAACATTATTTACAGTAATTATTGTCACTGTGACAACCTCCGTTTTGCCAATGCCAGTTGCTACAATGTCCAGGCTATACCTGAATCCTAAACAATGTTTGTACAAGTGAACTTAGAACTTAGAGATTAAACCACTTCCTGAGAAGATGCTACAGATTTAATTACTAAGGGGGAGTGATAAAGCCAACTGTTCAGAAACGCTTTTCTAAAGATAGACCACCATGTATAAAGTCACATTAGTCATCACAATTGGTTTGTGATGATGTGTGTGATTTATGGGGCTGGCAATGTACAGTAATGTGGGCTCTAGCAGCTATAACAGCTATATATGTCTTTGTTAACTGAGTTGTGCCACTATGGCTGACTGGCCAAGACGCTGGGAGCCAGAGCCTTCAGTTATTAAGCTCCTCTCCTGTGGAACCAGGTCCCAGTTCCTCTCCATCTGTATGCATTCTTATTGCACCCGAGTCATAGTTCTGTTCAAAGTTTCTAACTACTAAGAGAGAGTTTTGCTCATGATGGGAACTGTTGGGTCTCTCTTATTAATATTACAAAGAGTGCGGTGCAGATATGCTCTATATGAAAAGTGAAAAGAGTTCTACTTTTTAAAGTTGAAGATTTAGGATCAAAACACAGGCTGGTTTTTAATGGTGTGGGTAACATTATAATGTTTTGTTCTGTGCACACAGATTGCTGAAGATGTGCTGCTGTTTGGTGTTGAACATACCCTTGGTCCAAAAACTCCCAGAATTCCTGGAAATCCTGATTCCCCTGGATCACCCTGAACAAAAATTTAGTCAACAATCAGATACACAGAATCTCCTAAAACATACATAGAAAATGTAATGAAACTATATCGTACCAGGTCTTGTATGTTGTTACGTGTATGTATATCCGGCCAATACTCACAGGCTGTCCTTTAGGTCCTCGGTCTCCCTGTGGCCCTGGCAGTCCCATTCCACCGCTGAAGCCTCTTTTCCCTGGAGGTCCATGCTGTCCTCGAAGACCCTGTTCACCCTAGATGAATGAATAAATAATTAAATGACTGTGTAGATGACTCATGGGAAGTTAAATGATTATTTCTACATTCATCAGATAATCAAGGCCATCATACCAATATCTCTCTAGCATGGCAGCACATTTTGTCTAGCATTATATTTCGCTCACTCACTTGCATTTCATTACAGTTATTAATGCTTATAATTATAAATTCATTATTTACCTTTGGTCCAATGCCCCCCTGTTCTCCTGGGAGTCCTGGAACGCCGGTTTTACCACGTGAGCCAGCTTTGCCAGGAAGACCAACCACCCCGTCATCACCATGCTCTCCCTAGGTACATATCATGAAAGCAGGATGAATGAGATTCATTCCTAACACAAACAATAAACAAAAGTTAAGTCCTGCTAGTACTGGAGCATTAAAATGTTGATAATAGTCTGCCCAACTGTCTGTTCTTACTTTGGTCCAGAGCAGGAAATCTACAGGGCAGGGTGCCATGAAAGTCACTTTATGTATTCATGCTCTCCAGAGGATAAACCCTTTTTGGTTTGGGCACTCTTTAGGCTTTCTTCTATCACCGCTCTCAGTCAGAGTATCAACCTTTAACACAAGACATCTCATTATTTGATAGAGAACCACTGAATTTGCTGATTACATTCATGGTACCAAGGGCATAAACCATTTAGAGCTTTATGACCCCAGTCAACTAGCACCACCCTCATGACAAACCTGGTATTTCTTTTGCACCACAACAGGTCTCTAAACACACCAAATTCATCAAGTTGTTGTTTGTTCTGTCTAACATGTTTCCACTGTGTAGCATAATAAATATCTAAGCCTCTAGGGCATTTTAGCAAAGATATAGTTAAAGTTGTAGCTGTAAATAGGATAAATATGGTTAATGAACCAGAGATTTCTTTGTTTGTCTCACCGGCATGCCTTTACCGCCATCCTTTCCTGGGACTCCGTCTACCCCAGGTACACCCTCCAGTCCCTCTCGGCCCACCACACCTCTGGGACCAGGAAGACCACCCCCACCCTAAGGGGAAGAGAGGACTTACCAAAAATCTAGACCGAGTGTTGACAGCGTGTTACTGGCTTCTTTTTCATCTGTCTTGACTTGAGTAAACTAGCATAATCAATTATGTCTTGTCTAAGTTAATCTATGTATGACTTTTGTTTATGCCTTAAGTACTGACTCCAAGTATTGTAGTCATTTTTTCAAAGGCTGAGAGTATGTGAAACATCTGTCTTTTGTAATGGAATAATAGAAGTTACTGAAGCAGGTGTAGATGTATGTAAAAACAATGACTTACCTCTGGTCCTCTGGCTCCTTTTTGTCCCGAATGACCCCTTTTGCCTTTTTGACCCTTATGAGAGAAACAACGTTTTAAAGGGGAAATAAGATTATTATTGATCACTACCACATCTGCTGGTTATTGTTTGTTACTGCCAATGACCTACCATAACATATAGCCAGGTACTAGTGACCAGAGTGGCATTTCTTTCTCAAGTCAAAAAAGGCAAATGACTGCACAGTGTTACTATATAATTACAGTAACTTCATTCTGATTAATGAGCTATTCACTAGGTGTGTCTGTTGGATCACAGCTATATCAGCTAACTTTCTCACTTTTCCAGAGACCTCCTGATGCTGTTGCAACCTCTTGATTGAGCTTGATTGATTGAGCTTCTTTACTGATTGTAAATATAAAAGTGGCACCTCCAACAAGCGATACCCCGGCTACAGATACCATCAAAAGGATAGAAAACACAATAAAGCCAGATGGCTTATTTCCATTGTAGTCCTTTTTTTGGAAGGCATAGGTTTAGATAAAAAATAGATAAAAAATAGTTCAAATAATGCTCTTTTATCTGAGTTATATTTACATTCTACTTACTCTTTCTTACTCTCATTTAAAAGCTTAAACATATTGTATCTAAAGCTTTCTAGGGACAGCCAAGGGTTTGGACTGAAGCTAACGCAATACAGACAATAAATCGTACTGCATATCAAACTATATCTGCTTAAGCATGGGCGCAGAGACACAATCACCCTCTACCACACACAGCTAACACACAATGCATTTTTGTTTTGACATCCTTACTTGATCTCCTTTGGCCCCTTTGGGTCCTTGTTGTCCCCGAGGTCCGGGCTGTCCCTGAAATCACCAGTTATGTTAATGAAAGCGTATATAGACAACCCGTGTGAGCATGCCTGTTATTGCCGGTTATTTACGCAGAAATAATGACAGAGCTATGAATGGGAATCACAAGGTCCAACACTCACAGGTTGTCCAGGAGCTCCAGACCTGCCTCTTTCTCCATCCACACCAACTTGGCCCTGTGAAGGAGTAACAGAATATTGACCTCATGAACCAAATACCCAAATAAATAATTTTAACAACACCAGGAGTGATTGTACGCACTTTGTACCCCGGATCTCCTGATTCCCCTCTCTCTCCTCTGTCACCTGGACGACCCTGGTAAAATATGAAATGTATGTGTAAATAGCTAATGATTTGATTTCTGGGAGCTTATAGCGGACAAATAGTAGAAGGAGGAAGAAAAGTAAGTCAGGTGTGACTTACTATGTCACCTGGAGGACCAGGAGGGCCCTCTACTTTCCCATCATCTCCCTGCTCACCCTGCAGATAAAAATCAACAGAGAACATTTAGATGTTTTCATCCCTGGTGTTTCACTACACTGTATCTAGGTTTTGAAACATCTCCTAAAATGTTGCATATGTACTTTATGTACAATCAAAGCCATGATACATTAACAGTGTGTCGTCTTTAATGAAGGCACTTAAGTATCAAAGCAAGGTTGATCAGTACAAGCCGTTTACAGAGAGATGTGCATTTTGGGATGCTTATTTAATAGCTCAATGAAACACATTTAGTGTTATTGTTGTACTTTCCGGTGATTTGTGGTCAATACAAACAGGTGCTGGGATATCCTGGGAACAGACTGAGGTATTGACGATAAGGAGGAAGAACAAGACATCAGTGTTACACGTAAAGTGAACGAGGTGTACCTTTTCACCTTTTGGTCCAGGAGGCCCCATGGGCCCCTGCGTTCCCTGATGGCCCTGCAAAGACAGACACAATAAATCATATTATGTGAAATTATACACCAAATGCAAATAACTGTAACAGGCTTGTTTAATATTTTAGTGTTCAACCACATACAGACACTTGCTTCTAATAAGATAAGCTTACCTCATAACCTGCAAGACCAGGTTCCCCCTGTTCACCCATTCGACCAGGAGCTCCCTAAAGGGAACAAATACTGTGTCACTCTATACAATTTAGAGAACAAGATGGCATTCAAACGTAAAAATAAATGATAAATATCTATATCATTACTGTTCCACTTTACCACGTGTCCAATGGTTCCTCTGGACCCCTTTGGCCCAACAAACCCTGGTGGTCCAGTCTTCCCCACCAGCCCAGTCTCCCCGAGGTAACCTTGTTGACCTTTCGCACCCTAAATATACACAAATGATAAGTTACAGAATAGGTGACCACACAGCATTTCTATGTCATTGAGTGTGAATGCTAAAACTGCCAGCAGAGATGATTTGATGGTAATACCTTTGACCCTGGTTTGCCTCTTTCCCCAATTTTGCCAGGTTTGCCTTCTGGACCCTTCAGAAAGAAAATAAAATTAAGAAACAGCCTAAGACAGGGTTTAAGAGTCTGTGAGAGGCAGCTTACAAAAATCTGAATATGTATGAATTTGAGCAGAAAGAGACAGGACTTACTCTGATGCCATTGAGTCCAGGACTTCCAGGTGGGCCCTCCTTTCCCTTTAGCCCAGTTTCACCTTTTTCTCCATTGTCACCCTCTGGACCCATGTCACCTTTTTCACCCTGAATATATGTACATAAAAACATGACTATTTAATTTTCTTCAACTCAAACATGCAAAAAAGATTAAGTTTAATAGTGCAGCATTTGGCTGGGTTATGGAGTTACGACATCAATGACATTTTGGGAAAACACGTCACCTTGGCTCCATCAGGACCAGCTAGACCAGCTTCTCCTTCTAGGCCTGCCTCTCCCTGTGATCCCACACAAAAACACACATAAATGAACAATTGGACAAATATGAACCCAAAATATTTGATAGCTTAATACTGATAAACGTACCCGCTGTCCCATTAGTCCCTGCTCTCCGATGTTCCCAGCAGGTCCGATGGCTCCCTGATAGACACAAGGGCACAGACAATATTCTTTCAGTCTCTCTTGTGTATTTTACTTTGTTTTTTATACTTATCAATGTAGTTGGATCAAATCAGGCATGCTATAGTTTATACAAAACTTTATGGTGAATGTAAAAACTGCAACAATATATTGTCTCACCTTCTCCCCTGTCTCGCCTGGCAGTCCTGGTTCCCCCACCTTGCCTGGAGGACCCTTTATAAACATGCAGAGGATGGAGAAATAAAAATGCTGAATGGTTTTGGATAAAACCTAAGGGCTAATGACTCTTTGGCATGAGATGTGAACAATATGTCGGGAGTGAGTCCCATTACGTGATGACATGAGAGAGGGGAGAGAGACAAAGAGAAAGAGGACACCTTTGTAATGTGGGTTAATTACTTATAATTGGACAGATTACTTAAATCAGAGAGCATTACTGAGTCAGTGGTGTAGGGTGAACAACAGATGTCACATACTTAATCATTTAGTCTTCACAATACCCTTTGTGTGTGTGTGCGAATGTCAGTTTGCCTTATCCATGTGGGATATGCATGCGAGTGTGTCTGCAAGTGTGTGAGCATGTTTAAAAATCTCTCACCTTTTGACCAATTTCTCCTAACAGTCCCACAGTCCCTGGTGGCCCAGGTGACCCCTATAGATGACAACGCAAATAATTGATTGATAATCACACTAAAAAACAACTTCAGAGCTTAGTACAAAAAATAGGAAATCTCTAATGTTGAGGATGAGCCAAAGGCAGATAAATCTGTAAACCATGTGTACACAGTTTGGATCTGAACTGTGTCACTAATTATACTTCTAAAACATTGGCGCTTTTCCATGAGTATTTCTTAATCTCAGTGCATATGAATAACGTTTGCTCCCTGGTTGACTTGCATCCAGTCCAAACAATAGTAACAATATAACTGAAGTCAACTGTGTGGTCTAAATTATATTGCTGGTTTACGAGCCCAAAGAAAGTTAATAGCAGGACTCAGAAGTGTATTGTCTATTTGTGAAAAGCAGTTGTTCAGCACAACAGATGAGACAAAATAACAATTAGAAGGGAACCTTGGTGTCCACTGTAATTGAATCTTTATTTATAGGTAACCACAATACCTTGTCTAAATCCAAACTATGTATTCAACAAACTGTCAATTGTGTATTACTTATTTAAATGCTAATTACACCACTATAAACCCAAATACATTGGAAATTCAGTCTCTCACACATTTGTCTTTACTATTCTAGATATAAACAGTTGTTGTGGTGTGCTGTATGAAGTAAACTGCTTCAAAGTCAAGTCAAGCGTACCCTTGAGATAGTAATGGCTAGAGGGCCTTGTTTATTTAATAGGAAACTGGAGAATGTCAGCCTGTGATTCTATCACACCAATGAACCCGAACAGGGAATGGGTGCCTGTCTCTAATACTGGTCTCTAAATAAAATCTGTGTGTATGCAAACACATTTTTTAATCTGTCTTTTTTGTGATCTGCCTCTTTTTAGTGCTAATAAAATAAAACCAAGAGAAGTACAGCTAATCTCTACCAGGAAAGTTTTTATCCATCATGGCAATAATCACACATGTTTTCCCTGCAAATCCAGCTATTTTGCACATCTATTAATAAACTGTTTCCTTTTCAAAAAACAACCTATTCAGTTAGTCACCCAGCATGCTTGCTGTTCACTCTCTTGACACAACTGAACAGATGTGGATTAGACAATTCTCTGGCTGCTCTGGAGGAAACATTTTATACATGCGAATATATTTTTAATAACAACTAAAATATGTCTCATAAACTGGCTGTGATATTTTAGAGCTATCAGGGCTGGGCAGAGAGGACCAGGGTGATGTTTGTTGCCAAAGACAATCTAATAAAACTCAAAAAAGGTAGAGGAAAAGTTTGATGAGCAAAGAAGAATACTTTAGACTTGGCCATCAGCAAAACAAAACAAAAAATCAGAAGGAGAAAGAGAAAGAGGGAAAAAGACTGAGGCAGATGAGGATATCAAGATATGTCAGGGGAGGCGTAAAGATTCAGATAATGTGAGAAATCGGGACAGAACTATCTGAAAGGATGGAGAGAGGGTTTAACGGTCATACCGGCTCGCCTGCTATTCCCTTGTCCCCTGGAGGTCCTGAGGGCCCTTGGATGCCCTGGAGACAGAAAGGTAAACATTCAGAATACATGCACATGCCCACATATCATCTCGTATTCATAAAACAATGTACACGTGTATAGTTTTTATGAAGTTATAGCACTTACACAGAAACAGCACATGTCAGGCTTTTAATACATACAGATGCATAAGCAATTATACAGTATGTGGAGTATTAAGCTTGTTGTTTTGGGGTCCATCTGTGCATCTAAGTCTCTTAAGTAGTACAGTATTTGTATATTATTTCTGTGTGTGAGAATAGTGAACTCACAGGAAAACCTTTAGGCCCAGTTTCCCCTGTCTCTCCAATCTTACCCTGTAAGGGACAGTAAAAGGAAAAATATGTAAGACAGGATCAATTAGATCAGGATTCATTAGCATCTATGATGCTCACAAATACAATACAATACAGTACTTGACAAAGAAAATACATTTACATGTAGGACCAGATTTACTGAGGCTTTGTGCTTCACTTCAGATATAAGAACAGTATCAGACCATTGTACAAAATAAAGAGGGAAAGAGTTGTGGCCACTAAATTTTAACTTTCAATTGCAAGTGCAGTTGTTTGATAAGATACAGGTCTTTTTTGTATATCTTGTTTTTGTCATTCCATGACTTTCTCCATATATTAATATTTCCCCTAAAGCTGATGTATTGACCTCCACTACATTAGATTTACAAACCTTTCTATACATACCGATTACTCAAATTTTCAGTGATACATGCCCAGGCTAGATCAATATTTTCAAATCCCACCAATGAGCCCTGCAGAAAACCATTCATTTCAAATGTCATATATGTAAATCTGGCCCACAGTCTGTACAAAACCTCCAAAGGCCAGTTCTCTCCTCCACAGTAATATGCAGAGCCTCCACAATGCTGGTATCATGTCGGTCTTCTAAATCATTCTGATGCCTCGCCTCTCCAGAGGAACACAAGCACCAAAATATATTGTTGAGGAAGGAGTGGAAAAGTACCCCAGTGCTTTACCTGTGGTCCAGAGAAACCTAATTTTCCTGGAGGACCATCAAGACCCTGCGGAGAGGGGAAGGATGAGAGATAGTCGTGCGTTGAGACATGTCAGTTTATTATATATTTCCTGCCTCCTGAGTGGATGGAGAAGATGTACAATTTGCTCTTTTTGGTGCATGTGATCCATTGTCCCTCTTAAGAATCTATTAAGTATGCTGGAGGATATAATTTTTACACTATTAAATGAATGTGTCAAGGGTTATATAACAAACAAATTACAATAAATGCGCACAATCAGATCAGAATTCTTACCGTCTTGCCCTCTAACCCCATCTCTCCTGTAGGACCGTCAGGCCCTATCGCTCCCTGAAACACAAGACAGCTGTCATTTCACCAACAGAGGTCACTGTAACACAGCCAGACAGCCAGCAACATACTGTAAATAAACATCTCTGTGCATTGATGCCAATAATACCCCCATGTCAGAGGCAGTGTGAGGGTCGCTGTGCCAGTAAACTTTTCAGAGTAAATAAGGAAGTACATTATGTATGAACAGCTACAAGTTACTCTATAGGTTGTCACATAGCAGGCAGAGTTACTGGGGTATGACTGGCATGATTTTAATATTAGAATCAGGGCACGAAGTCTGGGCACACGCAGATACACACTGTTCACACTTAAACACACATACTGTCAGAACAGTCTGACTGTTTAGATTACAAAGGTGCAACTGTCAAACATAATCAGTCTTATGCGCTTAAAGGCCTACTAGTCCAGTGAGCAGTTATAAAAAAAATGGGAGCCAGGCAGTGGACCAATACAGTCCATCTGCTCTGCACCTGTACCTGTACAACCTTTCTCATCTATATTGTAGAAGATGCTGGACACTGAAGATCAGTGGCTGATAGCATGATACTCTGTGGTTCAATCATAGCTAACAGTGATTATGAATAACAAGTGCTTACTGGGTTTTTTTCTCAGGATCATAAAGTAGAAAACAAATACAACATGGCACAGCCACACAGGAGTGTGAGTGGCTGATGGCTGAGCACAGTAGGAGTTTAGTCCGTGAAGAACTCCACTAGCTGAAGTGCTATAAGCCTATTATACATAGAGCTGGATAAGCAGCACTCATTAACATTCCTGTCTGGGGTACCTGAAACCCGCTGCTTGCGTTTACATAGCTGGATTAGCCTATGTGTAGGAAAAAATATTTCACAATATCAGGCCCCAAGAAAAAAACGTTCACTCAAATATTATGCAAAGTTAATTAATTACACTGAGTTACATTAATTTGTAACACAAGCATCTGACCTTTTTTAAACAAAGGCTTAAAAGGAACACCAAGAGCATGATTCAAAACAATCAAAAACATCTATTTAAACCAGCTCAATAATAAACAGACTGCCGCAATAGAGAGATAATGAGATTAATATTCTCTTTGATATTTAAAACATTAGCTGAGGATTTGTAGGTCTGACGTCATGAGGACTTATTAGACAGAAAGCATGATTAGCCAGATTGATGATTCCTCATAGCTGACTTCCTCAAATTTGATTCCACAAATTTAAATAGGCTTTCTACAAGCAAATAACACATAAACACAGGAAAAACAGAGAGACGAAAGTGGTGCTAGCTTCTGGTTTTATCTCTTGTCTCTGATTCTATAATATTTCCATGCTGGAAAACAATCCAGTGCCAATGTTTCTCAGAGTGAGGCCAGATGTTAACATTGCTGTCAACATTAAGGTCTTGTGCCTCAAGCCAAGCAGCTCACATCTAAAAGACATATGGTGTTGAAGTGTGTGTAAAAGTTGTACGCAGTCTCATTCAGCACTAAAATTTTATTCAGAGTTGAAATCACGCAGAAAATGACGCAGTCCTTTGTGCTGAACATTGAGAAAAAAATGTCCTCCATTTTGTTTTATCAAAAGAGACATTGAATGTCTTAACCTTGACTTTATAGTGCTTAGAATTTTACAGATGTTTCAGTGAGTGGATTAGTCCACTTAGCATCTCCGTAATGATGAATAGAGGATATATGAAAACTTTATTTCTATAAGCATATGTTGTGGAGACGTGTGTGGTTGGGGAGTAGGGTGAGACACGAGTGTGTTTCTGTGGTTGCACACATTTATGCCTTTGAGAGAACCACCGCTATGTCTTCTGGCTTGCTACACTCAGGTTTCTAAGCTCGGACTACCCAACATAAGTCATGTAGCAGCAGGCAGATTTACTGGCGGTGGAAGCTGCTGACATTAGTATTAATTGAAAACACAGCTGGAGACATGATAGTGTGTCCAGGCCAACCACACTGAGGCCCATCTCCCATTGACGCCTCAGACAGAGAAGCTCAATGCTATTTCATCCCACTTTCCAGCTGGCTCAGTGGACCACAGTGATAAAAGACATCTTTTGAAAACCTTTGAAAAAGGTCACCGACTGGTGTTTGAACTCCACAAGAGCGCAAATAAAGGACAAAGGATGTTACTATAGTGCTGGGAAAGGCTGAGGTGTGACTCTGTCAAGCAAAACTAACCCCAAAAACATAAATGTTAATGTGTTCAGCATCATTGCCATAGTTACAGCCATTCTCGTTCTCAAAAGTTCTCGAAAGGAGTCCACATTAATACCCTTGGTGAGCAAGAATTTCATTTTAAATTTACGCCACTTTACCCCACAGCAAACATGTCTTAACCGTAAAAGCGAAGGTGTATCTAATAACACTGACTGCTCCAATCACTTATGTGAGCCACCTAAATGGAATGCAACAACACTTAATGTTATCAGTAACACCTGTGACTGTCAACTCAAAAATTCTGCAATAATTTCAATTCAATCATTTTGTTAAGTTATTTTTATTATCACACCATCTATCATATTAGCGTGGAAGCTGCAACACACAGTGATTTACAGTACAGGCACAATGTGTTTAGTGTAATGCTAATGTGAAACACCGTCCTTCTGGAGGCTTTTAAATGTCTTTCATGTGATGAAAAATGACAATAAATAAGTCCACCTTAATCTCCTCCTTTGGAAAGTTTAGCACATTTAGAAAAAATATTAAAACTGAGTTGTATTTCCATGGATGATTCTAAAAAGGCTCCAGTTATTGGAAGCAAGCCTTCGCTAAGCCTCACATAAATATTATTTCCCCAGTTTATGAAATGTATCTGCAAAGCATCCTCTAGGATAGCCACAAAAGCCAGGTTACATTTTCCAAGGCAAATGTCATGTAGCTGGGTTGACTGCAGGTCCTTCCTTCCTATAACGAGTATCCATTGCTCCATTTACATGGAACAAAGAAAATGAGCTGTTTGTTTTACATCACTGGAGCTCTTCCAACACTTATAATGAGCACTGACGTCTGAAACGGATGAAACAGACTCATACTTTGACTCGGAACCCAAGATTGTTATGCAAGCGGCCATGTCCATTAAACACATATGACCTCAGTTCAGAGGCAGTGCCATATCACTTCATTATGTTCACCTCCTAAGGTTTTTCCAATGGCTAAACAACAGCTCCTATACACCAAAGTGATGCGCATCTACACTTTTTTGCAAACTTTATGACCTGTTCTTACGGCTGGGAACTATCAAACGCTGACTGCAGCATACCAGTCAACAGCTCAACGGCAAAAACAACAGGTGTGAAACTTCAAACTTACTCGTAAGCCTTTGGGTCCTCTGGTACCGGCTGGCCCAGTCGCTCCAGGAGGGCCCTGACAAACAAAGGAAAAGGGGGAGGAAGAGGAAAAGAGAGGGGGGAAAGGAAAAAGGGAAAGAGAGATAAAACAAAGGTTTACACTGACAGAGCACAGAGCCCCTTGGTTGTTGACCCTGGGGGGCAGCCTGACCTCGGGAACACACTATGGGGTTTGTTGTTAGAACTGTCACTCACACCAATTAAAGGGCCAGCTCTGGAATCCTGTCCTGCTGCACCCCAGAGCCCCATATTTATGTTTGTTTTGGTGCCTCAGTGGCCCCCACCTTCAACCAATGCTCAGCCCCGCACTCTATCAAACCTGGCCGTGGCAAGGACACAACAAGGGGAAACGAAGGGCAGGGGTAGCCTCTAATTGGTTATAGGTGTTGGGCTTTTGACTGACAGGAGGGTAATGCAGGTTCAGCAGGAGGTTGCCAGCTCTCATCATGCTCAGAGAAACCTTTGCTGCAGACTGTGGGTTATTAATACTGCATATTACTATCATCTACAACCTCTGATAGGTACCTCATTGTACACAGAGAGAAAGACATCTTTGTTAGCCTTTTAGCTGTTATTGTTTGTCAGTTTTCTCTGACACAACCATACTTGATACCCTAAGCCTCAGGCAAAACCTAGATGGAGTCCCTGATGTTGATAAACACACAGCTTATTGACTATACACTATCATCTGCAAAGATAATCAAGTGAAAAGAAGGGAGAAAGTGCAAACTAAGTAAAGAAGTGGTGACTTACTGGTCTTCCTGGTGGTCCTGTAGGCCCGGTCTCACCTGGTGTCCCTGGGTGACCCTATCATATGTACAAAAACACACACACAGCATAGATTACAATTTACAATATGAGTAAGGATCCGGGAACAATAATGACATTAAGGATTTTTTGTTTTTGCGACACAAAACTATGACGCAAGTTTTCAAATGTGTAAATTCTGAATTCTACATACACACAGATTGAGTTAACAAACTGGTTTCAGTCCCAAACACATACAAACACACTCCAGCACAAGCCCAAAAATACATCTGCAGAAATGCTCTGCACACTGGAAACCACATCTACTGTGAGAATACGAGACAATGGGGAATATAGAAAAACCGACAGCCTGAGGAGATGATTTTATATCTGAAAACATACTGCTTCTGGCTGCTTTTCTTTCTCCTTTACTGGACCTCATTTTTTTGGCCGGACCATTTGTAAAAGCATAACTATGTAATGGGGAGTATTTTCAGTCAGACCACTCAGATCAGCTGAGTGCAATAAAATCTAGCCAATATGCAAACTTATAGCACAGTAGGCAGCTCTGACCTCATGCATCCATGGGGTTAAATCATAAATGCCTGCAGTATGAGCTCTCTGTTAGCAGCTATAGATGTCTGCTGGTCAGCTCCCTTCCCTTTATATGATGCAGTCCTTTCCAGAGGGTCTGTTTCTGTTTTACAGCTGAGAGAGTGGGACAACACAGAACTTCCTTATAAGTGTGTGAGTGTGTGGCTAAGTCTTGAGAGAAATCCATCTCTCTGGCCGTCAGCCAGCAGGAAACTTCTGTCTGTTCCAGCGAGAATGATGGCTAAATTCTAATCCACTTCAGCCAGTCATACTGTATACATTAGATGGCCCACATCAGATAAAACACTACATGACAGAGAAGCCACTTGCTCTGTTTGAAAGAGCAAAATGGGTGTGCGACAGGACCTTTAGTGGCACTTGAGTGTCCTGCAGACAATATGGATAGATGTCTAAAAATAAGTCACCCTCTTTCTTCGTTTCTTTTGAGCAAATCCCAGTAGCATTTGGTGTTTCAGAATGAGAAGTCAGCACTTCCTGTGGCCTCAAGGAGGTAAATCATTGGAAGTGATCCATTAAATCTATTTCATCCTTTGTTAAAACCAATGTTACAACTTTTTCCAGAAAAAGACCTCCTGCTGAGTGTCAAACCACTGCCGAAAAAAGCACATCCCTAAAACGTCCAAGGATTGATGAGCCTCCTTTGCCCTTTCTTGTGGTATTGACGTAATACCATACATCAGTATATTCCCATGGGAATAACACACACAGTTTAGTTTAAAATGACCATTTCTTAGGCACCCAGAAAAACATGTGTACACTCATATTTAAGCATTTCAAATGTTACTCTTTTGTCAAAATTCCAAAAAAAATCCCTCCACTCTGCCTTGCTCATTTTTCTTACCATTGTTCCCTTTTCTCCAGGTGGTCCGGGAAGGCCCATCTCCCCTCGATCCCCCTAAATACACATGAACACAACTTCAGTCTTCAAAGTCACCTTGTGAGAACATCTAACAATCCATTTACATGGAAAATTGTTATTGTACCTTCTCTCCTGCCAGTCCCGCCTCTCCCACAGGTCCGATGAAACCCACCAAGCCCTAAAATACAGAGACTCAATGTTGGACGGATGAATGGACATTTTGAAAAACGGAAGTGGCTATGTCAGGGTTTCTTACTCTTTCTCCCATGAGTCCAACTTTTCCTGTGACACCAGTCTCTCCCTGCAGAGAAACACATATTATTGGTCATTTGTTTAAAATAAATAAATCAATATTTTGTTTTGAGAAAAAGAGAAAAAAAAACTATTGACTTTATTCACCTTAACTCCCTCTGGCCCAACCTTCCCAGGAAATCCTTTTCTGCCCATTCTACCCTGAAAAAGGAATTAACATAGAATAATGAAGAGTGAATTATCCACACATACACCTGCTCGTTAATGCATCATTAACATTCATCACATATTCTTGATGAATAGAAAGGATCTGCTTCCTTTGAGTTTGACAACGACAGCTGTTGCTGCTCACTGTACATGCCGGCGAAATATGCAATGGCATGTGCAGGTAATGTTGACAGTACATTTTGGCAGGCTGTGGAAGTGTTCAATGACTATAATGTTCCTCTTGCACAGACAGTAAGTCCCGAGGTTAAGAGGAGGGCTAAGTGCTTTTCGTTTTACCAGCTATAACTCCAGGTCACAAATATCCAAGCCAAACTCCCAAAGACTGAGTGACTCAACAATTCCAAAGTTTCACTCCAGAAAGGCTGGCAGCTTTCATAAGACAGCACAGGCTAAAACTGTATTTCACTGAGAAAAACACAGTAAAAACAGATTCTTGCAGTAACTTGAGACTTAATATGAGCTTTCCAGGATTTGTGACTTCTTATCACCTGATATAGATTTATGTCTGTGACTGACCGCATTAACCAAAGAAAGAAAGAAATACTTAGAGAAAGAAGTGAAATTGCACTAAGAGAGGGATGAAGAGCAACTGAGAAGGTGTGGGAGATGGTAAAAAAGAAAAAGAGGCAGAGGTGGTCATTCTGAGCAGAGCAGTGAAGCTAAAAGACAGCTGGCTGAGGAGACGGAAGAGGTGGAGTAGTAGGAGGACCTGTGGCACCTGGCCAGAGATCAGTCACAGCTCCTGAAGGAGTAATACACCACTTCCCCTTAGATGGAGAAGGTAGAGAATGAGATGAGTGAGTGTGTGTGTGTGTGTGGGGGGGGGGGGGGGGGGGGGGGGGGCTAGAGTGAAAGAAAATACAGGGTGGTAGAGTAGGAATAAGTAAAAGATAAACTGATGAAGAAAAACTTGTAACATCTGGGATAATGAAAAAAACTGTTACAAGTTCCTGGTTGAAAGCATGTCTATAATTGTAATGATCATTTTTTGTCATTTAATGCAGCATGTGAGAAATAGTCAATAAGTCTTATGTTTCTGCAGTGGCCCATTTACATCTTCGAGCACTTTATAGCAGCTATAAATCTTGTCACCTATAAACATGGTGATGGCAGTTATCACCCCCTGGTGGCCACAAAAATAAATTGCATGCAGTCCGATGTGACAGGACTATCACCCAAAAACAAGACCTAACAACCTCCATAAAACTCCAGCCACACATATCTACATCTTTTCTTGAATGCAAACCATAGAATAAATCCATAATGATAATCAATCTCATACACTCAAATAAATGTCAGATTAACTCTCACTGTGGCACAACAAACTTTGAGATGCATAATTAAAATGCAAATAAGATTTAAATTATACTGTATACTGTATAGGTGGCTGAGTTCGACATGATTTAGTAAGGAATATATTTAAAATAATGGCTGGCATAAAGTGAGTGAGTTTGTTTTACTGCAAAGCATGCAAACAGATTTAGCTTCATACTACAGTTCCATCAGTCCCTTCCTCTCTCTCTGATATGTTTACTACAGACATACAAACGATATGTTAAACAAACATGCAAACTTACATGAGTGCACACAGACACACTCAGACTCTCTGTGATAACAGGGATCCCTCCCATCAGCTCTCTCTCCTTCCTTTTTCCCCAGCCAAACAACACCAGGTGTCTAATAACTCACCTCGAGTCCTGTTGTGCCCGGTGGTCCGATCGGGCCCTCATCTCCCTGGAAACAGATGATTTTGATCGTAGCATGAGTTATGTTTGGGGACATAAAGCTGCCCTCAGCAGAGAGAATACATGTGGCGTAAAACTTTTAATGTCTTTTGGCGCTTTGGGGTTGTTCTTATGTGAGTGGTGTCTTACCTCCAAGCCAGGCACCCCTCGTGGCCCTGGTAAACCTCTGGCCCCTATCTTTCCCTGAATGGGTGAAAAGCAGTCAAATTAATGCTGACATGTAAAGGTAAATGTAGCAAACACGTTTTATTAGCATATTTCAGACTGAAATATCTCAACATCTATTGGATGGATATCCATGAAATATTGTACAGACATTCAAAGTCCCCAGAGGATGAATCCTTCGGACTTCGGCTTTGACTTTTCCTTAAATGCCGCTAATGACATTCCCATCAGCCTCAGCTGTACTTTGCTTTTAGTGCTAATTAGCAAATGTTAGCATGCTAACACACCAATGGTAAACATGGTAAACATTATATATATGTATACACCTGCTAAATATCAGCATGTTAGCATTGTCAAGATGATGGTTTTACTCACCTTTGGTCCTTCAAGGCCGTTCTCTCCTGGTGGTCCCATGTCACCTGGGAAACCCTGTCATGATCAATGAAAAACATGCTTGCTATTGTCTGTCTGAAATACAGACTTACACATTAAATGCAGCAATGTAAATACAAACCTCAGGGCCTGGCGGTCCAGGTGCACCATCAGGGCCTCTCTCTCCTAGTTTGCCCTGTGCCAAAGACAAACAAGAACATGAGAAATGTCTTATATTTATTAGAAATAATTGGATATTTTGGGAAATACATTAATCACTTTCTTGCTGAGAGTCAGATGAGAAGACCATTACCCCTTGCAAATCTACCCATTCAATAGAAGACAGTTTATAGAACTTTAGAAGTGCTGAGATGCTGTTACCTTAAGACAGAGCCAGGCCAACAGTTTCCCCTTGTTTCCAGTCTCTATACTAAGCTAAGGTAATGGGCTGCTGGCTGTAGCCGTATGCTGAACAGAAAAGTATTGCAAATGTTGTCGATATTTTGATCTAATTCTTGGTCATTAAAGCCGGAGCTAACCTGTGGTCCTGGTTTCCCACGGATGCCTGGTAACCCTGGAGCCCCCTGGATGCCCTGTCCAATACAAACACAACACATTAAATACAAGACAGACAGTCAGACAGTATAAGCAAAAACAGAACCCTGATTTATTTTCTAGGGATGCAGATATTAGACATGCATGACTGCTCAGTATTTCTGTTATCTCTTGGGATCACTCTTTTCTATGATGCTAAAAGGGTTAGATTTTGCTTTACACACACAGACAAATGAGAAGGGTTTACATAAGAATTTCCATAAGCCAGACAGCACACATCTGGCTAAGTCATTTTGCAAGGGTATAGTTCTGCAACAAAGACTGTGAAACTCTGCGTGTGTGTGTTGGAGATAGTATGCAGTGCAGAAACTGATGAGGAGAGAGAATGGGGGGTTATAGGATGTGTGAACATTTTTAACATCTACATATGTGTTGCAATGGTGATCTACCTTGTCTCCTTTGTACCCAATCTCCCCTTGCTCTCCAGGAATCCCAACTTCACCCTGATGCAGGAAGGTGGAAGGTATGTTCAGAAAGAAAGAGAAATGAAGAACATTAGGGGGAATGGTAACTTTGTACTTCACCAATCACATCCAGCTTTTTCAACAGACAATACTAAAGACAGGTCTGTACATAATGATCATTCACACACAATGAACCTAGTCCATTGCATCCAAGTTCTTCATGTGCTGTCAATCTGTCTTATGAAATGCACTGATAGCAATTACACCAATCTGTACACCCTCGTTTTTAGAGAATAGTGTTCAACAGATTATTAATCACAGACAGTGAGTAGGCTCCTTACAAATTAAAATGTTTTATTCAACGCACATCACTAAGATCTGTCTGTTGTTTGCAAATCTGCATAAAGTAATTTCTGATTTTATCTCCTCCAGGCTTGATTATTTTAATGGACATTTTTTAAGAGGAGACACATCACCTGACACCTGACTACACTTGTTTGGTCCGCTCTTGGTGCGCACCCGAGTTCGATTGCTGCATTCACACCTACCCAAACAAACCGCACCAAGGGGGAAAACAAACTCTAGTGCTATTTAAGCAAACTAAATGAGGCAGGTGTGAAAGCACCTTTAGATGAGATTTGTAGGGAGCTGGAGTGAGCTTAGCTTGGTTTAAACACCGGAAACAGGGGGAAACACTTAGCTGTCTAAAAGTAAAAATAATCAGCCTACCAAAACGTCTAAAACTACACACTTTATATCTTGTTTGTTTAATTTGCACATAAACTGAAATGTGCTGGACTATTTCTTAGCCAGGTGCAGTGACTTGTTAGAGTTTTGTCATCACTGTGAGGTTGCAGAGACTCTGGGAAATCACTGCGCCCAGCCAAGAAATACTGTAGTCCCTACACATAAACCCCAGTAACTTTTTTTTTTAACAGACTAAACAAATAATCAGTGAGCTTTAGAAGTATAGATTGTGAACAGAGCCAGGCTAGCTGTTTCCCTGTTTACAGTGTTTCCAGTTGCTAAGCTAAACTAGCTAACTACTGGCTCCAGCTTAATATTGAACAATCAGATGTGAGAGGGGTATTGATCTTATCATCTCACTCTTAACAAAAATATAATAAATGTATTTCCCAAATGTCCATCTATTTATTTTACTTCATTCAACAGACTACTACTAGACTGGTACACTATTTACTGTCTAAAAATGAAAGTGGGGTAAGTGTAGATTCTTTTCACACATATCACACAATGGTTTTAATAGAAATAACAAAGGGAAGACCAATATTATTATTATTAAAATTAGAGAAACCTGTCAAATCTCATGCTTTATTTGAGTAAAAAATAATAATCAGAAGTTTGTGTCTGTGTGGTTGAAGTTGGGGCCTAATGAAATCATGCTCTATGTTTAAAGGTTGGACAGAGACGGCTACAGTAGGATGCAAAGTACATATCCATCACATGCTGCTCAAACACAGGCCAATAACAGGAATATTCAGATCACCTTATCACCTTTCAGTCCTGGTTCTCCTGGATTTCCGGGCACCCCCTGGAACAAGCACCAACAGTTGGGTTAGAAAGGGACCCACAAAAAGAAACCTCATTTCACCCTCAACTTACTAAACAGAACAGTGCACTGAGGAGGTCAATCACTAGCAAATTTTTCTCATAAACTTTTTCAGATGTCTCCAAACTCTTCTTATTGGCCATTCTATTGTATCATATAACACATAATATAATTAAAAGGCAGTTCAAACAAGACAATACAAGATTAGACTGTAATGGTAACAGTTTCCATATGTGTGTGTGTGTGCGTGTGTGTGTGTGTGTGAGAGATTACCTTCAGTCCATTAGGTCCTGGAAGGCCCATCTCTCCCAAAGGTCCCATATCACCCTGATGCCAGAAGAAGGGATAAATAAGAAACATATTCTTATTCAGTGATATCCTATGCATAAAGTACAGATAAACACATGGCTCAAAGCCCTGACTTTCATACAACAAACACACACAAGAGCACTTCAGTTCACTTTGGCATTAATTGTAAGAATAAGCTTCATTGTCTGGCTTCCAGACTATCCACGCAGCCATCACATTGCGCAACACAAAACAATGGATCATAATATACAACCACATTTGAGAGATAAGGGATAGGTCCTGCAGGCTGGCGCCAAGATTGTGTTTCATCGAAAGAAAGCCTGAATCAAATGATGTGAATGCAACAAACAAACACTTGAGGTAACATCTGTTCCATCACTGGAAAAGGAACCAGTACTGGGATTCACGCTCCGGGGCAGAAGAAAGACAGAGCAAGATTGCAGTCGTAATAGAAAGGAAACTGGATTTCATTTCATTCAGTAAGGACCAATTATGCAGAGTGATTAAAGACTTGATTACATTGGATTATCTGCTTTCTTGTCAGCATGTGAGAGGAAAGGAGACTATATTGTGGCCATGTTCATGAAATCGTTTGTACTATGTGTCCTCTCCACAGAGAAGCATCACAGGGTGCTAGTAGCTATCTTTTTTCATTCTCTGCTGCTCTGCATTTTCTGCTAGCAAAGCCCTACAGGGTGGCCTTGACTCATTGTATTAAATATTTGTCTCACTGCGTACTGTCCTGAAGTAGCTGCATGTGTGACAGAAGATGTTGTTGAATTACGCACTGCAGAAATGTCCCTCAACAACAAGTCACTCAATTTGGTATTGAGAGTTGAAAGGTTAATGGTTTCTTCTTCTTCAGCTGGGGAAATCTAATGCATTCAAATAAGTGAGAATAAAAGGTTTAATTCAGGATTTAACTGGAGAGATTTCCCTCAAAATAAACAACAGCATCTGTTCTATGGCTCCAGAGTAGCAGACCTCTAGAGGGCCCACTGACACTTAACTGTCCCTCTAAATCACATATTTCCTGCATATACCTGTAGAAATGTATTAAGAAATACAATATATTATACAATATAATGTTTGTAATTAGATTTTTTGGTTTATTATTAAAGCTTTCCACAGCCCAGGTTCAATTCCTGGCAAGTACAACAACCCTTTCAATATCCATCATATCAAAACACTGCCACCCCAGTTGCAGAACTCCCAAAGGGTGGAGAGAAACAAAGGAATATAAAAAAAGTGGTACTGCTAGTCAGAAAGCCTTTCCACTTCTTTTTGATACGTCTCTATGTCAGCACTTTCCCTTCTTCAAAAGTGACCTGTCTTCACCCTAAGCTTAAGCCTGCAGTCCCAAGAGAAGGGTGTTTGTATATTTATACTTCTGAAGTGCAGCTCTGTGCTACTCGTGTGCAGTATACAGTATACTGTCAGGTCAAATGGATGCAGAGGACACGGAACTTAGAGCAGGGCTGTAATCAGAGAGTCCTCCAATTACAGGCCTACTACCACCACCGGTGGCCTAGAATAGACCGGGAGGAGCGGCAGCAATGGGTGAAGACGGGATATGACAAGAGAAACTAGGGAGACATTATAATCAGACACAATTATGTGGCTGTCGGGCTGGGCAGGCATGGAGGGCAAGGTGATGGGTGGGCGAGGAAGAGGTTCCTCTTCCAAAATAGTTAATAAGAGAGAAATTCAAGAGGAAAACAAAAGGCTTTCTTATGGTCTCTTTGATTGATCAAACAGTGGATCACTGTCAAGTTTGTCATGAAAGAAAGTGGGAGTGACAAACTGCATTATTCAGGCTTTAGAGTCATTGTGAAAAATAACTTCCATCTTGGATTCCACAAATCATTCAGATCGACTATTTTAATTATGTTTACAGTGATAAAGACGCTGCAGAGAAGGGTTAATTTCCCGCAAAAGTGTCTGGCAGTGTAAATGATGATGAGAGCTAATTTAGAGTATTTTTCTTAATTAAGCAGGCATATTCTGTTTCATTTCCAATACAAGTACAGCTATGTATTTATGGGACAAGTGCCTGGGAAAATAGAATGTTTAAACTGAGGAGATCACACAGAAACACACGCAAACTACTACTCACAATAAGTCCAAGAACTCCGTTTGGACCAGGGGCTCCCATCTCACCCTAGTCAGAGAGGAGGAGAGAGAGTAAGTGAGATGAAGGGAGAGGGAGAAGGAGCAAGTTTCTGGGGTTATTGGCTCTTTTTTAAACAAACATGCTCCAGAAGAGTGGCTCAGTGTTCATCACAGCTTATGAGAGGGGACTGTGTGCATGTATATGTGTGTGTGTGTGTATGTGTGTGTGTGTGTGTGTGTGTGTGTGTGTGTCTGTCTGTCTGTCTGTCTGACGTAAAGGTGGAGGGGAATGTGAGCCCATCGTCCCACTGTGGCTTTTTCAAATCCACAGGTTCAAAAATGAAAGAGATAGATTTTTGTATAGACATTCATGGTCCTCAGAGGATGAATTGTAATGACTTTTGTACTCCCCTGACTTTTCCTTTAGCACCACCGTGAGGTCAAGGTTTTCACTTATCCTGTGAAATATCTCTACAGCTACCAGATGAATTGTACAAACATTCATGGTTTCAAGATGATGTATCCTAGTTACTCCTGATTTGTCCTCTAGGTCCACTAGCTTTCCCATCAGCCTCAGCTGTACTTTGTCGTTGGTGCTAACTACCAAATATTACCATGTTAACACGATAACATAAGAAAGTGAACATGGAAAAAAATTGTGCTAAACATCAGCATGTTAGCATTGTGTCATTGTGAGTATGCTAGCATTATGAAGCTCACATTTAGCTCACAGCACCGATGTGACTAGGTACAGCCTCACAGAGCTACTCGCACGAGTCTTGTTTGTTAAGCCTTCAAGAGAAAGCGGGCATTTCCTGGTTTTTCTACTTTTTTATTTCCTAATAAAATTAAGATACATAATACCTCTTCCCTCTCAGACCCTTAGGTGTGTTGCAGGAAAAGTAAAAAGCAGAGGTAAAATGTAGAGACAACAAAGACGGGCTCATGTGGGGCAGAAATATGTAAAGTCTGTCACCTCAGACTCCTTAAAGCCATTGTACAGATTATTCAAAATATATGTAACAAAAAGAAATATAACATCTGATGAATTTGATGCATAATTCACCCTCTGGGAGATGAGGCTCACTCTCAGGACCCTGAGCTGTAAAGCTGAACCTTTGGAAAAGTCAGGGATGTGTGAGCAAAGTGTTTCTTTAAACTTGAATGCGCTTTATGTTTATTATGTATTTTAGAGTTTGTTAAAGAGCGACTTGCTGATGTGTTTATGTTTTTATTTTAGAGCTTTCCACTGACTGATGAAGTGCTACATTTGTCAGAATGACAGCAGTATCCAGAAATAGTGAAAATGCTAAGATCAAATAATGTGATTCCTTCCATATGGACACATAGACACGTGACAGACTGGCAAACAGTCTCTGCTGACCTATCGTTACTTAATTGGGAACAATTACTCAAAACGACATTCTATTACGTCATTTACTATTCTTGGATATCACCTCCTAATAATACTGTATGTGTGTTGATGGCCAGTTTACATTAGTGAATGGAAAAGGTTGAATTTGAAAGCCAGGTCACCCCTACGCCCCAATACTGCAGGTTTTTGAAAATGAGTGCCAAGATAAATTATCTACAACAGAGGGAGGAATGGGATGAAATTAATACAGCAGTAAAGCTTGTCTGGAGCAAAAAACTAACTTCAATTAAAACAGAGGCAAACTGCTGGACTGCCAGATGATTTACCCACCAGTGCTGCCAAAATATCAGGACTAAAACACCAGAGGGTGGGTGTGTGCGTGAAACCACTGCTCTCAGTTTGTGTGTGTGAGTGTGTGTGTGTGTGTGTGAGAGTGTGTGTGAGCACATGGATTGGTTAAATATTTAGGTGTGTGGCTGTTTGTGTGTAACATACTGGCTCTCCGTCTGGTCCAGGTGGTCCCCTCTCCCCAAAGTCCCCAGGAAACCCCTGAAGACAGAGAGAGTAGATTTTATGCTCCGCTGCACACAAACAGTGACAATCATACTCCGACATACAATAAATTTAAAGTCCCGCGGCTTTATATAAGCGCTGTCTGCTTTATTAAACCTGTAATAACAATTTTATTGGACATTTTGGGACAGTGGAAACAAAATATATCATCACCTTCTGAGTTGAAATAGTTAACTTGTTAGCAAACAGTTGCTTATTTACACATCCAGCAGGTAGGGAGCAACATTAGTATTTATTTTGAGTCATGTTTAGGGTCACCTGATGAATTTAAGTCAAATATTAATTCTCCTTTTCAGCTCAGCTTGGTCTCTACCAATTCCTGAGGTACATATCTATCTCTTTAGCTGCTAAAGGCTCCACTATGTTCACCATCTAGTTACTAACATTGTCTGTCTGCTTTTATGTGTTGGGCAGTTGTTTTTTTAAGTGCTTTTTTGATTAAAACAGCTGCCTACTGCGTCTAAAAACACTGTGAGTGAAACAAAACATTAAAGTTATGGACCGGAAAACCAAAAACAATAAGCTTAAAGATGCTACAAAGCTCCATGGTGCTGAGGGGAACTGCAGAGTTGATAATTCTTAGTGGATTTACCACCACGAACGAGTCCAATAAAGTAGTAATTTGATTTATTCTTAATTATATTATGTTCTGATGATAGCCACTAGTAAACATAGTTAAATGCAATGCTAATTGCATTTATTATGTAAAAACTATTTTACTAAGTCACACATAACGTTATACATAAAGTAATCTGAAATATGTACAAAATACCAGAGCATAATGGCCCCATTATACACATTAAATCTATCAGCTGTAGGGTGTGGGTAGCCAACTGTTCTACTTAGGCTGAGTACACTTACTAAAGGCAACAAGAGAGACCAACAGCCAAGTAATTACTATGTCCATTTAGCACTAAACGGGATGCTAATCTGAGCTATGCTAACAGTATAGTGCTCCAAAGAGAAACCACATCTGTAGAAAGCACGTGCGCCAATGTATCTTAAACCTGAAAAACCCTCATAATGTCTCATACAGTTCTACTACTGTGGCCTCCACACATTGTTTCACAATGCCCAGAAAATGGCAGTTATTTTTGTAATAGTAGAGATGTTTTAGATTTAGAGTGTGAATATTTTTTCAATCTCTTGCCCTAGAAATGGCATCTGCTGACTAAATGTAACTCTTTGTTACTGATGGTATGTAAATGTTCACCTACCCTTCAATCTACACACTCATCCCATCAGGTTAATGACGCGATCATAACTACACTAAATGCTGTAATTGTACAGTGTAAGAAAAAGCTCTTTTCTGTTCCTACTAAACTACTAGAGGACATTTGAATCACCCCAAAAGACTGCATGGGACTGCTTTATGGTACTACGAAATTGTGTGCACAGGGGGAAGCACAAGTGCAACAGAAATCTATTAAGCACAACAGTGACCCACAGGATGAATCACACAGCTGTCACTGCTGACATACAAACTAAGGACAAATGTGGGAAATGCAGCTTTGCCAAGAGCAGCAATTAAAAAAGTGTTTTGAGTGGAGTCATATGAGCCTTTGTTGTATCTCTGCTTTTACATGATGTAAGAGAACCCTGTTCTTCAGCTTCAAGATAAAATAGTAACACACAGTAGCAGCTCTCACTGTCAGATACTAAGTTGATTTGAAAGAACTGCAACTGATGAGCCTGAAAAAGACAACAACAAAACCAAACCCTAAACAGTTACATGCAAAAAAAGGTAAGTTGATATGCAGAACTGTTGGCGGTGCACTTTGGAAACTTCTTAATCTTTCCACTATTTTAGATCTATCCCTCATCAGTCTTTGGTAGATGGCAAACTGTGTTTCCTCGACAGAGCACAAGAGCTATGGTTAAGGCCAATAAAATATCTGGCTCCGGTTCAGGTGCTTCTTCTGTTCTTTTTCCTTTGCCAGGGAGGAGAGGGATCATCTCTCAGGGATCATCTGGTAAGTGTCCAAAGCCTTCCATGCAGGAGCACTGAAGTCAGATGACAATGATATGTGTGTTTTCCAGTTACATTTACAGGTCTGTAGCAGTTAAAATTACCATTTAAAGAATATGAAATGATCAAAATGACAGGACTCCTCTGCTGCTCTCTTCTCAGGACAATGCTCTTTAGTATGAAAACGCATAAACAATGTTATGGATTGTGATACATTGTAATTTTTGTCTTTTCGGCCTTGAAAAGCAGTGCTGCTGCTGTCATAAAATCATCCAGGACATACGTGGGGCAGGAAAGAAGCTTCCATATGAATACATTTAGTTTTGCATCAATGGTGCCAAAACTGTATAATTGCCATAACAAGGTTTTTGCTGCAGTGTTTTAAAAACTGAATCAGCACACGACGCAAGGTGAATCTGCACCCACAGCTACTTCTTAAACATTGTCCAATTACAGAATAAGCTGGAGTTCTTAAAACCTCACACTAAGCGGACACTGGCTTGTATGTGTTCAGAAGTTTTGGTCTATAAATGCCTTATTTACTGAAAAACCAATAAGCAACAGCTGCAGAATGATCTCAGCAGTGAGTGTCAGGGTTACACACTCTTTCTGAAACACTCTGTCAAGCTGACTTTGAACACTATCTTACACACACAACAAAACCAACGGCTTTCTCCAAATGGCTTGGCTCCAAGCTGGGGGCGGAGGGTCGGGGGGACCAAAAGCCCTTTATTGCAACAAAAGCCTTTTTCTTGTAGCATCCAAGACCCCGACATACGGCTGGTGGGACTCCACAGTACTCAGGCTCAGTTAACCCTTACAACAGCCATGGAAATACTGAGCTGACTCATACAATGACGTAAATGCAAACCTTGTAAATTTTCACATGTGTAGGTGTTGGAGTCTTTGCACCAAAAGCCCTCTATATAACCCAAATAAAAGAATGCATTATAAAACATCATTGTAATGCTAATTCAAATCACTACTGATTTGAATGTTCTTTGATATCTGTTGCCATCTCCCAAACTCTTATCATTCAAAAATAATTAATAACAGATTATACATTCACAGTCTACTGACAATTCATCACACTTTGGAAAGATTATCTGTAAAGTATGTTGAGACAAAACTTTACCGGCCTACCCATCTTGCCCCTCTTCCCTGGTTCGCCGGGAATGCCCTGAAATCGAAGTAAGAGAGAACAGAGAGGTGGAATAGAAAACAAAGCAGAAGGGGCAAAGGAAATGGTTCAAGGAAAGAGACAGAAAAACAAAGAAAGAGACCATATCAAAACCAAAGACTCTTGAGTCTTAAAAGTCCAAAACACATAATTAAAAAGCCAAAACTGTGAGCTTCTCTCAGCTCCTTATTCAACAGATGTGTGGAACAGCTGACTGCAGCCTATCCAGCATTTCCCCAGCCTATTATGAGGGATTTAGGCCTCCATGTCATACATATATATGTTAAATAAACACTGGTTTCTTTTGAAAGAAGACAGTCAGACACTGTCTGTTATGTGTAGCTAAGGTGTAAGCCATCTTGCTGGCTGGCTGCAGAGTTCCTGATTACAGCCTGCGCTGACGCAAGCCCCTGGAGTATGTCATAAGTGGGCTAATCGCTTCATGTTTTTGAGGCGGTACAGAAGGAGGAGGCCTTGATCAGTTCAGGCAGTTCAAAGGCTCTAAGAGGGAGCTTTTATCATATGAGTCATCAACACTCCCACACAGCCTTATGCAGCAGCATCTCGGACAGCTGGGGACTGTTTCCCGCATTGTAACAACAACAAAACAGCTGAATGAAATAGCAGTAGATGCACTATTGTCATCTCATAGGGCCTTTCGCTGGTTTCTGTTAGTACTGTACATTTCTGCAATTTTTGACTATATATGATAAATAAACATTTGACAAAAACTCACTCTTTCACCATCAGGCCCAGGAAGGCCAAAAAGCCCCGGGATTCCAATGAAACCCTGCAGAAGAGGAGAAGAAAGGAGAGGAGAAGGGACAAGGGGAAGAAGAGGAGAAAAGAGGAATATGGGGTGTGAGTATTTGCATGGCGTAAAAGCAGCAGGAAGAACAGTAACTCCCATTGGCTCTAGGGCTGGGTTTCAGGGGCCGATGGTCCAGCATGGATAGGGTGGGATTCCATGAAGAACCAAGCCATGAGGCAAGTGTATATGCCCATGGACTGCATGGTGCTGGCTTCCACGATGTAGTCCAAGGGCACATACCCTCACGCCAGGGATCTCTGTAGATAGCCAGGACATCAGACTGAGCTGTCGGTACAGGGGGAGACACACACAGAGGAAAACAAGCACAAACACTACAACAGTTGAACACTGGAGGAACAGTGGGATGTTAGTTTCAGGCGAGCACGAGTTGAGTGTGCACAATATGGAATATGCTGCAAAAGAGCGTGCAGAATATTTGGAAAGGTGGCTCAGTGAAAGAGAGAGAGGACTAGAATGGCTCCTTAAGACAGCAGGGCCTCATACGGAGCTTAAACAGGAAATTCCAGCCAGTGGGGGCAGGGGAGGCTTTGGAGCAGCCAAGGGGAGCTGATAAAGAACCTTTATTGGAACGTAACATAAAAATCACTGTTTGTGTCTATGAGTGTGTGTTTCTTTGTTTGTGTACCTAAAGGGTTTGTGTTTGTACACAGAGGCTTATCAACAGCCAGTCTTTCAGTAGGTGTCTGTATACTGTAATAAAATGTTTATATTACAAGTAAAGGCTACTAAGCTACTAAGTAAAGAATACTATTAATAGCGGGACACACTGGTCGAGTGAGTGTGAATGGATGTGTTTATGTGTGTAGAGGTGGATGCTGGTGCACACATGCTTTCATGCCTGCACTTGGATGTTGCTACATCCAGATGCACACGCATGTTCTAGTGTAAAAACAGGTTTCCATCACAACATACCACTAGTTTTGCAACCTTTAATTAAACAATTTTCTGCATGTTAACTGAGATTTACAGGCTCTGATAAGTATTGCATAATAACAAGTGTCAGAAACCTGTCAGGCTGAACGCTCTACCTATGAACATACTCACCGCTCCTGACAAAGCACCAATCTTAGTAATTTAGACTGATAAAATCAAACAAGAGCAGCGCCTTTGAAGGGAAGAGGCTGAATTAACTTACCCGAACACCTTTAGGCCCCACTGGTCCTATAGGCCCTGGTAAACCCTGAAAAACAAAGGGAGGAGCTTTATTTAAGTGGTTCCACAGTTTATACAGGAAATAATGTTTGTGAATGTGTGTCGTTGTGCATCATGATGGCATTAAAATGTGACAGGACAAAGACTGCAACTTACATTAAAATAAGAATATATCAACATGACTTGCAAACACATTTAAAATGCCACTAGATTGTTTTGTTAGATTGTTAGATTGCTTAATTTTATTCATAAATTACATAAACTGTACAGGTACTCCTGTACAATATAATACATTACAATATTGTAACTGTGCAATAAATTTATCAATACAGCTTTATGGCAATTTATGAGGCTGTAGCTTGTGATGTTGTTCTCTTGGACCACTATTTTTTCAATAGTACAACTCCTCAAGTTTTTTATGCAAATATTTCCCCCTAAGTCAGCTGTTCAACACATAATTCCACTTGGCCCTCTGCCTTTACTATGGCCCTGACTACAACTGTACCAGTCACAGCAGAGGATTTACTGCACCTGCCTGCCAGGATAACCTTTGGCACCTGGGCTTCCGACTGGACCTTGCTCTCCCTGCAAGTAAGAAAAAGAGAGAGAGAAAGGGAGAGAGAGGATAGAGATGGAGAGTGAGATGGCAAGGATGAGAAATGGGGGTGGTGATCAAATCAAATTACAGAAACACAAACACACAGGCAGGCCATTCTGCACATTTTCAGAGTGGACGGTTTACAGTTTAAACAGACAAATACTGTATGATGTAGAGATAAATGTGTTTGCTTTACATAAAAGTGGACTTTTGTGTTGAGAACACAAGTACAGTCATCTGCGGCATTGTCAGCTTTCATATGAATATTATTTATTGGAATGGTGTCTTCTTTGCTTTGATAGCTCAGTATTAGGGATGAGCGATGTAGAGAAATACTGTATACTGTGGGACAATATACATTTGTTAGCCATCGTTCTACTGGTACTTACTGTGTACGCTCACAATACTTTGAATGTAATCTAATTTAAAATAAATTATTCTTACTATTAATGATACATTTCTGTGTAAAGTAAGTTATTTTACTGCTGTAGTTGCCAATGTGGAGTTTTCTCAAGTATTTTTGTATTCTGTATTTTAATTTACCATTAGATAATATTTTATAAGATGATCATAGTTTTCGGATTTAAAATCTTAATTTGCAAAGTAACAAATAACAAGTGAACTGTAGTGGAGTAGAAGTATAATGTGGCATAAAATGGAATTTAAGTACTTCGAATTGGTACTTAAGTACGGTACTTGAGTAAATATACTTTAGTATATAGTGTTCCACCACTGTATATCGCCCATTCTTAGCAAATGTATCTGTTGGATACCAGGACACAAAAGTACTGCTTTTTTTCCAACGTGATTTTCAAATCTGGTCTGTGCATAGACCATAGAAGCTAATTAGGAGTTTGGTTTATGTCTGTGTGTGTGTTAAGAATTAGGTTGTTTCCAGCACAAGTGTTCATGTATAACTTCCTTTGACATGCTCCGGACGTACAGCAATGTGCACTGCTTGCCATTACCTCTTCTGAATAAATATAGCGCATAACGAAACCAGTTAAAACCAGACAAGAATTTGGCAGACTGAGGTTTGGATGTTTAACTAGCCAGCAGTGAGGAGGGGCTCTTAGCGCATCTCATGGTGGATTACAGTAACAGAGTCATCGACACTTCATGCACACCAGCTGGCCTTTGCTCTCAATAGCTGGAGAGTCCACTATGCCAAACAGTTGTGCTTATTACTCTGTCGCTGGTGTTAGGATGATTCAGACTCACGGCTAGAGCCGTGATCATCATCAGCAGCAGCTCTGTGGGAAAGAGGGGGGTGTTCGAGGATGGACAGAGTGGAAGGACATGATGGTGAGAGAGAAAAAGTACTCCTCCATGATGAGTAGTGCGGGAAATCCCTGCGCTGTTGACATCATCCTGAGAACGGGGACTTACCTAAAACTGTGTGACAATGACGAGAATGTTCCACTCTGTTTTCCATGACTAAGGCCTTTCCTTAATACAGTAGTTGTAGTAAGACCAAGCCTGACTGAAAATAGCTCTGGACACGAGGCTGGATGCTCCATACTTAAAATAGTCCTTTTGGGCTGGATTAAACCAGAGTCATGTCTCCTCCCACTTGTGTCAGCGAATAAAAGGGTCCATTGAATGGATTTCCTCAGTTTAAAGAAAGTGGGAGATATAGAGGAGGAAGAGACTGTGACTTGAGATTAAGACAGCATTAAGGTAAATTGCTGTAGGAGTGAGACCTAACGTTAAATGACAAGTGGCAGGGAAAGAAAGTCAGACAAAGGAAAACTTTCTCCAAAGCTGCAGTGTAATAGCCGTGAGTCTGTCACTGTTGGCCCAGTTGGCTTGTTCCTGTTCCTCTTCTCTCTATTTTCTCTCTCTTTGGCATCGTGTTCTGATATCCTGGAGAGCATCGCTGCAGCACAGCACTTTGGCCAGATGTCTGTCCTCACCAGTGCTTTATAACAGGCTAATCTAATCTGGCTACACTGCAGGCATGCTTGGTGCACCCAAACATACACACACACACACACACACACACACACACACACACACAAACTGAGTGGATGAAGACTGGGCTTATAAATAATGAAGTGAGACATAAGAACATATGGGATTACTCATCCATAAGGGCCTTACTGGTGGACATCATAAGAGCAAACATTATTAAGACACTCATGAAGGCAAATGCATGAGGTATAGACAATGGGGTGCTGATAAGAGTAAAATACATTGTAAAATAACATTGTACAACATTATATTTTCTTGGCATGAGTTGCAAGATATGCACTTTATTATTATTAATGGGTGATGTGTTAAAACAGCAGTGACAACTAGGATCAAAGCAATGAGAAAGGGTATCTGGAGAAAGATACTTACAGGCTCTCCAGGGAGTCCAGGTGGACCAGGGTAACCTTTCTGTCCCTAAAGAGACAAACATCAAAAACCAGAGGTGAGTTAAATGCATAAAATAATGCAGAAGTGAAAGAAAAAATTCTAAAACAGTTAACAGACGAGGATAAACCTGTGGGAATGATAAGTGGAGGTTTGTGCAGAATAAAATATGCATGTTTACGATAACATCACAGACAGACAAGTTCAGTGCCATATGCAAGGAATCAATCTGCCCTTCTGTCAAGGGATCAGACTTTCCACAGGCTGTGTTCACTGAGAAATGGTGCTTGGAGAGGCTGTGCCAGGATCATGGCATGTTGAGGATATAAATGCCTTCCTGTTTGAGTCAGATACTGTAGCAGGTCCCCCCCTCTGTCTGCAGAGCGGACTACAACACAGAAGACAGCCCGACATAGTGCGTTTATAAAGTTCTGCTGACTCCAGCAACACAGACCCCCAACAAACAGCAAGAAAAACTAAATCAAAGGTGGGAAGGCATGTCTTTCCAGACCACAGTTTGATAGAGTGAGAGAGTAAGAGAGAAAGGAAAGGAAAGAGGGGGAAAATTAAATAAAAACAGAAGGGCAAAGAAAGGAAAGACTCCTGTTGTCCCGTTTTCCTAAACCACAGCTCCAGAGTACCAAGCCAAAACTCCTTGAGTTCCTGTAAACCATCTTTTAGCCCTGTCATCTGACTTCAGCAGGGGAAGAGGACACAGCATCCCTCTTCTCGTTATGTTACATGATCACTCTCACTGGCTTACACCTTCATACCAGCACTTTAAACTGCCTCTGTCAGCATTATACACACATTCAGTACTTAAATAGGTACAGCAACTGTGTTGCATTACATTTGTTTTATATATGTATACTTCTATTCACAGACCTCATCCTTACACATTGTACCATTATCACTGTATCTAAGACAAATCGTAGCTTTTGGAAAACTTCTCTGTCTCACTATCACCATACATCATCTGTTGCAAATCATCAAAAGACCACTAGGAGGAGACCCTTGGAGCTGGGATAAAAATACATGAGTAATACACATAAAACAAACAGAGATGTCACCGGGAGCTGACAGACTACTGCCTAACATAGCGATACAAAGCAGAAACGCAGTGTGTGTTTTCCATATTTTTGTGAAAGTGCTATTGGTAGGCATTGTTGTGGAGAGAACAGGGATGGATGAACATGCAGACACATGGTGCCTGTGTGTGACCACTCGTATATTGAACTGTTGTGAAGTTGGCCTGTTGGGCAGTTATAACGTGTTGATAAATGTGTGTTTGTCTGACTCTCCTACATGTGTTTGAATCTGATGATCCATCTGTTGCCATTAGACCATTATTTTCTCCTTTAGGGTGATTTCTTTTTTCCATCCAGTTCTCCACTTTTCAGGCCATTCTCAAAGCATGTACATGTGCACACAAAGATACATATCCACCGTCATCTTATTTCATGGCTTACTTATAGTACAAACATGTGTAGCAGCTTATGTTCCCAAGCTGTGCTGTGGGGTCCACGAGCTACACACACACACACACACACACACACACACACACCTCGGTTCCTGGGTATTAACCATAGCCTTCCAACCCCAGCTACACCATCTCAGATCCTTATCTCACTCATTATGAGCTTACTAATGAGAACGGCCATTCCCACCGGCCCGCCTGTGTTTACAATGCCACTTGCTTAACAAGCATGTGTGTTCAATCAGATAAACCCACCAGAATGCTTTTCATTTACAACAGCTCTCTGGTAGCACCCTGTAAGTACCGCCCTCCTCATCCTACCCCACTAAGCCGAGGAGTACCCCAGGGAACTTTAAGCGCATTTTGGCAGAAATAAAAGACACATTGTGTCTGCAGATGACATGTCATTCCTCTGACTCGTTACCAGCTACTCTGTACACACACTTTGTGGGTGTTCAAATGCGCACAGGCCTCATGTCTGTTTACAGCTGTACACCACAAATGCTGAATATGTGTCTTCCACAGTCTAACTACACTGGACTGCACCCTGGTAGCCGAAATACCCCACTCACCTCATTAATCTCTGCTTTTATCTTTCCACCCCTCTTTCTCCAAATTCCCTCTACAGAATGGAGCCAGATGATTGCCCAGAGCAATCGTCTGGCTCCATGCATGTGCTGCATATACAGCAAAACATAAACCCTTCACGCGATGTCTGGCGGGGTAATATGTAACAAACAACTGTGTGAACCTGACCAGACAACTGCCTTGAAATCTATCCAGCAGAAAAATATTCCTCATCTGATCCCTGTCTGAACTGCAATATCAGCAGCATGTTTGCTTGCATGCAGTGTTACTATTAAACTACTAGCATGGTGGAAGACAGAGCAATGATTTGTTATTCTTTTTGTGAAACATGCAGAGAAAATGATGGTTGATTTGAGTTCTCCCATGATTACAATGACGATGAGCATGTGGATTTGTTAGTTTGAACAGCGGTCAGGAGCTAAATGGAGAGACAGGTTTGGAGCAGGTCTTCGGACAGATTAATGTCGTACAATAAACTGTCTTGCATAAATGAAGGAAACTAATAAAGGAGGTTACAATATATGGATCTACTTTGTATTTATAGGATGTTCATGTTAAGAGAACTATGGTTTAGACTTAGTTTGAAGGAAAATTATCTGTCTAGAATCTAGGCAGCAATAGCAACTGAACTATCCACAATTAGGATTATCATTGACCTTGAAATCCTAACACATGGCACATATGTGAAAAGCACATGGAACCACCATAATATATCTCAAGATGGTCATATTTTCCCAGAATGTAGCATAACAGAAGTGTCTACATGAGTGTTAATTGATTAGTTGACTGTAGTGTCACTGCATAATGATGTTCTAACTGACCTTTCGGGACAACACTGTTACTTTTTATGTATATTTTAATGCACCATGTCACTAAAGCAAATTCCTTGTATTTGTAAACCTATATGGAAATAAAGCTGATTCTGATTCTTGGCTCTTGAAGTCTTTTTAACTGCCTGTACCTCTGGCGTAATAACATTTTGAAATGAAATGTAAATATGTCCTTTTTGGTTTTAAGGGAAGTTACCTGTGCAGTGACATCTTTATGCTAAGCTATGCTAACTGCATCCTGACTCTAGCTCCGTACTTAGACAAGAGTCATATTGATCTTCTCATCTAACTCTTGGCAAGAAAGTGTATTTTCCAAATGTCAAACTATTCCTTCAATTATAAACATGAAGAGGAAACAAATCAACCAAAGCAAACAGAAGTAATAAGTGACAAGTAAAAACTCAAAGTGTACTAAGACCAGCACTTCTTTTTAAAGATGCTAAGAAGTAAACCAGATTATCGGGAACTGTAAGGAGGTGCAGTTAAGAACGCTATGGGTGATGTCACGGGCGCTACGTCCATTTTTATATACAGTCTATGATTTAAACCTCTGCAACTGAACTAACAATGCTACTGTTCACTGTGTCTTGACTAAAAGCAATAATAATGTGAAAGATGTAGAATTTCTAACAAAAACAAGAGAAGAGACAGATCAACTAGCGGTGGGAATAGACATCGAGGAAAGAAGGATGGAGGCAGTAAGGTGAGACATGTGGCTTGTAATGTGGCCTTGTAGTTGAGGTTTGGCCCTGTGTGTGTCCCCTCTCCCTGACCTTGGCTACCATACTGAAAAGCCATTCAGCGTCTGCTTGGTAGAACAAATGTTTTCAGAGCGGAACATGCTTGGCTTGTCTGACGGTGTAAAATCACACTCTCCCATCACAGGTTCAAAGCACCACTGCTTTCTCCATTAAAGTTTTCCATGGAAAACCAGCAGCCAAATTCCAGAATTCCCGGTTGAAGTGTCAAGCTAAGGCTGATAAAGAGCCTTTCTGTATGTGTGTGTGTATTTGGGAGGCAGAAAAGGTGGAAGGGAAAAATACAGAGGAGAACAGAGGAAAAGCTGCCGTTGTCCCGTTTTCCTAAACCACGGCTTCAGTGTAACGAGCCAAGCAAGTGAGACAGAGCCAGAGTCAAACTGCTACAGAGGTATGAAGAGGAAGAAACAACACATGGGTGTTTCACGGTGGCCCACCGCTGTGATGTAATTGCAGTAAAAGTCATCATTGCTTTTCAACTTTTTGTATTGGCCTTGCAGCAGGCCTCAATGTCTCAGTGGAGAGACCTGCATCAGGACAGGACACGCCTGGGACTTTCCACCTGAGCTTACCGAAAAAAGGAGCAGAACAGAACAAAGCCTGTTTCAAGACAGTCTGCGCTACCTCAGCACAGTTTGGACGTTGACTCACAGCTCTGTCATAGCAGTGCCATGCGTAGGCATGTAGCATCAAGATTCATTAAAACCAACGCCGTGAAGCACAGCTGAGACCTGGGAGAAATACATTGTTTTCAGCGCCAGACGAACATAGATTAATTAGCTGCTCTGTGTTTGTGTACGGAAAGGAAGCTGCCTCCTTGTGTTTAATTTAACAAGTTTCCTCTACAGTCACCATGTCTGTGGTTCGTTGACCAATACCTGAGGCATGCTGTGATGATATCAGAGTGTGTTGATGAAGTTGCCATGGCAAAAACTTCCCAAACATTAGGATGTGACATTCTGAAATACTCTTAAAGAGCAGCTACAATGGACCTTTCGGCCTCATGAGCGTCTGCATTGCTCATCACAGTATAGACAGATAGGTATGTACTTTAATTTCCCCCCCTGCCAGTTGATCTTACTTGTGGCTGATTCCAAAAGTAGTATAAGAGGTCCATCAGCTGTCCGTCTTGGACCTGTACACTCTCACCTGCAGCTCTGATTCACATGTGACTGTCTAACTTTTCTGATGGGCCATTAAATCACTGCCAATACTCATTTAGCTTGAAAGAAGTCTGTGTATGTTTTCCATCAGCTTTACATTTTCCATTATAACTTTGTGTGTGTGAAAAAGAGAGAGGCAGAGACATACAAATGGAAGCAGAGACACGCAGAGAAAAGCAGACTCCTAACAAAAGCCATATGTTAAGCTTGAGGCAGCCATCCAACCACAGTCCGACACTCTGTTACACATCATTGTGACTCTGGGAAGACAGTGAATACATGCAGAGGCCCTTTACACCTCTGCTGAAATGCATACAATCTACCTGCTATATTCAATTACTCAACTAATTTGTCTACTTTGTTTGAAATGTGAGCTCAGTTCCATTTGATACATAATGTGAATGAAAACAGTTTATAAGATCTTCTTCTGCCACTATGAGACATTTGTTTACATCTCATTGTTCAAGAATAGTTGAAACAGATTATTTTTGTTCTGACCTGAGGAGGCTCACCAAGTACCAATACAGTTGTGGTAATCATGTCCTATATAGCAGTGGTTCCCAACCATTTTTTGTCTGATAGACTCCCACAGATCTGTCAAATAAAACTCAAGTACCCCTTCATCAACACCATCTGTCATGTTCCAAATGTGTTCATTGCAAGTGATTTGATTATTTTAGTTAGCTATTTGAACAGTTTATTCATTGTTTTATCTGACTATTTAAACCATTAAAGCAATACTTTTGCCAAATGAATCATTTACATGAGTAAATTTACTCTTACCGTTCAGACTTCTCTGCTAGGTTGCCAACTAGTTACCAAGCTTGTAAGCTATCGAGCTTTTCAAATTAACAGCGCCACTGTACAATTTTCCCACGTACCCCCTGTCAATTGCAGAAGTACCCCTTGAGAATCACTGCTGTATTGTATCTAATTGATGTCTGTTTTATGGACACACACACTGACAAGCATGCAAGAATGCATGCAAACAATGTTGAACACAGAACATACACAACTCAGACTTTCCCCTTAGACTTAACACTTGGTCTGTGCTTGTTACACTACTGTCTACCAGAACCTCTGTCCCACTTTTCTTCCATACACTCATAAATCACTCAAGTTCGCGACTTAAATAAAGTCACTGGTAATTTTGTGTTTGAGTGCCCATCCTCGTTTCCCTGATGACAAAAACCTCCGCCTTCATCCCTCATGACATCCTTCCTGCCAAATTAAGACCCCTCTGTGCTAGATCCAGAGAACACAGATGTGAAGAAATGGTGAAGACAGTCCAAATGGAGAAAGAGAGATGGAGAGAATTAAGGAGGAGACAAGGAGAGAGCTTTAGAGAGGTGAGTGGGTTTACACACACACACACACACACACACACACACACACACACACACACACACACACGATGCATGAAAACATCACAATAGACACAAAACACAAGGGTTATAAAATGGTGACAGTGACTCATCCAAACCTTTTCTTTCCTGGGCTTTCCCAAACTTTTCAAGGGTCTACACCCACTCAGATCAACTGGGAAGTGGGAGTTCTTAAGGCCAGCATTTAAGAACACTGAATTTCATTTAATTGGAAGAACTTTGGTGCAAGGATATTCAGATGTTTTTTGGGGGGGACCGTCTTACCTTCCGACCTTCTTGGCCAGTCAGTCCAACTGGACCAATAATCCCTGAGTCTCCCTAGAACACAGTGAGAATGACATAAGGCAGTAAAGCAACAATGACTGGCTGCACAAATAGCAATCATAAATGTGCTAGAAGCTTGCCAAACAGGATGTTGTTATAACTTAATGTAGCAGGTAGGAGGGAAAGGGGGCACATAATACCTTCTCTCCTTTAGGTGCTGGCCCAGGTGAGATGCCAGGGTCTCCTTTTCTCCCCTGATGAAAAGAAAAACACAAAGCAGGACTTTGTGTGAGTTAAAATCACCCAACTTCACCTCACCTATTTCAATCTCTGAAAGTATCTGACTAACAATTATATTAACATATAATTTCACTGGCCAACATCTTTCTTTTGGACTGAGGAAAAGGTTAATGCTACAAAAGGTAGCCTCTATAAATCCCATACTAGAGGAAGAATAAGAAGCTACAATTGATAGAAAAAAATGAATAGGACTGAGTTACCATGTGACTGATAAATCCACATAAAAAAATTGTACAGCTGCTTTTCTTAGCCACACTGTATTATGTGCCCCTCCAGTCACACACGCCAAGCTTCATTGTCAGCAGGTAACAATAACGGGGCTTCAGCACATCAAAGCTATGGATCGGAAATTACACTGTGAGTGCTGACTCCTTCTCTCCCCACGGACCCCTGCTATTTACAACTTTGTTTCATTTATTAAGGATGAAAGAGCAAAGATTGCAGTGAACCCCCCGAGACATCAAACACACCAGAATGATTCTCTCAACACACCTGCCAGGTAGATGAAGCCTGCTCTGCACGACTCTGCCTACAATATGCTGAAATGCTTGCACTCGATTGAGCACTCAGGCATGTGTATGTTTGTGTATAACATAAATGTTATTGTTTATATTACAGTTTAATATGTTTATACATACATACACACACACACACACACACACACATATATATATATATATATATGTATATATACACACACACATATATATATGGTTATATATTATGCATCTTAATGCAATGGTTCAACCTTTTTGGAAATACTAAATCAAAATCGAACACAAAATCCATTTACTAGCGCCTATAAAGCTCACTAATTACAATATGGGCCAGGCGGAAGTCCCTGCTCCCAGCCAAGAAATGTTCCGGCACATAACCCGTAAAACCACAAACTGTGTTGTTTGTATGGATTTAACAAATGCAATCTAACGTGGCTATAGTGAGCTATAGAGGTGCTGGTAAGGCTAAGGGTTTTCCCCTGTCTTTATGCTAAGCTAAGCTAATAAGAAGATCATTGTAAAAAGTGAAGAATGCTCAGAAGACTCAGGAAAAAGAGAAGGGATCATATAAATTACACTAGGGAGACGAGGATAAACACAGTCCCTTTGGGTGACCTGGGGAGGTCAGGACTCTTGTGATGGGGGTGAGCAGTGTCACCACATGCAGCTGCACAGTTGTCATTTATGCAAGACATTTTTATAATGCACTTTAAGTACACTATGTACTCTGAGCACACAGTGCCAGAGGTCAAGGTTGTTTGCTAAAGCATACATCAGTCCAGACAATCAGGTGACGGACCTAGAAAATCTGTCTTGGGCAGGGTAATCTGCTGTTCACACGTTAAAATTAGACAGATCTATTTGTAGTTCTCACTTTCTGACTCATAATGTCTTTCCCTAAAGCTCTGATAAATCACTTCAACTCCCATGGTGTTGAAACACCCTTCTCTCCTCTATGCGCTCGAGTTGCAGTGATAGCACATACATTCGCAGAAAAAGTATATACATGCATAAAATTACACACATTTTTGAAGCTTAAACCAAGCAGATCTCCAAGAATCTGAAAAACCTTAATGCACTTTAAATATAAATGGGATTCCTGATGTTTACCTCTGCAGCACACATGTTAAAGTGATACAATGAAACAGCTCTTCAGTATTAAGTGCTGTGGTGTTTGTAGTGTCTCAAAGTGCCAGGTGTTTGCCGCACTTCCGTGAACTTGGATGACCCTGATCCTTCAGCCATAAAGCTCCATTACCCTTGTTGCACTTTATGGATTCCAGCTGATATGGAAAAATTGAAAATTTAACACATCCTCATCCTCATAAGATTGTCATTCACGTTTGAGGCAAGAGGAGATTAATTAATTTAATCTCCTCCAAAATTAATTAATAAAACAGAAGCACGTACATAATCATGTAATAGTTTCATTTGGAAATATCAATGTGGCTCCTGGGCTTCTGGCAAAAAAAAGAAATGAAAGGCTCACTTGTGATCATGAGTTAGACTAAGTGTGTAAGATACCTTGAGCCCGGGTGGACCTTGTCGGCCAGGGTTTCCATGGGGACCAGGGGCGCCCTGCGGAAAAGCCAGAGAGAGGAAAACATAATCAAACAGTGATTTAGACCTCAATCAGTGTTCATATTGGGATAGCGCTGATGCAGACAGTGGCTTTGCTACAGTGAATGGACCAGAGAAGTGGGATGGTGGGGAGGGTGGTGAAGGGGAGTTTGTCTGGAGAACCTCAGCCTTCATGCTACTTTAACCTATTTTCCTATACATCAGCTGTGCGTGTGTGTGTGTGTGAGGTATTTGGGCTTGGTGTTGGGGGTAGAAGCTTATGGAAAATGGAGCTACTTCACCATATGGATGTGGTTTTCCTGCCCCCTGTTGCCTCACACTCCAGAGTCCACCCCCTCCACACACACACACACACACACACACACACACACACACACACTTGCAAAGCATCTTAATGAGTAATGCAGATCATCTAGTATCATAACATTTTGAATTCCTCCGCTGGTATGTGTTTCTGTCCGCATTGGCTGTTGCTGAATAAATGAACACAACTGTGTCTGAAAGCAAACAAAGCAAGATCTACAGTAGCAGCATACTGGTAATGTGAACCATTGCTCCCTGTCCAGTAGCCCCCATGGGAAGGTTTAGCAGAAAACCTTTGAAAGGATGAATCTATACCAATTTTTCTTTGTTTTAAAATGCAGCCATCAGACAGAAGCAAAGGGGTTGTTGCTATGTCTCCACTGTTCAGTTCAGTACAATGGGCCTTTATTAGCATGGGAAAGAGCTGTTTACAATCCCAAAGCAAGTGCGTAATAAAATACATAAATAGATAGAATTGTGATGATATATATATTAAGTCAAACAAAATAGAACAAAAAAAATTCATTTACATTTAAAAAATATAAACTAGTGAGGACTATATAAAGACTGTCAGTCTGTCTGTTGGTCTATCTACCTTCTCTTCTCCTGAGTGACTTTTTCCTGTGGATCTCTGACCTCACTCCTGCCCTCCACGTGACTCGGCACCTTTGGGCCCCTAAACTACCCCTGTAGTGGGTCAATGGTCAAGCGAGTCAGACAGGGCGGAAAAAGAGCCACAACTGATTTAAGAGCAGGTTTCACTAAGGTCTGTCTAAATAAATCAGGAAGCCATTATGTTAGCGATCTGTTCTGCAGCATCAAAAAACAACATCTACCTACACCCATACAGACAGCTCTCTCTATTATCCTACTGAGAAAAAAAAAGTAATCTGGGGTTTGGGCTGGGTTATACAGCTCAACAAAAAAGCCCTTTGAGCAATGTTCAAACTCAGACATACTGGTCGGGTGCAGACATGACAACATAAATGCCTTCTGCTGTAACTGCTCTTCCTGTCAAAGGGCACTTTGATGACAGTCATGTCTGATTCACTTGAGACAGGGCTTTTCATGAATGAACAGGACATTGCTAAGAATGTGAATCACAGCGCATTCCACACTCCAAATTAATGTTTTGATAAAATCTAAAATAATCATAAACCTGATTAATTTGTTATTTGTCACAAATAACAATATTTTCATGCCAGGGATTCTTAAGTTTTAAAGATCTTGCATCTTTCCTCTGCTCACTCTGTTCCCCTCTCATTTTCAGTTTGTATTCATCTCTTCAGAGTTAGTGTGCCCAGACAGTCTTGAGGGACACTGTTGTGCCCTAAATAAACTTAAACAAACTAGACATGGTTGAATTACATGCTTCAAAATTAACCCTGCGGTTTACCGCAGTTTGGGCAGTACACTGGTAGGCACAGTCTGGCACAAACACTTGGTACTGTGTTCTTCCATCCATATCGTGTTCCTTTCTCGCACAACAGGTGTCTAATTAGAGAAGACCAGGGTGGGGCACACACAAGCTGAAGGCTATCAAATAAAAACCCACCAACCTCTGAACAGCAATTCAGGGCGTTACTGTGGTTCCTGTGGTAAGAATGCTGCACTAGCACTATTAAGACAAAATGGTCAAAATCGAAACAAATGATAGCTCCTTCATGTTATGGGAACATGCGTCCTGCCTGCTCTGAGGTACATAAATATCTGTCCTTGAATCTATATCAACTTAAAGCCAAGCAATGCTATATGTGTACTTGTGGATCTTAAATCTGGATGCATGACAGCACTCCCATGGTTACATTCCCACACAGAATATTTTAGATGAGCCCTTTTAATGGGCTATGCTTTAAACATAGTCTGACTTTTAACACGCTTGTAAAGACATTGTTAAATGTATATACAGTCACCATATTAAAGATAAAAGACACTCTGTATGATGCCTTGCCAAATGAGTCAAAGGGGCAATGTCTGATAAATTAACATTAGATCAAGAGCATGCAAATCCACAGGATGTTTTCATAAGTAGAAATACTAGTCAGCACACATTCACTTGAAACTTTGCCTCTAAGGATTCAAGAAAATATTTCACTCTTTGTTAAAGTCACAATAGCATGCCTTGTTATCGCTGAGCATAAAGAGCAGCCCATTTGCAGCCCAATGTCACATAAATTACAGTAAGCCTTCATAATAACAGAAGCAGACGGGGTGAATGAATTAAGCTGTGCTGATAAAAAGCCAACCATATAAATTTATTTATAAAGCTTAAAAGACAAAAGTTTTTAGGCTGAATACATCATGCCATGACCAGAGTATATGGAAAAGGAAATAGTAAGTAATCCAGTGTATTATTTAGGCATTTACAACAATAACAGCAATGGCTCATAATAGCTATTACAAGTTTGAAAATTACGATGGAAACCTAGAGCTAACTTTATGCCAAACATCTAAAACCTGGTATTAAAACATTCATTAAAGTGCTCAAGGGGGGATTGCAAAATTGGAAGTTAGTCTGTGATTTTTACTGTCCTGGAGCGTATTACAGTAATGTTCCAGAGGAGAGATCCATATATACAGTTTACACTGTGGATTATACAGACCCTTAAAAAGCTGATCTGTCGCCTGGTGTTACCAAAACAGCCCAACACACTGCCCCTAAGCAGAGCTCAACACCTTTACTCATTTTAAAGTTCTTTATAGTCAAGGTTTTCCAGATTTCTATATAAAATGCCCATCAGCCCATTAGCTTTACATGCGGGTTAAGCAAGGTGGGGGGATTATATTTAGTGGCAGAGGAATGGTTTGGAGGGAAAGCTTGAGGAAAGATGGACCACAGAGATTTTCTTCACTCAGACAAAGACCCTTTTGACCTAGCAGGCTCCAGATGAATACATGCAGCCAGTCTTCAGATAGATACAGGGCTGTGTACCCGTGATGCATCCACCGCACATTTCCTCTCACACCCTTCTACCACCACCACAGTCATGGTACACCTACAAACAGACTCAAAGGCACTCATCCTGCATATTCACGTATGACACCTAGCGAAGGCTTCTGTACTGACAGCAGTTGCCATAGCGATGGCTTCTCACACTCACATGTGTGGGATCAGAGGTCAAGGTTCATGGGTGGTGCTTGGCAGGCTCAATGGTGCTCTGTGTGTCATCATACAGACTTCCAGTAATCCAAGGCTACGGAAGGTCATGCAAAAAAAATGGCTCTCTGCAGCAAAAAAAAAAAAACTGCAACTGGAATTTAGTTTTTCACATAAAAGAGATGAGGCTTATGATCAAATCATGACATGCCACCTGCGAGCCTGCAGCCTAAGCAACCTGTAGCATGAAATCCGATTTAGAGTTAATTATTTCAGTGATCAACAAGTAAATTATCTTTTCCCAAATTGAAACCACACTCATATTTGGCCAAGAGGGAAGAATGTGGACATGAACATGTGTTTGTGAGTGTGTGTTTGCAAGTGTGTAAGTAAGTATGCAGCTCAGTGTTTGCACATACACACATGCATGGCAGCAGCAATTAAACTTGATAAATGCTTTTGTTTACAGGAAAGCTCCATAATCTGTCTCACTATTTATGTAGGCAGGTCATAAACACAACCACATATGTCTGTGCTACACAGGCGTGGGATTAGCGCTGTAGCATGTATACACTTCTGTGAGAGCACTGGTATGTACTTGTGTGTGCGCTAAATAAAAATGACTGTGAGGTTAGAGTCAGACACTGACGGCATGTTTGCTTGTGACCCCCGTTAAAGTGGCATCAAAACCAAAGGCCTTTACAAGTGCTTTTTTATTGAAGAGGCTTGTTTTTATTGTTTGCACTTTGCAAACCAACCACTTCCACTGACAATGCCACAGGCTGTTGAACAGTTGGTTTGCTGTGGTTGAGGGTTGACAGAGGCCACGTCTGGATGTAAATCAGTATGAGGTGATTGGTTGATACATACTGCTGATGATTTGAGGTTTGAGACAGGCATAGGGGCTTTACCAAGTTGAAACTGTATGTCCAAACCCAACCAGGCTCCAACCTAAGCCCTAAATTGGCAGCAGTGCATATTTGTAACAGTAGTTTTCACTGTAAATATGTAAGGAAAGATTCTTTTGAAGACCTCCAAGCTAAATATGGCAAATATTTTGAGAAAAGTTGCTGCTTGGTCACACAAAAATAGTTCCACACAGTACTTATATACTTGGGTTGACCAAGTTCACGCAGCTCTGCACTTAGATTTTTAAGCCCAATTAAAATTTCATTCCAGGTAAGTTTGATTTGGATCATAACAAATCCACCTAAGTGGGGCTGATTTTGTGGAACTGCTACTAGAGACGGGATGGGAGGTGCTGCTGGTGCTTAAATAGCTTTAATTAGAGCCAGACAAAGACCTCCTTATACATCTATAGTGGTGGGGGATCACAGAGACTTTAGCTTAAGAGTCTCTCACACACAGGCAGACACAAACAGTAAGTAATACTTAAAACACACACACATAAATAGATACAAACACATTTAGATTACATTACTCTATTGTGTGGACTGGTTAAGAGCTTGTTTGTGGTGTTTGTCTATTAATAAAATTTGAAAAAAAAAGAGCCTGAGGCGTCTATTGTTGTAATAGTCTATATAAAAACAAGACTAAGAGTCTTCAGTGCTTTGAGGTAAATGCTAACATCTAATATCAGCATGCTAATAGGCACACAATGATAACGCTAACATCCTAATGTTTAGCAGCTATAAAGTTGACCATGTTCATTATATTACTTTTTTAGCATGTTACCATGCTAACATTTGCGTTATAGTGATAAACACAAAGCTTAGAAGGCTGATGGGTGTTGCATTACTTTTGCAGTTATTTGGTCGTGACAGAAGTTTTGAGCAAATTTTGGCATGATGGCACTATAGAGGAAAAGTCAGAATTCCTCAAAAAAGACCCACAAATGTGACAATATCTATTTCACTACTTTGGAGAATGAGACCTTTCATTAGCCTAGAATGGGATTCCTATGAAGAGTCGGTGCAGCCTGCTGCAACAGCTCAGTGAGGAGAAGAAAGTCCAGTGGAGCCATGTGTTCTCTGTCTGTTTACAGTGCTTTTATTAGGCATCCTGTGGCACAGGCAGTCTTTTGAAAGGCCGTCTTTATAGGAGCTTTCCTGTTTATGCTGAGGGGTGGGAGGTCAGCACTCGCAGCCCTGTGCTGAATATGGTCAATCTGCCTGCATAGGAAAACTTTGTGTGTGAATATGTGTGAGAGTGTGTGTATGTGTGTGTGTGTCAGCTGGATGATGGGAGGGATTTAAAGTGATGTGGGAGACTGGCTTGGCAGGTTATTATTGTAACTTTGCCTTCTAGGCTGGAACACACAGATAGAGTCCTCTCTGTCTGTCTTTTTTGAGTCACCTCTCTGCCAAGTGAGTGATTTACTGACTGTTTGTGTTTGAGCTTTCAGTCAATATGTACGTCAGCAGCAGTAGCAAAAATACAAACAAACACACAAGCACGCAGAGAGATGCCCACAGTAAACCTAAATAAAGACATGGTTCCATTAAAAAATTCCTGGAGATGAACATCAGATAAAATAATTTCTAGAGGTTACAAATGGAAGTGTTTTTGATGTGGCTGGAGGTGTTTGAGAGCAATCAAAGAGACTTACCCGAGGACCCCTCTTGCCTGGCAGGCCTGGCTTTCCTGGAGGTCCTTGCAGTCCCTGGAGAGAGAGAGAGAGCATTCAGTCAGTGTTGCATACTGACATATACCATACGGATGATCTTACTCGATGCCTGAGCAATCTCCTATCAAAACGATCAGGCCATTCAGACTCCTTTGTGTGTTTCCACAGACAGGCTGCAAGGTGGCTGCAGGGTAAAAAGTGACATCTTTTCCCTCTGAAGTAATTCCATCTCAAGGTGATGAGAGTTCAGCCTTATCCATCAGGACGTTCTGAGCCTGTGTGGCAGGAAACCATAGAAACACTAGAAATAACAGGTAATTTCCTGTGCCACTCAATGCCCCTGTGAGGTTTTATCAGGCTTGTGCTCATTCATTTTCTTTTCATCAAAAAAGAGGAAAAGGAGAGGTGAGGAAAAACAGAGGTCCTGTGCTGTGGCTAACAAGAGCTACTTGTAGGGCTCTGGGTCATGATGTAAACTTGCGTTGAAGCACCTATATATGGCATTTTTAAAATGTTTCCTTCACTGTAAATGCATTACAGAATTTTTACTATGCTGTTAAATTTGATCCCTGATAAATATGAAGATCTAGTAAAAGAGCAGCAGCATCCACCATAAAGCACAGTTGTTGAAGTGTGAAAGTTGTACCCTTTCTGTAGTTTCCTCATCTCAGCTTTCACAAGGCTATGAACTTTTAGAGACAAAGCACCACTTCAAAGCAACACCGTATACATGCAAACCTGAGTCTAAAGGTTATTGTGATCATAGCCGCTACCTTCATATAGCAGTCTGTCTGCGATCTGGATTATATCGCTCTGAAGATTATAATTGGCCCCCACCATCTCTTCCAGGACGACCTCCATGGTTGAGACCACCCCTATTGTTACAGGTGGTGTGCTCTATGGTGGCCTAAGGACCTGTCAACATCAACACACACTCCTGTCTATCTTCACACTTCCACCCCCTGCTTTGTCTCTCCTTCCTTACACTTGTTTGTTTGTTTATTCCTACTGTCCTTCCCATCTTTGCACATGTCCAACTTTAATGTATTTCTTTCCTTCCAAAGAGAGTTGACTTCTGTCTAGCTAGCGATGTAGCAGTTTCAGAAAATTCCCACATCAGCAAGCATTTTCCTATCACCACATTTCAAACACAGTCTGATGGCAATGGCTGTTTGCAGTTTTTTGATTTAGACTTGCTGACTGTGTTCATGAGGAAGTTAGGGCATGATTTGTGGCACCTGACAACTGAGTCTGAATTATGTATTCAGAGTTGTGCTGTGATTGTTTCAATTAAATTTACTTCTGACTTTCATTAAATTATTCAAACAACAAACTACTGGAATATCGAGTGCAAATAGGCAAACTCCCCTATAATCTTTATCAATTTCAAAAAACTGCTTAAAAGCCTTCTACTTGTGGCAGCATTTAAGTACTTATGCAGCTTGCAGGTACATTTTCACTGAAGTCGGTTCCGGTTTAAATTAAATTTAAGCTCACAGCCAGTACAGCTCCAATTAAAGATTTATCAGATTAAAGCTCCAACTCTCACTTTCAGCCATCACATAAAAAATCAGAACATATAAATTACATTCAGATGTGCAGTGGAGCAGATCTCAAAGGAAGTCATTTTTAAAGCAGCAGTGAGGAGCCAAAGGTGCTTCACATGGGAAACTGTTGCCATATCTGTGCCTGCACTGGATGTTTCTCCTGGCAGCCAGAGTGCAGAATCGGCACAGTGGAAACAAAACTCCAAATAGCAGTTCCACTGTGTCTTTAGGCAGTAAGAGTGATGAATGACAAAGATATTGGCAGAAAACTCAATAAATATAATGCTTTTCCATGGCTTCTGACTTTTACATTTGTCAAAATGTGTGTGTGTACTATAAGAAGGTGTGAGACAGTAACACATGCTATGTGTGTTTTTGAAATAAAACTGTGCTGAATAGAAGACAAGAGACAGAGAAACACACACATATGTGTACATATACCCATACGCACTCATCCGTGCATGCACATACACACACTTTGACAGCAGGCACCTGTTTAATCCCTGATCCTGAACAATCCACATTAGTCTATGTACTGTACGTGAACCCAGACACATTTTTGAAACATGTAACGTAAAGCCTGGAACATTTACACAGATTCTGAATACAGAGCCACAGCTGCAGCACATGCTGATTGTTCTATGATTGGACATTAAGGCACAGTTTTGTGTTGAAAGCACCACTCTCAGATTGTTGTGATTTGCCATACATTTGGCATAAAATGACAAATGTTTTTTGGCATAGTAGGAGCACTCATAGATGTATCAGACAGTCCTTCAGTAAATTACCTCATAACTTCCCTTAATCATCCTTATACAATCTATTTTCTGTGGGAGATTAAAGCCCTTCATATTGAGATTGCAGGTAGTCCTTTCTAAATGGCAGCAATTCAGTTGTAATGACAGTCAAGTCTGGTGTGGACAGCAGTGTGGAAGTAAATAAGTCAACCGTTTACACGCCGCACTCTGCAATCTACAGTGGCAAATTACAGATCACTGCAAAGAATAACAAAGGCACAGGTATCAAACACACAGGCCCTGCTCCCACTTTACACTAAGATGACTCAATCACAAGGGTAGCTTTAAATACGAGTACAAACACACCCAGAACGTGCTGAGGAGACACTGAGGTCTGATAACTCAGGCCACATCTGGAGGTGAAGAACTGTGTACACAATTATACATTGCTTAAATCACAATAAAACTCCTAAACATTTGTCTATGCCAAACAACTTGGACAAAATTTTAACTTCTCTCAGGTGGTCAGTCAAGATGCAACTGAGATGCACTCTGTGTGCTGTGTTTGAGAATAGAAGAGGTGAAAATAGTCCTGCTTGCCTGCATTGGGAAGCTGTATGATGGTGTTTACTGACTGCTTTGACCCTTGACATAGCTTTAAAAGAGGTCCATGAGACCTCCACTAGCCCTCTATGACAGAGGAATCTGGTGCAGAGACGGCAAGGCGTCAGACCTGACACGTCACACCCAGCCTGGAGGGTCCTGTGCACAGAAGGAGGAGGAAAGGAGGGAAAAAAGTAGGATTTCTAACCTGTGTGGGAAAGGAGATAGAGCCTCATTAACCTACAGATCTCTGTGGTCTCTTATTTCTTGCCCCAGAGCACTAGAATCAAACCTGGTCTTTTTTTGGTTTGACCAACAAAGACTGGGATGTCCCTAATGAAGCATAATTCCCTCACCACAACTGCCAACTGTCAAATAAAGTGCATGTTTCTTCATCTTGGTTTTGCAAAGTCTCTATATGTGTGTCTTTGTCTTTCCTTCTGCTAGTATAAAATGCTACATTATTTAAAATTAGCTATTCTACACTGGCACGTTGTCAGCTTCAGAAATGATTTCATAATGATCCTGCTTTTCTATAGTCATCCATGGCCTGGGCCCATTTTATATTGCATGCTTCTGTGTTCCCCAACAGTCTATTAGGCACCTTCTATCTTTAAAGCATCTAGTGTCAGCCCTTGATACAAGAATGCTCAAGAACATATATGCATATGTTGTACATTTACTTAATTTGTGTTTTTTGCCACACACACAAACACACACTCAAGAACCAACTCAACGGACCAAAGGTGCTTACCGGTGGGCCTGCTTCTCCTTTCTGTCCTATAGGTCCAGCCAGCAAAGAGAACTGAGTAGGTGGTACCTCCCAGCTCTGGAAGCCATCAGTAGCAGGTGGTGTTACTGGGTTGTATAAAGGCCTGGTTGGTCGAGGGGTGACTGGAGTCTTGGTGGTTTTGGCTTGCTTTGTTGGTTTGATGACCTGTTTGGAGATTGGCTTGGGGGTTTTAGCAGTTGTAGTTTTGGAGATTGTTGATTTTGAGGGTTTGACTTTGGATATCGTTGGTTTAGAAGGGACAACTTTGTCAGAATTTGTTTTGGGTTTGGACGGAGTGGCTTTGGATGGTGAAACTTTAGGCTTGGGAGATGTTTTCTTGGCTGTGGTGGGTTGTGGTTTTTTTGGGACTGCACCTTGGCCTGATAAGGCAGAGCCAGGCTTTATCTTAGAGGATTGGGTACTGGCAGAGGCTTGAATAGTAGGTTTTTCTTGTTGTCTATTCCTGCAATTGTCGTTCTATTATGAGGACTGGGATTTGTGGGAGTGGGTTTGGAGGTTTTCTCATTTGAAGCTTTAAAGGTGGATGGTCTTGGGTTTGGTGGTTTCGTCGGTTTCGTCAAGGGTACTTTTATCCTGAGTGGTGCTGTGACAGTTTCAGTCCTGGCCTTGGGAGGTGGGGAGGCCAAACCAAGCTGGACTGTGACTGGCATCACAGTTACCAGCAGGGGTGTAGGAATGGTCCCAGAGCTGGGCTTTATTGTTTGGGTGGGGGCCATATATCTGACAGCTGAGGCAGCAGCGGCAACGCTCCTGGCAAGGCTCATCCTCGTGGGCTTCCTAGCTGTTTCCGTGCCACCGCGTTTAGGGGTAGCAGCGGTAGCTGTGATGTCTGTTTCTCGTGGTAGGATAGGCAACAATGGAGGAAGGTTAGGCCTGTATGTGTCAGCTTCCCTACACTGTTTCTTAATGTACCTGCAGTAGTTGTGAGCTGCCTGTGCAGAAGGGACCAGGTCAAACTGGCAGATGGCTCCTTCAAAGTGTGCTGAGGCTTGCTGCTGGCTTGTCCGCCCTAGCAGGAAGGAGCCCTGGAGCTCAGGAGCCAGTCCCTCCTCACTGTCCCACCCAAAGTCTGCATGAACACTCTGCTCTCCGCAGGAGGCATATAGAGTCACTCTCTGTCCATTAATTCCCACTGCCAGCTGGTGCCACTGACCATCGTGGGGCTCATAGGGCAATGCAACCGAGGTGTTTGGTCCTGTGTGAAGGACTAGATTGCCCGGTGCAAGCTGTAGACCGAGAAGAAGCTTCCTGCGGCCTGAGAGCAGGGTGAAGAGGAAAGCACTATTAACACGGTGTGAGCGAACACTCAGGACCAGTGCCAAGTTGGGCCAGATGGCTGCTGGGAAGACGGAGCGCAATGGAGTTTCAATGTTAGCCCGCTGGTTGAGGATGATCCCCGATTTAAATGGAATGACTCCTGCTGGCACCGAGCGTGACGGCTTCTCTCCCTTGAGCCCCAACTTTTGGAGGATGTCCACATCTGGATAGAAGGGAGAGTGGTGTTAGAGGTGCAAATAATTATGACAAGCTTGTCAGTGCAGTTAAACAAAACTGAAAATTAAATAAAGACTTAAAAGACAGTATCCTTCTGATTTCTGTTGACCCTTGATTGTTCTTTTCATATTTCATGTCTATGGTATGTTATGTAGCCTCAATATATAGAGATGCCAATATTTCCTGCCATAACCAGGAACCTGGAAATACATCATCGTGAAAAAGGTACATTCACTTACATTTGAAAAAGAAAAATGGCATCCATAAATGCCACGGGGAAATTTTGTGTTAATAAAATCAAATATCACACAAGGAAGATGGCAGGAAAATTCAAAGGACCAACAGTAGATATGGATGAGAGGGAAACTGTTAAACATCTTTAAAATATTAATAGGAGCTATAGCTCATTGTCAGAATTTGCTTTACCTGAAACAAGTCAGGCTCAGCAAACTATTTTAGCTGTCATTGCCCGCTAAGCGTTTGGACTGTCTACGCTGGCTTATGAGCCAATTTTCCTATAACTTCCTGATCTTTCAGCAAACGTACAACAGCAGCTCACAAAGTAATGGAGCTCAAAACACTTCAGGGTGAAGAGATTGTAAAAGAGATGGCTGAAGAAAAAAATGATTTACAAAGAGAAATAAACTTGCTGGGATTTGAGGCCACCTAACTACTTCTGCAAGCTGTTTAGTGCAACTTCAGGCCAAAACAAATGACTATGTATAGGTCCAGACTGACAAAAAACTACCCTGATGAAGTTTATGCTCTCTGAGTTGGTAGATGCAGTACAGAGGTGTTGCGGTGGCCTTTGTTTCAAATGTCAGTGGTTTGCGGCCTCATGTTTCTCTCCAGCATGGCAAGTTGTGGTATCATTTTTTTAAAAACTCTCTTGAAGAATAAAACAGCTGTAAGCATGCCCAAAACAAATGGCCCTGGAATATAATGTGTTTATGGTGAAACAGGCCTGCAGATTTTTAAACCAGCTTCTCACCCCATAATGTAATCCTAAAGTGGCCATCTTTTACCAATCCAAAGGGTAACAAAAGTATCATGTGAGGTTTCAAAGCCAAAGTACTGTGGGTCCAGATGATTTTGTTTTTCCTTTCCTTTAAACTTAAAATACATTTTTTGTTTACATGGAGAAAAGAAATTAAATATAAACATTCCTTAATTGAAGAACTCGGACTTGCAACATGCAAATAGATGAAATAGCTATTTAATGTTTTATTAATTCATTTTTATGTCCATCTTCTGACGCACTTTGTGCTTGTTCTACTGATAATAAAGTTGCATAGATTCACTAAAATGAAATTCCACATGTGACAGCAAAAAAATAATGCAGGAAATATATTAATTCTTTCATCATATCACCATATTCTTTGTAAGAACTCCACTACCAATAACCAGCTCCTTCACCTCCATAGTCATGTGAGGCACAGAGCAAGACAAGACTCAGTCAAGGCCAAAGCAACCAGTACCAGGAACGCACAATCAGGCTAAAGGACCTAATCCTCTCTTACTAACCATCTAGCCAACACATACCCCTAGAAAGGAAAAGGGACTGTTGGATACTGTATAAAGCTAACAATATGTGTATGTGAATTTTGAGGCACTAGGGACAGAGTTCAGGTTCTAAATGAACATTTGGTGGCAAAATTATATAACTTCCACACCAATTAGTGCATCTGAGTGATTGCTGTACTGTATGTTGAAGTATATGTGCTGGACATGCTTGCTTGACTGATATCAAGGCATGGCCTCTTTGTTTTAAGGCTATAGGGGTTTAATGAGCCAAAGGAGATCGGCATCATCAGACAACCTCCCCTTTTCCCTTCTCATCTCTGTCATTCTCTTCAGTAGAGTTCAGAACATGACCACACTCACCACAAGTGAGTATAGCATCTCCCCGCCTGGAGCGAGAATACAGTTTCCATCCTTTCAGCCAACTTTGATTCTCTGTTCAGTGTTTCAGTCTCAGTGGTCCCGGCGCTCATTCTCTATATGACCTGTGATCTTAGACCCAGGCCCCTCAACAACTTTATTGTCTCTGGGCTCTCTCTGACCTGTGGTCACTGAGCCTTGTCTAATGGGGACATGTGTATAGAATTCCTCTGCTTGTGAAAAGATAGAAAAGTGGGCAAGCAACGTTGATGAGATGACAGAAAGTGGGAAAGATGAGGAGAAAGACAGATGGGATGTCCACAAAGTTGCTGCACTGGTAAGCCATAGAGAGCAACGACTTCAATGAAGCGCTTGTCTTTCTATAATATGAGGCTTGCTTCATTAGACCACTGACGAGGGGCTCAGACATTGGAAATATATAATTGCATGGAAAGTAAAAAAAAAAACAGGAGTGGGAATTTTGTTCCAGAGTTATCAAGGAATTAGACCTGGGGGATGAAGCAGCTCAGAACTGAAATGTTTTTTCTTTTTTTTGCAGAAAGCGTTTTTACATGTCAAACTTCACTTTAACTAATCTGTCTGGTCTGGCATTATTGAGTGCTATGGATAAATACCAGGTCTTAACAAACATTGTATCTGATTTCATAGAACTGTACTAAATCATATCTAAAACAATAATTATTTTGCACAGTGAGATGGCAAATTTAGCCATGCCTCCACTATATAGCCAGTGCTTTATGGTCTTTAAGGACTTTCCCTTGCCTCAACATTTGGGTTTTATAAAATAGCCTGGGGAAACAAGAAACTACAACAAACTACATGGGGTATAGTGTATACCCATCCACACAGTGAATTATCCTCTCTGTGTGGTCTCTTCTACAGTAAAGGACATGACTTGGCAGTGAGGCAGGAGGTCCATTACATGTATCTGTTCTGTACTTAAATTCCTGTCTCCATGCTTCTTTATTGAAATACCACTTGTACTAATACTGGGGCATACATTAACCATGTGGTTTTAGATATACAGCATACTGTATGGATGTGAACACACACAAAGAGGCAGACTTGTGTTTAACACATGGCTGGAGTTCATAGCCTTGCTCTGTGCCAAGTCACTCAAGTAAGACAGAGAGAAGAAGAAGTCCAAGGCCCTTCACTCTGTAATGTTAGCCCTTGTAGAGGATGAAGTCACTGATTCATTCGAACACACTCAAAAGAACTCTCTTTGGCTGGCCTACACCAGTCTACAGTGAGTCATTTATGATATCTCTGAGCGGAAAAATCCTCCCCACAGCAATACATTACATGTATTCCCACAACATCGGATTTGGAATCATGGCTTATGATTCGTGATTAAAGTAAGGGTCAAAACTTGGTAAAATGTTGGTTCATCTTTTACTTCATCTTTAGTAGCATTTTGCCTCTATTTGGTAGTGACAGTAGAGACACAGACAGGAATGCAGGGAGAGATGTTTAAGGTTATGACATGGAACAAAGGTCCGTTAAGAGACAGGAAACAAGGTAAGAGAGAGCAATGACAGCGGCTAGGATCAAACCATTGACATTGCAATTATGTGGCATGAGCGTTAATTGTTAGCCCCTTAATAATGTTCTTCTAACTTTATGCCACTGCAGTCCTGTTATGAACCACATAAAAGCTACCCCCTCAACAGACAATTTTCCCAAATAAAATGATCCCGAGATACAATATGCAACTCATTGGTTTTGTGCTCCAAAAGGGAATCTTAGACAAACATTAAGCCAGTGGTCTGTAAAGGGTCCAGAGAGTGAACCTATGGCATCCACTACTTCTTAACATAGATCCTGGCCTTCACTTTTGATTCTCCCTGATACCCACTTTGTGTGGTAGTGGTGGTAGTCTGGAGAGCACAGCATAAAAACATACCAAGCACAGCATAGGCCTACTGTTTCAGAAATTGGCACAGGTAAAATCTTTAAGAGTAATCCACCACTTTAGCTTTAAAACCACAAAAGGCTTTATATGACTTTTATCACATTTAAGTATGCATACTCCCCAAGACCTGTAAACAGACTTTGATGTGTCAGTAAAGTTCCCCTTTATGTAAAAATTGGTAACAACCTCTGCACTCAAGAGGGAACAACATGGTTTAAGAGGGAAAGGATCAAAACAAATCTCACTCCCAACTTTGGTTGGTCTGGATGCCTGTGAGAGCATCTCTATGAGCAGCACAAGAGTCAGTCCAATTGCAGCACTATGGACACTCACACAGACAGCATCTCATTGTTCACTACTGTTGACCATGACTACAGATAAAGCCCTTGCCTAATGCAGGGGACCACTGCAGAAACTCTAAGGAAATGAATGACAGGCTTATAGCCATACTGAGTGATTTCACCACTGCTGTGAGTTTGAAGATGCATTTATTCAGTCACATTGCTCTCCTGTTATAGAGAGACCACTGCAGTTCAGCCACTCTGCAACAGTGATGTCAGTCACAGACAGCCTTGACAGATTTGACTGATGTCAAGTAGCGCAACCAGAGCATAAAACCAGCTATACTGCCATTATTTATTTCCACTTTCTTTTTTGTCTGTCTGACAAAAGTCTTTTAAAGTCTGAAACGATAAGCCTGTTTGGTGATGTTTTCCTAAAATACCGCAGCTTGCCTGCATTGAGATGAATCTACATACAAAACCATGCTTACAGCTGTAAAAAATTATCTCCATCAAATCTTTTCGATAACATTATAGCAAAAATAAAAAGTCATTAGTTAAAAGAATAGCTTCTACAAGGATTTGTTGACAGAGCTATGACTTGCTGTAAATGTTGGCTGTCACTGAATGAAAATCTGAATTGGGAAAAAAGTTTTAGCTTTTTTGTAATGAACAGAGATGACTTTTTGTTTTGTCGGTCATCAGTTTTCAATGACTGTGTTTTGGGCCTATTGAAGCGCTGTCAGTCTCAATTATTATAACTGGAGAAGAGAAGGGGCCAATTCACTGGACCGTATCTATAACTTTTCACAAAGGGAAGCCACCAAATGGTACAAAAAGTTGCTGAAATAAATACAAGCCGCCCAAAACTATTTTTACCTGCTCGGTCACACAAAAGTAGCCCAATCAGGTGGAAAAATAAAAACGTAGCACAATCTGGTGGAAAGATTGCCAAACTGGCAACTGTCAGTGGACAGTGAAACACACTCACTATTGCAAGAGACAAAAATTATGTGATTGTATTTTATATTTGCATTATTACCCAACCTACCCTGCACCTTCTTAATTAAACCTGCAATAACTGATTTTTTTGCCCACTTGGGGGCAGCAGAAACACTGACATAGTTGCTATTTCACACATCTAGCATTTATGAAGCCACATTATCATATTATTCATTTGAGGCAAATATCTGGGTCTTTAGCTGCTAAATGCTCCGCTATGTTTACCAGCTAGTCGCTAACTGTGTCTGTCATTTGGTGCTGAATAGGTAGTGTATAGTGGGTTTTTTTTTTGGTTTTCTTAACAGTCAAAAAGTGCTGAAAACAGCTGAAAACTACGCTATGGGTGCGGTAAGAGTGAACCAAAACAGTTGAGGGCCAGACATCTGAACCTGTAAAGCTCTGTAAAGTTGCTGCTACAGTGTTTTCACATTGAGAGTAAATTTTCTTTATAATGGTCAGCTTTAAATCTATGATCACTCCCTTGCTCACACAGCTTACTCAACACTTGTTGTCATGGTAACGGTTGGCCCAATTCTCATAGAAATGTGTTTACGTGCTTGGGTAATGACCAAACAGGCAACGAATAACTCCAAAAGCCTCCCAGTGCTCCAATAAGTTTCACAGTTTTTTCCACTGGTAAAATTTCAGTGGAGAGAAAAGAGGTGAGAAAGTGAGGAATGACTGAATTGAGAGAAGTGGAGGTGACGTTAAGACAGGTCTTACCTTCAGAGTGTACTTGTGTAAGTCCCAGGTAACAAGTACAATATAAAACTGTACAGAGCAATAGGGCTCTCCTGGGGGAAGAGAAGAGAGGATGTTAGAAAGAGGCAGCGGTCACACATTCAGTTGTTTAACTCTCAAAATATTTTGGTACCATTTTCTAAAAAGGAACCCTTTATAAAGCTGTTTATGAGTTGTTACTAATTGCTTTGATGCATGCTTTAAATAATAAATGAAATCATTACTAACGCTTTATTTGCAAGCCATTAATAGGAATACATTGTGGATTGCCAGGCTGTTAAAAATATTATTGGCTGGTGTTTAGCTCGTCTATTTGGTAATAATAGTTATAAATGTTCGTAGTCCATTAGAAAAGGTTAAAAGGTTTTTCACTTTCTTATAACCCATCAGTTCTTTTGGTCATAATAATCTCTAATCACACATCACAACAAAACATTTTCAAACAAACCCATATGCTTTGCATTTCAGCTACTGACACCATGCGAATAACAAATGGGATCTGGATTCTGCAAAACTCAGAGCAAAGATAAGCACCTCTCTCCAAAACACACACACACACACACAGCTTCAAGTTGTGGTTTGTAAGACAGGAATACCATGATATGATGACTTATCAATCAACTCTCCTCCCCAAAAACAACATGTGTACACACACACACACACACACACACACACACACACACACACACACACTCACACACAACAAAAACAAACTGGTCTCAACACCCTCACCACATTCAGGTGTGCAGCAGAGCTGAGGAAACTGATTGGCAAGTGGACTGAGAGCTCAGTGGGGGACTGAGATCTGGTGACAAGCAGGGGAGCCACTGTTTACTGCTGGAGGTCATCCAGACACACACAGATTGGAGGAGGAAATGTGTATAGCAGCTGTGGCTGCAGGGCCAGAGAGAAGCAGGCAGACGGTGGCGTGGGCCAACAGCTCCAGATACATAGATATGGGAAAGACGGTAACTTTTATAAACATATTTACCTGCACTATTCCAGGCAAACTGAGTCTCTCTTTAGGTTTTTTTTTGCAAACAACCTCTGCACTAACTGGTGGCTGCCTCCCCTGCTTGCCTGAATGATTATAATCAGGGTGTGCGTACATATAAGTGTGTGTGTATGATGGTGTGCTTACATGTGTGTTTGTGGTGTCTATGTCTGCCTCTCTCCCAGTTCCTTGTTGCTAATAAAGCTTCATCACGATCAACCCCACACACAGCTGGCTGAGGTTATTCAGGATGCTTAGTTTGTGTGTGTGTGTGTGTGTGTGTGTACTGGACTCCCAGCTGGTTACAGTCACATACAGTATCTTATCAGCCGAGAAAATGAGTCATGAATTCTGAGTTTTTTTACTACAGCAAAAACGACTCTCCTTCTGTTTGTGAGGCTGTTTACATCTGTGCAAACTGGACCAAGTTCCCTGGGAAACACCGCTGTTTTCTTTGGCTTTTCATATTAAAAGGTTCTCAGTAGCTTGTTTAGATTTTCATTAGGGTGCTTTTGAAGTGTACATGACAGGTTGGGATTTTTCTTCAGTTGCAGCTGAAGGCGGTTGCACTGAGGTGGATTTGTGCACAGTCGACACTTAATTCAGTAGAACTGACATCTGTACACTGCCCCTGTCTGCTGTGGTTTTTATTCTGCAACAGTAAGCTATGACATGACTCCCTGTGGGAATTCCCAGCCAAGCTGAGTGGACAATATACATGCCAGATGAACAATACCTCCTCTTAAGTCATCCAGTAAAGCAGGCTAGCCTATATAGTGTGCTGTGAGCCACTGAACTCTTATTTCAAAGTCAGAAGGGGGAAGAAAGCTGCATGTGTACTGTTGATAACATCTTTCCCTACTCACTGAACTTCAGTCAATCTTAACTGTGGTTATCACACATGTTCTTTGCCAATTAATGAAAAAATGGTGGATGGACAGATACACTGATCAACGAAGCAGTGTGATGTCTGCAAAATATCCCAAAGTGGCAAAGAAATTCAGTTACTCTGATACACATTTTACAATCTGCAGCAGTCATCTATAGATGAAAACTGTCAGATACGTCTCATATCTCCTCAAACCCAATGTTCTCTTTCCCTACTGTATTTTCTGGGATCACTGTCTTAATCTCTTTTCCTTAACCTTCACTGCCCATGTCTAAACTCTGATTCTAACCTCTCGACCCCCAAAACCGCAGCCCCCTCCCCTCACACTCTCAAACAGCAGCCCGTCTGTAGGCCAGAAACCAGTCAAAGGTTAAGAAACAAAACACTGAGAAGCCAGTATAGTTTCTGTTTCTTTTCACAAGTTTGGACTGCTCAATGATTCCCTGAAAGGATTTCCAAAAGGGAGCCTGCCCCTTTGGCACACACACACACACACACACACACACACACACACACACACACACACACACACACACACACACACACACACACACACACACACACACACACAGTGGAAAATTCCTATAGATGAGTTGACACTAACAGAGGCTGATATAGAAAGACAGGGTAACTGACATCTCATAAGACCATACTTGTGTGCCCATCTGTTCTCTCTGCAGTCAAGTAATCTCTGACTTTAGACTGTTTACTAATTTCTACTTATCAAATTACTTACATCAGTCTTATTCCAACTATTATCATGTCTAAGAACAGAAAAATTGTATGTGACTCACTGTGATACCCTGCTCTACTCGGATGTAATCCAATAAATTAGAGCAAGAGTAATTAACTCAGAAACCCTCTGTGTGGCTGTATGTTATATATATTTTTATAGTTGCTTTTTCAGTGTTAAAATTGCCAAATTATTTAGATACATTACCAAGGAGTAGTTGCATGTGAAAAGCCAAGAGATGAGTCATAAAGGGCGACACCATGTGGAAATGTGGTGAATGATGCTCTATGCACTAACAACGCGCAGGTTGATGATCCAAATCGCCATCCATGCACATCTAAAATAAATCATGTAGTTGCACCCCTGTTGCCTTGCTGTTTGAGAGGACTGAAACCTCATTGAGCCATTTTTGGCTTTTCTTAACGAAAGACAGTTTCTGCAGAACACCCAGCCAGGTGTGATAGATAAATCTGATGCCATTTGTCCAACTTGTTTTCATTTTTCAATGGAAAACTATAGGGGATGGTGGGTCAGTAGCCGGACTTTGCTACTCCCTTGATGACTGCATCCACACTGTCTCGCCACAGATCCATTAACTAAACCAGATGTCCACAGCACATTAAAACCAAGAATTGGGCATGTATGTACACGAATGAATGCGTAAACGATGAATGCATGACTTTTCAAAGGGAATTGTCCAACAGCTAGCTGCTTCATTTAGCCTACTTCCCTAAAAAAAAAGCCAGCACTGTTGCCAAGTCAAGACCAGATATTTCGGTCCATTTATTGCAAAAGTCCGACATGTTTTTCACTGTCTGTGAAAATCTGTGCCGTAAACACGTGCATAAAACATCTGCATTTTATGTCACAGAGACATGACAGAGACAACTCATGTCAGTTGCAGATGTTTTCTTCAATAAATTGATAAGTGGATGTTGAACCTTTTGCAAAAGCTGATGTCATAGTTTTAGCTAACTGTAATCTCATGTTCTTTGAAGTAGTATAGTATGACCTCTAACTAAAAAATCTCCTTTTAACTATGCTGCGTAAATGGGGTTCTGAATGAGTAAAAGGCAAAACATGGAAAGCATCCAAACAAAATGCAACAAACGTTTAAGTGGATGCTGATGAACCTCTAATGAAACTTTATAGGGCTGAATAATTGCCTGTTTTGCTTTATCGGATGAGTCAGTTTAGTAAACACTTTGGCAAAGTTCCTGCATGCACCCATCGCACATTTTCCAGACAAACGTTCACACACTTAGATTAACTATATTTCTTTCTTTCTTTCAATCACAGTCTGTCTTACACACATGTACACAGATAAGAGGGAATATTTAACACAAATTGATTCCAAATTAACCTGGCGATTATTCTTTGTGTTTTTTGTCCACCTTCATGAAAATAAAAAATAAGAATACATTTAAAAAGAATACAACTGGGGAGACAAGCACTTGGACAAAACGACTCGCTTTGGCAAAGTTATGGTAATACAAATGACATACAAATGACAAATGACCCCCATGGCCCAAATAGATCCCGTACAGAGCCTCATTAGTCCCCAGTGGACACCACTCCTGCATGGTGAGCTGGACCTCGGCCAGCCGGCACATCACAGGTAATACGCACATGGAGGGAAACAGTTCCTTAGATTGTAAGTCAGTCCTCGCCAGTGATCCGTCTCTTCCAACATCCTCTCATCAGAGCACACAGCCACAATCACATAGAAGAAAAGAAATGGTACTTACTTTGTGTCTAGATGAGAGGTTCTGCAATCTCTCCTTCGGGTGCCTAAATTCATTTGTATTCATTTGTCCTGGCAGTCAAAAACCTGACCGTTAATCACAGCGTGACTCCTTTGCAAGGGGGGTAGAAGACACCGGTCGCTGTTTTACACATTTGACAAGCTTGAGATGAAGTTCCAGAGGAAAAAACTCATGTTGATTGGCCTGTCAAGCCCGACGTAAATTCCTTCTGGCAGGCTGGTTTGACAGAGAGTTTTCCTGTGCGATTGTCTGTCGATATTCCCCTGTGTTTCATTCATTTATGCCGATCCAGATTGAGGGACGCGCAGCCAGAGAGAGGAAGCTGGGTTCTTTTGGAGGGGGGTTACGGAGTCAGGAGCGATGGACTCATCCCTTTCCTTTTTAAATAGGCTTTCTGTGGGTAAAGCGATGGCAAACGCACCGCACAGCCAGGTGTCAAGTTACAAGCCCAGCGGTTGCATTGAGCAACTACACGCCTTCTCCAGGGGGTGGCCACATGGATCTTACCCAAAGCCCCACGCACCGGCAAACCATATTTATGAACCAGGGTGACAGACGATGGGCAGCGCTTCACAAACTGAACCCATCAAACAGGGATGCCTACAGCTACTCCAGAGACTCTCCTTTATGTATCCACCTTATTATCCCTCAATGTGTGGAATAATTTGTGACTGCAAATCATCTATAATAGCCTTGAGTCATTCAAGCCACTTCTTTGGAAATTGTGTGAGAAATTACCAGCAAAGAACAACTTCATTACTTTATTACTCGTCTCCCCTTGGGGTACAAAATGGTCAAAGTAAGAGGTTAGAAGAAGATGAGTAACCCACTGCAAAGCCCACTCACAGTTATATTTAAGGTGTTGATATTATTATATATTATTAGTCATTATCTTAAAACCGTTTCTCTTATTTCTTCACACACAAATGCAAACATATTGTCATAATGTGGTTTGAACACTGCAAAATCTTGGGTTCAGTTCATACAGATGTATCGTAATATTCTCCTATATGAGACATCAGCACCAACACTATGTCTCTAACGCCATTATGTTAGAGAAATGTTAATGGAAGGGGAGCAGCACCTGGATCAGCTCCCATTACCGTAAGAGGGGTCATGGCCTGGTGCAGGATAAGAACTACCAAAGACCACTGCACAGTCACAAGAGCCAATAATTAACACCTGACATCTGTTTGAGGAGTTTCATGAATTTTGAGTACTTATAGGAGCATTTTTTCTCCACTGTTACTGTTGAATTTCTTAATCAGTCATCTTAAGTCATCTGTCAATGCTGTGAGCACCAGAAAACACATTTCCATTTAAATCCAGCATATTGGAGCAGAGGCAAAAACCTCAGAGACAGAAATCTCAAAAGCTGGGCAAGTAAAAATAAAACTATTACCTTTTAAATTTTATTATTTTTCTACTTTGGGTGAACAGTTCCTTTAATTGACTGGGCAAATGTATGAACAATACTAACTCCCACATCAGCTAAACTAATTGCGTTGGGCATTTCTTTGGAAAACACTTGCTTAAGCCTCAGCCCTAATATAGCCCCTAATAAGGACTATTAATTTTTTAGCAATCTTGCTTTGATTGTAATTAAATAAATTTGAAGTGGGTAAGTGGGTGATTTCTGAGATAGGATGATGTTATCACCTAAACACCACCTTAAACTCACTAAATCTGAATTTATATATATCTAGCCAAACATTATGAATTGGAATTACACCACTCTGCTTGTGCTGCACACAGAAACAACTAGCTGAGGAGACTACAGGAGGAGATTGCTTTGAGCTGACTGGCCAGAGGCCTTGAGCACTGAAAGGTCGCCTTGAATGACACTCTGTTTGGGCGGGGCGACTGCGTGTGTTAGATATAACGATCTCTCCTCATGTCAGCCTAAGGCTGTTGGTCATCCAGCTCCAGGGGTGGGTGCTAATGGACGCAAGTCATTAACATCCTCTTTACAATCCCCTTCACACACTTTGTCCCTTGTGTTTCAGCACTTGGTGCCACCAGACCCTCCCATGTACTTCCAATGAGCCACAGCAACTCTGCCCCCTTTCTTCCAAATTACAAACTCTGCGCTCGCTAGCACGCTCACTGCCACCCCTTAAAGCTGCTTAATTATGGTCATTGGCACCAAGTCTGAAAGCTCCCTTTATCCCCCTAACGCTCCAGAAATAGGCCCTGCTGAAGCACACAGGCAGCCCAGATCAAACGCTCCCCATAGGGAAGGGGTCATTACTGGTACGCAGGGCGGACACAGCCCAATGGGTGCTGGGCCACGCCTTGAGCCCAAATTGCAGCCTGGGCCTAGTGAGGACACAAGACTGTTCTTTGATGCACGGCAAGAGTAACAGCAACACAGGCTGTTTGGGTATCAATGTTTACAGTGAGCTGTGTACTGTACACACACATAAACAACCAATACAGTGTTCTGCAGACTAAAAGCTAAGAAAATTGGACCCTGGGCTTGGTTAGGTGTTCACATGTTTCTCATGGTTTATATTTATCTGGATGTTACTCCTGTTTTACATGAGTAGCATCTTCAGAGTTGTTTCCTTAAATAGTAAAAATGATTGAAATCATGCAAAGATTTGATTGATTTTATTGAACCTATTACAGTGTAATTTTGACAGTTTAAAACTCCTAAGGAAATATGCTAACTAAGTAACGTCAACAGTGGTGTTTTCAGAGCACGTGTGGACATAAAATAACCTCATGTCACCCAACAAATAAATAGGTTGTAGAGACAGTCACCTCTGTGTAGGTGTGTTTTCACGCTGGGCAGTGGTAGAGGTTATGGAGGTGGTGGCGGTGAACCAGACAGTGCTGTCTCTCTCAGCTTCACTGCACACAAGAAGACTGTTCATACAAGGAATGTGTGTGTGTGTATTCCAGTGTGTGAATGCACATGTGCATGTGTGTATATGCAGAGTAACTCCATGGTTTGTTTTTTTCCTTTACAGGTGGTTCTGTCCACTTGTTTGTATTCCTGGTTCTGTCTCCTTCCTGTGTATGGATGGTTTGGTGATACACTGGGAGGTGGAAAGTGGTCAAACAAGCTCTTGTCTGCTGTGATTTCTGTCACACTCAGTTCCACGTTGAGGTCTTGCTCTTTCTATTTCCATCTCTCTTTGTCTTTTTTCCTTTTATCTGTTGCACTCTACTCTATGCTGACTCCTCTATCTCCCTGATCTCTGTCTCTCTTTCTCTCTCCCTCCCTGTCATTCCTTCACCACAAGCATTTCCAGTGCTGGCACACCAGAGTAGACAGCCACCCCAAAAGCAGTGCCACAACCATAATGAGCATGTTGAGTTCTCATAATAACACCAGAATAACCTGCTGGGGGAGACAAGCTCTTTTGGGGGCAGGCTCTCAGACCTGGCTACCCTGGATTGAAAGTGTCAACACCACACAGAACTGCACTTGTTGAAGTGTGAAATATGGAGTTGAGTTTCCCAAATGTGTGCTTTCTTTAGATAGATTTCTTCAGTGTTATGCTATTTTCTTACTGTATTTTTGTTTTCAGGTTTGAGATGTTGTTGTAAGGTGCTGAAATAAGGCATCTTTACTGAAATCGTAAAATACACAGTGCCTTACACACCTTGTGTTCAGTTTAGATTGTATATAAGAAGTCGAAGTAGTCATTGTGACGTCACCCATTGGTTTGTGGACTGCCATGTTGAGATTTTGCAACCAGCGGCACCAGACGTGACCATATTTGGACAAGAGGATTGAGCGAACGGCAGTGTCTGAGGCTATCTAGCATGCTTAGCTAGGTACATCTGTAACGGTAACAGTCAATTAAACAGAGCTGACAATTTTGTCTCTAGCCTGATTGACAGGTTGCCATGGTAACACCTTGTCAATCATAGATATTCCCACCCTGAAGCATACACTGCTTTATGGTCTATTTTCGTCTAAATGGGACCATAATTTTCTAAATGAACATCATGTTATGACCTGAAACTAGCGATTGAGACCATGAAGTCATTATGAAAGTGTTTACTTAGGCAATAAATCAGGTCAGAAGAAGGGTCATTTTACCATTATTTCTAATGGAACCCTGCTGGCCGTTCAATAGAATGTAGGTCTAAGGGACTTTCGCATTGGCTTTGCGACCAGAAGTACAGACCAGAAGCTTCCTGCTTGGGCTGTACAAAAGGGGGAGGGGGAAGGTTATGCATTTTTTCTTTTGGCTGAAGGGAGGGTAGTCTAAATTATTTGGGATGGTCAGGGAGTGATTTTATGTTACAGTGGCAGCTCTTGGTACAAAAATAAAGAGTGGCTGGAATATTTGGTAAACAGGATGCATCATTTTTTAAATGTTTTTTTCAGATATCAAAGGTTAAGTGTGTAAGATTTAGTGGCCACTAGTGGTGAGGTTTCAAATTGCAGGTATTGAGTATCTTTAGGTAGATATATTAAGAAATTATATTTACTTAATTATTCAGTAAAACCAAATGTTGTATTGGCCACTGAAAAATAAAATGAAAAAAGTAAGCCAAGAGTGTGTAACAGTGTTTCTGCACCACAGTCCATTATAAACCACATAGTAGATGAAGTTTATACAAACATTGACAAGGGATACATGTTATTTCTCTCTGTGATTGTGGATACTTGCCAAAATCCTTGCCAGCAATAATATCTGGCCCGCGGCCAGATTATGGTGCTTTAAAAGTGGCAAAAAATAAAAATAGATAAATAAATTGCTGAAATAGATCTCAGTCATTACAGCAACAGTTACTCACATAATCACTTTCTCTGTAGTGGTTTTGACTGCAAAATAAAACTGTGAGAATTTTATTTGCAGCAATGCTTTAATTCGAGTTGAAGTGAGAGCTTTTACTTTTTAAAATTAAAATTAAATTAAATTCTGAACAACATTAAAATAGTCTGTAGCCTGCTTAATACACCTTTGAAATAACCATCAGGAAACATGATTTCCCAGCCTGACACATATAGAAGCATGGTCAAGACCCATCAGTGTCAGTTTTTAATGCACTGGGGATCCCTATAGCGTCATAGTTCAATGCATTGTGGAAAGCCTTGTAGCGTCTATTAGACGGTAAAGGTAAGTATATTTAACACAAAAGACTGAGTAAGGAGGTAACCCTAACCAGTTTTCATGTCCCATGTGAAACAAAAATTTAACAACTGGTAACTGGACTTTACAGAACGTTGCATATTTATTGTTGCTAAGCGTTGCTAACGTGACCACAGAGCTCTAAATGTCTAAAAGTGTTGCTAAAGGGATACACAGTGCGTTAAAAAGCAACGCCAAAGGGCCTTGACCAAGCGTCAATATGAGAATGAATGAGAATGAGAATGTGTTGGATTCCCCTAAATGTCCTCTGCCTGGAGATACTGAGAAAATGAAAAAGCGTCTGTAGGTTGACGGATGCTGATCAAACACCTGAACACACACTGCAGCACCTTTGAGTTATCCTTTTAGGAATACACCCTACACACATGTGGCAGGTAAGGCTAGTCAGCCTGCAGAAGAAATATCTTGCAAGATATAAAAGTGGAGCAGA